TGGCCGCTTTCATACAATTTTGCCTACATACAATCTTTCGAAGGGCTATTATGAAAAGAGAGAGAATTTTCGTATTCTGAAGACGGGGTTTTTTGAACATTTTGTTTCATCGATCATGAATCATAATCCAAGTGACAGATGAGTTAATTTGTGCTGAATTTCAGTTTAAATTAAAGCCATAATTAATTAGGAAAATTGCTCGTTCGTTTCTTTATGGAACTCGCCTCCAATTAAATGGAGCGAATCCTTGGCATTTCTATCTAAATGATCATGAGCTGTACACATGCATGAGTCAACTTCATAAAATGTCATCGATTTTTTGTTGTCTTCGGTTTCGCTTCGCTTTTATCGGTGATATCGAAAACAAAGAAACCTATCGACAAACAATTCCGATGGAATGCGGAAAAAGAACCAACAAAAAATAAGAATCATTGATAAAATTTTCACATAGTAAAAAAACAGGCTCGGACAGAACACAGGGACAAAAGAAAATCAAAAGAGAGGCGATAGGCGCCAATGGACTGAACATGGAAATTACGTAATGTATTTGAACGGGATTGAGGAGAAATGTGTCTCCAAATGTACAATAAATCTTGGAGTGCGCCGTTGTCCAGCATTGGTCAAATGAGAGAGAGTCAGGAAAATGACACAATTTACTCGAATGAAATTGAACGAAGTGAGCGTGTTAATCGATGCCATTCAATTTTCGTCGTATGGATTTCGTCTTTTCTCTTTATAGTTTTTGTGTGTGTGTTTTAGCTCCTTTGACCTACCTACAATCATTTAGATCGATAAGCGAACACAATTAATTGTATAGGTGGCATCGTTTGTTGTTTTACCGACAGAACTCAACTGAAGACTTCTCAATGAACGAACGAATGAGCTCATCATGTGAATCGAAATGCGTAAAATCGAAACGGCGAAGCATAGCACCGCACCAGCATAGTGCAGCACACTGAAAATCACTTAACCAAATGGAAATAGTAAAAGAAGAAGACAAAAAAATACGAGACACAACATTCCACGAAAACTCATAAATTTTTTCGGAATCTCTTCAAGAAGATTCATTTTTCAATTCGGCTGATGATCCTCTTTGTTCATCGTACGGTGTGTCACCACACCATTGTCACCGTTTGGATGTTTGTCTCAAACTTAATCAAGATATTTGAAACTTGAGAAATGAGGTGGTAGTGTGACCTGAGAACAGGGAAAAAAAAACCCTTTAAATGAGTCATTCGCGTTAGAATGCAATTTTATCTGTTGGATTGTTTTTTATGAGCAAAAAAAGGAGCATCATGAGTAACATCGGATTATTTATTGAATGCACAATGATTAAAGAGTGATCTAGAAATTCCGAAGTTCTTTCTTCCATTGGCCCCATCTATTCATGAAGGCATCGCACCTTTTTATCCATCAACTATGTTTTACCATCATCGTTTTCTCGACACAACTCAAGAGTTGACGCAAATTGAGAAAATGCTTTCCAGATTTTTCTATTTTTAAATTCGTTCATTGCTCGTTCGAACGTAATTCACATGCACAGATGGTGTTTTCTCGACCAAAATGGAAACATGTGCATATTGTGCATAGTGCACGGAGGAATATTCTAATAGATCGAAATGCATTTGAAAGCAAGCAAGTGCGTGCATGCTGTTGCTGTAGTTCGTTGGCGCCACTTGAAGGAAAAACACCTTTCTTTTTTAGCTCACTTTATTGTTATCTCTGCTTGCAGTCGCGTTTGTGAATCATGTGCAATCGCTGTTGCTTTTCTCTCTCGTTGTTGTTTCGATTCTGGTATTAAATCGCTATCGAATTCCTTCCGCAGCAAACAAACCGAATTGCTGAACCTTTTCTTGTGCGTTTTGTGAAACGGTAAAAGATTGATCGTCCATAAGAACATTCCGAGTTTCAGAGCAACGAAACGTTTCTGATTGGCTTCGCGGTGCTATCGCTTCAATTTAGTTTTGACTCAAAATTCTATCAGCACACGCAAATCCGATTTCATGCCCCGCGCTCATACACACACACACACTTACATACTTACACCCGTATCGTCGTATCACAATTCGCCAGGAATTTCAGTTGGACTGTTTTGGTAACGCCGGTCAACCATTATCTCTGACGAAGAGGCAATCTCATTGCATTGTTCGTTTAGCATATTCTCATTTCTGTGCACGTACTTCAAGCGTACATTCTTTTCACTTTTTTAAATGACCAAACCAAGACACATAACGCTTACGGGGCACACAACGTACACACCGATTTGCGCGCGCGTCCAGACGATGTAAATATGCTCGAACGAAAATATATTCAAAACGCAAAGAACTTAAGCCCTATGGCGTACTGTCGCGACAAGCTTTCAGACTTTGACATAGAACTGCTTTTAATAGAATGTTTCTGGTTTTGTGTCTCTTTCGCACCAGAACCATGCAATCCAACCAGCCAGCCTCGTCAATTTGTAGCCGCGCGTTGTATGTGTGTGAGTGTGCAGTGCTGCGCATCTTCCAACCACGTCCCGATGAATCCATTTCGGCTTTTTTTGTTTGTACATTAATTCATTATGTTTTATTATTAGTTGGTTTGGTTGGCTGTTGTGGTTTTCGTTGCGGCGTTTTTTTTCTCTTCATTTTTTTTTTCCTTCGTTTTGCCTCGCTTTTTAATGACATCAAGATATAAGTGTGTTTAATCGTTACTCTCTATTATATCGTTCTCTCTATGAGTGCGTATCTTGAGATTCGTTCGCCTCGCATGGCGTTTCGCTTCTTATATCGTTGTCTCTACCCAATTCAACGATATCCAGCGACCATACGACCGATTATTGATTTATTAACTCGAGCACTTGAGATGTGAATATAAGTAAAATGCGTGTAAAATATAAATGGCGTTTCGGGAAAAAGGAACAACACAGAAAAAAACGGGGGGAAATATACGGAATCAACGGCTCAACCGACGAGATGCCTAGCTTCAATTTCGATTGAATCAAACAAGCGAGAGAGCGACAACGACGGCAAAACCACTTAAACATTCTTTTGATATGACTGATTCAATGATATCCGAAATAGTTTTCAATTCCATCACTTCGAATCGGTTCTTCGACTCCGCTTTATTTTCCGTATCGATAATGTCTGTCGTGCTTTTGATCTCGTACAAATTGTTCCAAATTTGAAATTTATTGTTATTACTCCAAGTGGATTTTGTGCTGCACTCACTTATTATGACTCATTACAACTTACTTTGTGCTGGTTTTATTGACTGTAGTCTCTCCTTGAACGCAGGAAAAATGGGGAAAAAAATATGTTCCGGATTGAACCTAGAACAATTGAGACTGCGAGTTTGTCAGTTTTTTTCTTCATAAATTTTATATCTTTATAAAGTTCAGGCTTCTATATGAATTTTACTTTATTTATTGACAAAAAATTATGATTGAAGAAAAACCGAAGAGAGAGAAAAATGTTTGGAGTTTTCATTTCAAATATAATTGTACCTCCTTGATCTTCTTTCATAATAATTCTCGATTGAGATCAAAGTGAAATGCATATCGATACTCAACCAATTTCCAATTTCCCATTCAAAAACGGTTTTTGATCATTTTCTTTTCCTCGCGGCTAATTGAAATTTTCATTTGGAATATTAAAATCCTTTTCAGAATGTTCTTTTTTCCTTTTCACACACTTGTTCGAAATTCCGTTTTCGAACCGACTCGCATTTCTCATAACATTAAAAGGAAGACTCACAAAGTGCACATGCGCCGCTGCTGTCATTTGTCATTATTTTTTCGTACAGAAAAAAAATCATTTTTCGTTACATGTTGTTCGGTTCTTTTTTCTTCGGCACAAACACGCATATGTCTCGTTGACTTTGAAACATTTTTACCCGAAACATAATCACGAACCACTTAAGATTACACAGTGCATGCATACCGAAGAGCAGAACAAACATTTGGAAATTGCATCGAATGACGTAGTTCGACAATTTGTTCAATCTGTCGATTTTTATGTTACACTTTGTCGGGAGAACGAAAACGGACCGAAATCTTAACCGCTTCAAATGATCACCAATCATTTCTTTTTCTGAAGTATCCACGGAAATGTTGTACAATTCACTTTGACGGTATGAAAAAAAATCCCATTGCACATTTCCATGGGAGTCATGGCATGAGTTGTGCACCTAATTAACGAGAATAAACACCGAAAATTAAAGTCCATTAATCAAAAACGGTTCTCTCATACAGATTAATCGATTCACATATTTCATGACGATTTCAATTTCAATAAACTCATTTAAATATTCAAAATAAAATCATATTTACAGTAAAATTACGGTATAAATTTGATTTCAACAAAAAAGAATTGTTTTTCACGAAAGATGAAAAATTATGAGAAATTTGTTGATTTTGTAATTCCGTAAGCAATTTCATTATTTCATATTTTGAAAAAATAGTTTTGGGAAATGGTTGAAAAAAGCGTTGCCGAAATGAAACATGAGAAAAAAGATGTCAAATCCAATTTGATGACGTCTCATTTCGATTTCATTTTTTTATCGATAGAAGATTGTTTAATATGAGCCGTTTAACGGCTGCCGTTATGTATCCAAAAGGCCACAAACCAAATCAGTTAAGCATGATTTTAGATCGTTCGTGATCAAAATATAAAAGAAAAGTAATAAAGTTTAAAAATCGTTCTCTATTCGCAAGACTTTACCTTTCAATAAAGCAACAAGAAGAAGAAGAAGAAGAGAAAAGTAAATCTGCGCCTTCAATTAGTTAGGCATTTTCATTATTCCATGCCTACTGTAATGTCAACGTCTTTTTCTAAAAACATGAATGCTCGTTGCTCGAGCGTCACCTCTATTGGCACATAAAAAACCAGTTTTAGTGTGCTAAAACCATTCGATCAGCCCTCATCATTTGAAGTGATGATTCTAGGCATAGAATCGGCATGTAGAATTTACCGTTTGAATTTTATAATTTTTTTTATGATTAATTAAAAGTTTTAACGACATTTTTATATCTTATTATAAGTCCTTATTTATTGTCCAATTTAACGCTAAAATCTAAATTTCAAATACAAAACATAATATAAGAAATTGTTCACGTAAGTATTACATTGATACATATAGGGAATGTGAAAAAAAAGAACCGAATTTTATGGGTTAAAATAAAATATTCATTAATTGTTTATAATAAGTGATGACTGCTAATGCTTTAAAATTACTTTTTGGTAGTAAAAATAGACTGGGTGGCTGTAGGTCTTCAAAAACAAAAGTAAAGCCAAACTAAAATCGAACTAAATTTAAGTATTTACGATTTTACTTTGATAGGCTCTAACTATTCGTAAATTTATTGTTCGATTTGGTCGGGTGTTCCGGTGCAAGTGATGACGCTGGTTAGTTTAGTATTTGCACCATGTTGTCCGTCTATTGATGGAATACTATATTCAAATTGCATATAAATGTTTATCAATTCGCAATGGAAAATTGATTATTCGAAAGATGCAATCGGCTTAGTACCTGGCATTAATCGAGCGGCTCAAATTGCTCACGTGCGGCAAATGTGTTGCATGTGTTTGAGCAACGGTAATATAGTGTTCGGTGCCTGGTCCTTGTGTTGTTGCCGTATTAATGTGCACTTCTTGCGGATGCTGTGATGGCGATTGATTTTGGGCGTGAGCTAATAATTGATTCTGTGTCGCCTGATGGGCTTGTAAAATGGGAATTTTCATCTCGGGCTGAATATGAATTTGGGATGGAAAAAGCGGCGGCAACATTTTATCTAACAATAACAACAACAAAAGAGACAGTCACATTACATTTATGATTAAAGATCTGAAATGTGATCATGAAACAATTGAGATTCAACAATATGCCGTTTGAAACCAATGTTTTAAAATGACTTACCACTGATTGGTGATGTTTTTGGTTTGGCTTGCAATGAATATTTTGGTTTGCGTTTCCTCGTTTGAATGCCATCTTTTTTCATGCTTTGCGGTCGATTGACGTTGTGTAGTTTGAAGTATAATCCGCATGCATTGCACACGGGCTCGCCATGATTGTTTCGTCGCCACAATGTGGTGGTGCTCGTTTTACAATTGGCACAAATAACGCCCGACCTTCTATTGGCTTGCGCCTGTTTCGGAGAGAGAAAAAAAACAATGAAATGATTTCAATCGAAAATTCTTTTGTTAAAAAGAAAAAAAATTAGTTCTTCTAACAAGTAAACCGTCCCAACTGTCACACGTCGATTTTAAAGTTGAATATACAGATCGATGGAGAATGAAAAAAAAATTTGACAAAAGGGCAGCGGCCCCTTTTGGGTCATAGTGGGGATATGACCCCTTCTTTACAATGCTTCGTCAGATGGTTTTTACATAAAAATGCAATTTTCTCATACTGAAAATGGTTTGAGGACAAAAATATGTCGATATGAAATGTTCAAGATACTCCAGAGAATCAAATGACACCTTGGGTGGAGTTGACCTCCACCCCTGAATTGAAATAGAGGGTCAAAAAGTGAAAAAATAGCGAAAAATGACCAACGCATCCCCAAAATAGGTTCAAACCCCCCTTAACCCTCCAAACAAATTATATTTTTGGATTCCTCGAGAAAAATTAACCCCTAGGTTCAGAACATTTCCCATCAAAAAAATCATCCCTTATGTCGTAATTTAAGGCCGGAATGTTAAACAAATAGCACCCCAAACCTTCTAATGTATTCCGGCCTTGGTTTAGATCATAAGGGATGATTTTTTTGATGGGAAATGTTCTAAACCTAAAAGTGATTTTTCACGAGGAATCCAAAAATGTAATTTGTTCGGGGGTGAAGGGTTTTTTTTACCCGATATACAGAAAAAAATAGTTTTCTTCAAAATTGTATGAAGACTCCCAAAAGAGGGGCTCGGAGGGGGTGACCCATGGGTAAAATAGATAGCCCAAAAAAATTAGCTATAGTTGGTCATACATTTGTATGCAAAATTTCCACTCCAAGAGGTAGAAAATTGACTCTGTAATAATTGACCCCAGATGTGGGGCGATTTCTGCCAGTTCAATTTCTGGAAGACTGGGTGCGGAGATCCGTTGGGAAAATACATATTTCCACTAAATTGGGTATGGAGAATCCGAATTGGGTTTCAGGTCAAAAAAGTGTAACCCCTGGGCAGAAGACCTCCCCAACCCCCCAGGGGGTGGAAAATGGAAGGGCGGCTGCTCCAAAAAATTCTCCTCATCATTCTGAACAATTTTGACATACATCATTTTTTGATCAGACGAAGTTTGGGAAACGGGGTGGGTCTATCCCCACTATGCCCCAAAAGGGGCCGCTGCCCGTTTGTCAAAATTATTTTTTTTCCATCCCCAATCGATCTATATATTCAATTTTAAAATCCATTTGTGACAGTTGGGACGGTTTACTTGTAAGAGGTTTTTTTTCTTTTCATCAAATTTTTGCACTTCAAACTTTTTTTTAGTCTTTCAAAAAGATTTTCTTTGATAAAATATGTTAACACTCAAACGAGATTCTAAAAGTCAAAGCTACGTACGACGGGTGGTTTATTTTTGGCGATTTTCGGTCGAGTTTGACGCGTAAATGAACACTGATGACACATTGGATGACCGTCGACACGTCTCCAGTAAACAGACTGTGACGTTGAGCAATTCACACATTCTGGGGCACCGGTTGCAACCAATTGAGGATCATATGGTTCGGGCTGTAATTGCCAAGATGCGCCATTGGCCACATAATCACTTCCACCGTCCAACACAATCGTTTGACCGAACGGAGCCTGAAATGATGAACGCTAATTGAGATATAAAAACACACACAAAACAGAAAACCACAAATTCGAATTACACAACACTTACAGCATTTACATTATACTCAGAGGCTTGATGCCAATAACCTGACTCTGGTTTACAATTACTCGTGTACACTTGTGGCACTGGCGATCCGGATTGTTGGATCGAGTTTGAATCGTAGATAATGCCTTGATGTTGTGACAATGCTCCGTTGTATCGACTGTTAAATGCTGACGCCAACGACGGATCGCCTATTTCAATTTTTGATGAATCCATTTGTTAATTAAATTTTTGATAATATCAACCACTTAAAATCCGTAAAATTGTTCTTCGATAAAAATGAATGAAAAAATTGGAGCGAATCATCGACTACCTTTGTAGAGAACTGTATTCGGACTGCCTGGATAGATGTAATCCTTGTTTGATGTCGTCGAAATATACGCAAAACCACTTCCGGTTGGATAACCGTCCGTTGCGATGCTGTAGTAGTTTTGCGGTGATACATCCAAATTTGTGTACTGAATCTTTGCCTCGGATTGTGGCGTCGGTTGGTGTGCATCTTCGATGTGAATCTATTTGGTCGGTCATTGTGCGCAACCAATAAATAAACAAAATACATTCTACCGATAAGAGTCTTTAATTTTGGATATGGTGATAAGAGTTTTTAGTCATAAAACAGCACTGAACTATAGTATATTTTCGTCATTCTGCGGTTTTCCCATGGTTTTGTTTAATGCTTCGTCGGTTTGGATATGAGTTGTTAATTTTGCTTTTTTCGTTCTATGAAATTATCTCATTGTTATAATTGGTTCAAACAGATTGACGTAGTATACCTTGCTATGCAGAGCATGTTGATTTCGGATCAGTTCGATTTTGATGTCATCGCTCGAACCGGAATGTGCATTATGTGCATTTGGATGATGTTGACCGTGTTGATATTCATATCTGGCCGTCGCATATGTTTCATCTTCGAAACGAACTTCTGGTGGCACGGCATATCTAATGCCATTGATATTCTCCCCAGCGTTTGGATGCTGTGACGTTACATAAATAGTGCCATTGTTTGGGATGGCAATGTTACCCGATTCTGGGCTATCACTGGCCAATCTCCCTCTAGCGCCATGCTGTTCGTAAATGTGCTGATTGAACGATGGTTCACTCACTGGTACCAATTGATAGCGTTGCACGTACTCTTTTTGTGGCTCAATTTCATTTATGTCTTCGATTTCCCTGTGGGGAGAGAAAAATTTGAAATCAATGGATAAAAATGAATGAAAAAAATCAATAAGATTTTTTAAGAATTTATTCATTATCAATCATTAAGATCAGAGATTACTATGAGATATTTTTATTCATATGGGATAGGAATATCGCATAAAAATATCAGATATTTTTCATGCGTTACGTTGTTGTAACGCATCTGCAGTACAAAATTCATATTCATTTCTGCATTCCAAGTCGAATTTGAGACTGACCCGAGCCGAATTCAGCAAAATTGACTTGGAATGCAGAAAGGAATATGAATTTTGTACTGCAGATGCGTTACAACAACGCAACGCATGAAAAATATCTGATATTTTTATGCGATATTTCTATCCCATATGAATAAAAATATCTCATAGTAATCTCTGATTAAGATTTTTTCTATTTTCCTTAAAAAATATTTACCGAATCTGTCCCGTAGTGGTGATCATGCGATGTCTTTGTGTCGTAATGACAGTCGTTGGCAAAGATGCCGACGCTACGGTATCTGTCTCGGACGAAAGCGTGGAATTGTGTACACCCTCCGCTGTAATCAATTCCTGTGGTTGATTTTGGCTCTGGGGTGATTCTTGTCCATGGACCGTTGGTTGATTTGGCTGTGCGGCAATTTCTTCCGACGGCTCTTCAATTTTGATCTTCTTTTTATCAGCGTCATCGGTGTCGGTCACCTGTCATTCGATAAAAAGAATAAAATCACCAAAGACGTTAAAATTTATTACTGAGTTTTGCATTCTTTTTTTTCCATCCATCGCTTTTATCATTATTGATTTGGTGTTTTATTTTAAATAATAATAAATAATTATGATAAAATCACTTCCATACAACCAATCCGACGTAGAACGAAACAGAGTGGAAAAAACAGCGTTTCAAAGAAGCCGCATTCAATCGATTGATTGTTTATTTGCATATTCATTCCATGATATGCTAAAGCAAAGTGTTCTACGTAGCGTACCGGTCATTTTTGCATATATGAAACGAACGAATTCCAATAAAATGGACGGTAAAGGAGAGAGAGAGAGAGAGAGAGAGAGAGAGAGAGAGAGAGAGAGAGAGAAACAAAAACAACCAATCGAAATGATATAAATAAAAGCTAATTTAAAGTAAAACAGACGATCAGGCTAATTTTTATGTATATTTCGAATTGGAAATGTTTTCGTTGTAACTACACACATTTATTACCATTTGAATTAGTGCAGAGAGCGGAGTGTGTGCGTGTTTCTCTCGCTTTTTTTGGCAATGTCGGACCTTTGAAGAGCTAATGGCCATCGCAGAATGAAAATGTGACGCAAACTGGTTCATTCGACACCATGGAATGTTGGAATTTGAATGCGGCTCACTTTTTTCCACGACAAACAAAAAAATTCAATCAAATTTTAGAATGAAATGGGAAATAGCCTGTCATTGAAACAGAAGAAATTTTCTTTTTTATTGTTATCATGGCGCGATTCGCGAAGAGAAGAAAACCATTTTAGCTAAATGGAAAAATGCGAGTCGATTGGCGCCAAAAACTGTTTACAATTAGTGTGCGGTGTAATTAATACGGTAGCTGCGCACGGTTGATATCGATTTCCGTGCCGGTGATAAAGCATACAGATTTATCGTGTTTGGCGATGTTGGACATCACATCAAAATAAAAAGTGTTGTGTGTCTTAACAGCCCGATTAAATTTCATCGCTCGATGATACGCTTGTGGCGATATGATAACGAAGCGCTTGCGGATATGGATGTGAGATAGAGGGAGTTAGTGAGTGAATGAGAGAGAAAGAGAGTTGGAGTGTATGAGAGTGAGTGAGAGATGGAGCATTCGTTACGATATTATGATGTGTATTTTAACATTACGGCCACTTATTTTTGAAAATCAACAGTGTCGTTGTATACGCCTTTTTCACTCAATCGGGCGCGAGTCAGTGTACCGGCCGAGAAATACACTGCGTGTACTCATTTTGTGATTACAACATGAAGATACATATTTATGGTAGATTATTTCCAACCATTCACATTTCGTACACATTGAATAGAACACAAAATGTGAGGAAAGAAAAAGAAATAAAAATAAAGCATATCAGATATTTTATCATTTTATGTTTTGATGCGATTGCGTTTTATGATTTGTGATCGCATTGTTTGTGAGTTTGGTTTCTTACGAAATGGATTCACCATTTTATCATTGTCTTTTTGTTTGCTTAAACAGGTACATGATTGATAAGGCCTAAAACGAACGAGGTAATGTGTGTGTGTGTGTGTTGTGACCATCAAACTCAACCAAACGTTCATTACGAACAAAAAATCCAAACTATCAACGAATCTGTCCTTCTTCATTTGATTCGTAATCTTCGGTGTTGAGTCATTGAAAAGCGATCATTCTTCAAGTGACGTCTTTTCCAAAGTAAATTCGGTTTAAAGCAGCAATCACCAAATGACGAAAAGAAGCAAACATAATGGACAGCGTATTTACTTATGGTGACTATTCCAATGTTTTTCTTTGATGTTTGTACATCGGAATGGTGTCATTACTCGGCTGGAAGTAACAGGTTAACACTTCTATTAGCCGATTTAAGAAAATTGTCTTTGTTTATTCATGACGCCTTTGGTTATTCTTTGAAATTGTACGGATGACCGGATACACACTATTTATCCGGATATTCAATCGGAATTTAGAGTGAAAGTGTAAACCGAACGGGATTCTCTCATCACAGCCCCTAACACGTGAACTATTAAAGACACTATGTCGTGAAAGTCAATGAATCGAAAGAAATGAAATTGGCTCAAAAACAGTCAAGATGCAATCAATCGTGAAGAAAATAAACAAATGAACTTAACTTGTAATGAGTATCAATTACAATCCAAAGTGTGATGTTTTCACTTTCGTGTTGTCGCCTCGCCTCTGGTCATTGTCGTAATCTGATTTTATCTTATCGTGAAATCGATCTTATTTTCGTTGAAAACGAACCCGTGAGACATATGCTGCGCTTATAAAATTCTACTGATGCTCTTAACACATGCATTGCATGTGATGCTGAGCTTTGTTTTGTATGGTATAAACGATCAAGCGACGATATGGTGCGGACGACAAGCATTTGAGCGCGTGCCAAACCACTTCATATCCATGTTTATTATGCCGATGGTCTGTTCTTCTTCTGCATTCCGAATGACGGAAATCGTTTGATGATGCATCAACGGCTTGCCATTTTCTGTACACCAAAACCGAATCGGGTGTCATCAAGAAATATAAACAGATTCCTTACGATACGAAAATGCACTTTCGGCGATGAAGCAAAAAAAAAAACTAACGAAAAAACAGGGCCAACGGAAATAATAAAACGAAACAAACTGAAAATTACTCAACCGAAATGAAGACGGATAGAGAACGGGGCAACGTGGAAAAAAGCAGCAGACCTACATTGGTGTTTGCATTTGCCAAAGGAACACGCAGAACATATGAACCAAAAAGCAAATAAAGTGATACAAATGCACAAACAACAAGCAAGCAAATGACGACATCGATTCAACCACACCGTCCGAATTCATATCGATTGGCCAAAGCGAAATGCAATAATACGAATAAAGGCCCTGTCTTTTACGATCAACATCACCCAAACATCAGGTATACGAGCAATTTACACTCGCTTTTTTCTCTGTACGTTTCAGGCAGCATTAGAGCAGAAAATACGGGCACAGCACGAGCGATACCGAATGTGTCACCGTTAGAAATGAGCATTGAACATAAAGATAAACGAAGCAGAACTCGAATACGGCACGGAATATTGAGTAGAAAAAGAAAGGATGTATCCTGAAGTAGAAATTTTGTTCGGTTTTGTTATACCTGAACTGCATACGAACAAACGTTTATGGCTTACGTTCTCATATCCAGAAGAAAACGGAAAGAAATCCATAAATTCATTTCAAGTACTGAATTGGAGAAGGGAAGAATTTTCGAACAGCACTAATATTTGGCAACATATGGCGAGAAAAATGATTTTATAACACATACAATCATTTGTTTTGTGCTATGTATCAAAATTAAGTTGCAAAAAAAGTGACCTTTTTTGGTTAAAAAAAATTAAATGTGGCTAATTGATTTAGATTCCAACGCAATTCGAATCGATTCCATTTTTCTGCCTAAAATCCTAAAGAACAACAAGTCAGTTCACTGTCATTGATCTCTTCCTTAAGCAACGTTTGAAATTTCGGGTGGTGTTTTTGTTTTCTCGCCAAATGTGCATTCTAAAAATAATTTATTGGTCATGGATGGCACTTTCCATGGATCTTTTTTTTCTCGCACAAATTAATATTCTCAATTTGTGTTTCACTTTTATTTTTATTTCGTTGGTTCAAATTTTTATTTTAAGTGCTTAATGTGAACGGTCGTTGTGGTTTTGGTTATTGCTATTGGTGGCTTGACGAATCCATTTTTCAAAGTGACTTTAATTCCATTTCGTCTTTTTTCTGGTATTTGGCTTTGGTGAGCGCGTGTCGTTTCAAACGCTTTCGAAATGCATGCATTTCAGTGGTTTATTTTGTTTCGTTCCTTTTTTTATTCAAATCCGATTCTTTTCCGTTTTCTTCCATCGTGGCATTGTCTTAAACATTTTTATTAGTTATTTATGGATTACTTAGGCTCGTTCGAACAAAAACAAAACAAAAATCAAAGCGAAAAAAATAAAATAAAAAGAAACGCACAAATAATCGGTGCCACTAAAATGCAAAGTGCATAAATATGTTTTGTGGAAGTGTGTGCTTTTATGCCGACGCTCACGACCCTTCATTCTTGCCAATTCGTCTGCCTTTTTTTCACTTTCTCGGCTCTTTGTGTTTATTTTGAACATTTTTTCTCAAACTTTTTCGATATTCAGTAAAATCTTCCAAATCACGATCGAACATCAAAAATATATTAAAATGTTTGGAAAAAAGGAATCGATCGAAAGAATATTTTGAAGAAAGTTTCAATTTGAGGGAAATCAATTTTGTCTGGTGATATTTTTATTCTTTTTAATTTTTCGTCCTGTTTTTACACAATTTGGCAACTTGATTCAACACTTTCTTCGGTTTGATCACACATTTTGTCCGTAATAAGCCACAAACTATTTCACTAGAATAATAAATTTAATTTTCAAGCAGCAAACAAATCATACCTGTTGATTACAATTGTGTTGAATATTTGAACTCATTTTTAGATAGAAACCCAAAATTGTCACCTTTAACTTTAAGCAAATGCCACTTTTCAGCTGATTTTTTTTAGTCTATTCAAAATTGTTCTTAATGTGTTAATCTCTTCATATAAAAACTGTATTGTTTTTGCACAAAAACTCCTATGTCCTAAAACTCTTTTCTTTACTTCAGTGGGAATTTGTCCAAAACCAGTTTATCGTTTGATCACGCTCACGGAAAAAGTGTTTTTGAAATCAATCGCATTTCCTAGCACAAAATATGAGCGATTTCATCAAAGTAACGCAACCCTTGAATGCGTTAGATTGGTTGACGAAAGACCATCGATTCCAAAGAAGGAACGAACAAAATCAATCAATGGTTTATCTTATCGCTACAGCCGATATGAATCTACCACAAACAGAATGTATTTTTTCCGGACGGAAAGTAACACATATAAGCAATAAATTCATATCTCGCGTCGATCACGTATAAATCAATGCGGTGTGCGATGGAACGATATATTCATTTTTGCACTTCAAATGATTTTCAGTCGGTTGTCATAGTTGATATGACAAATGAACGGGATTAATTCAATATTAACACAAGTTTGTAGATTTTCCTCTTTCTCTGTTTTTCGTGATTTCTTTTTTGGGTCGAAATTCAACTCCACATTTGATGTACCCTTAAATATTTGAAATGCTCTTGAGATTTTTTAATTGTCTAAAATGTCGTTCAAAAACACCAACAATTTATCGATTCACACTGATGATAATGTATGCAGAAATGTCGAAAAAATATGCGAAAATAATCTCATCACTTGAGATGCAACAACCACTTTTAGAAATAAACTTGACTTGATCGAAATTGTCTTATCTCGCAGTCAATTCTTCTACAAAAAAATAGGAAAGAAAATACGAGTTGTTATGAACGCTCTATTGTTCTTAACGGATCGGAATCAAGTGATAAACGATTTGAAGCTGGGGGTATTCATAAGTCACGTTGAGTCTATGGATTGAGATTGTCATCATTTGGTGCAATAATAAGTCATATATCGTAAGATTTGTCATGGCGAGGTAAAAAGGCATGTGAGACGCGAAACCAAACAAAAAAAGATCGCGCTTATTACAGTTTGCTCAATAGTCTCTTTGGGATGTCATCAACATGTGTTGACTTTTCTTAACGTGTGTCGTCGTCGTCGTCGTTTTCTTTCTCTCTTATTCACTCTCAAAATTGTTGCCTGTAATGCCAAATAACAGTGATTCTTCCGCTCGATTTGTCTAACATGCGGCTCATTTTAGTCGTTTGTATGTGCTCATTACAAATATTTACTCATTACGATTATTGTATTCTTTGTGTTTTTGTGTTTTTTCCCCGTGGTTCTATGCACCTATTCGTTCTGTGATTTTTGTTTTCGCTGTTGTTGTTGTTGTTCTGTCGAACTGCAAAGCGGCACGGAACTGAAAGAACACTGAATTCATTGTAAATGTGTGGCGGTGGGCAAGGTGTGCCTCTTATATTACATGAATAATATATTTTCGTTAGTTTCAGTGTCTTTTTTATTTCTCGTCGAGCGGTTATTTGGAGCGTACCAATCTGGTAGACAGAAAAAGTCATCGGCAGTGACGTAAAGAAGACCAAGCGGCCTTTTGTTGATTTTGCTTTTTTGTCAGTTTGGTTAAATGTATTGTGTGCGCGCTTGTGCATCTTCACTTCACCGAAAAAAACAACACCGCCTTCGTCACTAATGTTTATATCCGGACACACAAAAGCAATTCCGTCTTTTCCATGACTAATGATCGATGAACTAGAAACACGGCACACACGACGATTTTTGAGGACGGAAATCAAACACACACACACATGAAGTTCACCGCTTCGACTCGCTTCATAGCGCGATTTTCGAGTGAAAAAGAAATTATGTTATGCGAAAAAAGTGAGTACATTTCATGCAACCGGCAAATGGCAGAATTATGCCAAATGATTCAACATTAGGATTGGCGTCACTGGGCTGATCTTGAACGGATCCAACTTGGCTCATTCAATCCTTGGGCATTTTCCATCGTTTGTGATCTTTGTTCTTGATTCGTTCATTTGTGCCATAATTCAATTTGAAACGTGCGGCACAAGAAAATTTTGTTTTTGGTATTGAGTGACGTGGAAAATGTGTCTGAATGTTTTGTTTGCCAATTTTATGATCGTCATTGTCGGCTAAATGAGCACAATTTTAGAAAATCAAATATTACATCGTGTGTTGCTTGTGTTTGCCTGAATTTCATTTGTCTTTCTTGTTGAAATATGATCCATTTTCAATGTTGTGTGATCATAGGCGAGTAGTTTTTAACTGTGTGTAAGCCATAGCCAATTGCCATGATGCACCATAAAATGTTTTATTAAAGCGAACGGGGAAAGAACGAGAGAAATATTGGCATTTAGCGCAGAAAATGAATTATTTAATCCCTACGACCATAATTCTGTTGTGGAATATTTCGTGTATAATTTTTTTGTGATCATAAAGTTGGTAAAATTGGAGTATATGTGTAACGAAATTGTTTGCCATGGCAAAACCACATAGTTTCATGGAACCAAAGGTGGGTGCATCAAATTGTTGGTTTCTTTTTTATTTCATTCGAAATGAAAAAAAAAAACACCGAAATTTTTCTTCATATCGAATATAACGAAGAGTCACATGAACCAAAAACATGTACCAACGCTTCGTAATTATTGTTCATATGGAGCTGCGCTCGTATAAAAAAGCGAATGTACATTTCGTTATCTTATCAGAGAAAGAAAAAAAATGGAGAAAGAGAGAGAGAGACAGCGACAACGGCGGCGGCCCGAAAAAAATGGTGCGCGTAATTCTAATATTAGGCAACAACATACGGTCTTTGTTCTGTATACGCTTTTCGATGTCATTGTGCATTTCGTTCATACATACACACACACGCCTTTTTTCCCTGTTTCAGACGAAATAAACCGTTTTCTTTCTCACTTTTGTAGGCCGCAAATCGACATATTGAGTCTAATGAAGCTATACAATTTCGACAAACGATTGCCATTTGATAATTGAATGTGGAATAAAAAGGTGTAGAAATGGTTGCCGGTAAAAAAAATTGTGGAAAGATTGATTGCCGCAAGCCATATGAATAGTGTTTTCGTTTGGCTTTTGGAATTCCAAAACCATTGGCAAATTGATATTCTTTCGAAACTGTTATCGCTTATTTAATTTGATGGCAATCTAATTTTTTTTTCTGTTGGTGACAGTCAGCAACTGTCAAATTTATAGACATTAATCCTTGACCGACAAAATTAGCCAGCCTACTAAATGATTCTGAAGAATGTGACTTTTTCTGGAGAATGCGAGAGACAAAAACAGCAGCGCATGAGTCGATCGACCGATCGGCCATTTTGATTCAAACTAAGTACACACCGTTCATGATGGGTAACCAATGGAAAGCAATGCAATTATCCAGCATAATTTTAAGAATCGACATAAGAGTAATAATCGTTGCTTTTGGCGTCGTTGTTTCTCTGCTATTTGTCATTTGCCTATTTGAACAAGTGTTTCGTTGGGCAATAAAAAATTGCAGAGAGCAATTTTCTATTGTCATCCTCGTACAACCCGCTCGTTCTTGTTTCTTTGTGTATGTCGGTTGTTGGTAAATATAGCAGATCGCAACGTTGTCGTGCAATAGGTACACATTATTTATTAAGACATTTATAAATTTTACCCGTGTGTCTGAAAGCTGATAAGCACCGGTGCGCCGCGCGAGCACTGCACGAGCGATTGCTCCTATTTTTTATATTATTGCAACGATGATAACCGAGAGTCGAGCGCGCAAATGACACAAACTCAATTATGTGGAAAAATACTAACGGCTTCAGAAAGACATACGACCAACGAAAAAAAGGAAGAATTCTTAAATGTGCGACAAAGAAGAAAAAGGAGGGAGAAAAAAGTAAGGCTTCTATCTCGCTTTCAACTACATTGTTGTTTTGTTATTTTCTTTCCATGTTACGAGAAGAAGGGAAAAAAACGTATAATGTCGCTCACAAGCACTTAAAATCACTTGAAAAAAAGACTCGAAAGGTAACGAAGAAAAAAACAGCGAATGAAAATAGAATTACACATACGCATTGGAAAAAAGCACTTGTCGGTTGGCTCCACTCGTCGTGTACCTATAGCACTCATTTGATTTTTCCTCTCTTTTGTTCACGTCTCGAAGGCTTCATTGGCTTCGGATATTAATCATGGGATCGCGCACGTTGATCGGCCACAGCCTTTTTGCGCATTTTGTCATATTATTTTTCATTGTTGCTGTTGTTCATCGACATGACGAGCTCTCCACACCATTTTTTCTGATTATATCGCGTACCTATTTTTCTACACATATTCGGCGCACACCAGCCAGAGATTATATCGATTAGTAAACATTTTTTTTCGGTTGTTGTTTTCGAAGCCGAAGGCTTTTTGATGGCGAAAAAAAAAAACGAAATCAAAATACTAGCTACAGTATATGACCAAAAAATGTTTTCGATGTTTGAACACTTGAGTACTTTGCACGATACATCAGAAGTGATTTATTATTTTTTTATGTCAGTCGCTGTCTGTTCTTTTTTTTTCTCTCTCCTCTGTTGTTCGCTTTTTCGTTGGGCTTCCATTTTGTACAGTTCACGCAATTGTCACATGCCCACTTTAGTCTCCTTAAACACATATATGACTCAGAACAATTACTGGCAGTAATTTACTGCAGCCATGGAAAATGAACAAATACTTGATTGGCACGTTTTTTGCCACTCTTGTCTTTCAATTCGACGCAAATTAAATACTTGACTTTGTGAAAAATTATTTTGAATTTTTTTCTTTTTTGAAATTCGGAGCAAAATTTTCTCATCACACGTTTCACGAATCACATTTCAACTGAAAATTAAGAACCAAGACGAATAAGCTGCGCTCATACCAGCTCCGATTCATAATCACCAAACCAAATCTATATCAAAACGAAGATAGTGAAAAGTGATTTGGTGCGTTGTATGATAAGTTAACATATCAATTTTCATGTGAGCAGACATCAGAATCACACAATTTTTCTCCAAACGACCCACAACTTTTCATCGTTTTTTTTCCTTCGATTTCTCACCTAAATTTGTCACCACTTCGCTGTGAAACTTTCAACTTTTCAACAACACTTTAGCAATTGGCCAATGAAAAAAAAACTGTGCACTTTCGCAGTAAATGCCATAACTTTGGCCAAAGGTCAAACTGTCACCTTTTGAATGTACGAGCAGAAAATAAATGTATAATTACAAGCACCATAATTCGTATCATTCAAATGTGCATATATATCGTGGTGACGATTTGGAATTGGTGCGTCTCTCATAATAATTTCGTGTCGTTGGTCTTGGGTCTTGTTCTGTATCAGTTATGAGGCGCGAACAGATATCATATCGGATATACCGACGGTTATTTTGAATAATTTCCTATCACATAGCGAATTGTATATGATTATCTCGCCAAAGATAGAGGCTTAAAATTGATTAAAAAACGAAAATTTGTTGTTGTACTTTGAAGATATTAAAAAACGATTTATCGGTGGAATTGATAAGATTTGCTGAACTGAACACGGTGTGGTGTGTGTGGTTTGTTGTTGTTCTGTGTTTTTTTTCTTTCTCACAAACCGATACTAAGGTAGTTGTAGTTTTGGTGGTGGGTGAATGGCAAGACAGAAAAAAGCAATTTGTAGGAGGAAGATAAACGATTTAGCAATCTACTTGGCCTATCTCAATATTGAAAACGATTTGTTCAATCCATTCGTTCAATGAACGATTCTTTTTTTTATTATTTCAATTTTTTTTTGCAATTTCTTTTGAACATTTTTGGAATTTCTCAACTGACACAACAGGTCGCTAACACACTCACAACCAAAATGATTCTAAATCTCAACTAAATCGTACTTCAAACATCATCCAAGGCTATCGAGCTGTTTGATGCACGCGTTGATGAGTTTTTCACATGCAGTTGTTTAAAAATGATGAATTCTTTTGTACATTTCGATAAAGATAAAAAAAACGAGCAGATAGCTGAAGGCAGAAGAAACCGAGAGAGAAAAGAGCATGCCGCATACCTCCACGGCGATGACAATCATAGAGAAATCGCATATGAAAACATTTTTTTTCACCTGTATCATATTAGTAAATATTATTATCAAACGAAACAACGATGGAACAAAAATTATCTTATAAATATATTATCATTTTCCGGGATAACGATTTTTCGCTTATATCGCCTTTCTACTGATGTCGCGACTCTATCTAGTTTCAGTCACAGGCCACGATCGAAGCCTGAATTTTCGTAAAACTCGACTATTTATTCAAATCGGATTTTTTTTTAGCTTCAAATGAAAAAGAAAAGCATTTTGTGATCGAGTTCGAATTTTCATCGAAATTTTGTTTTTCTTGGGATATTTTAGTGACATCGTACTATTTAAAAAAAAAATAAAAGGAGTTATAAACAACTGACTTACTTTGGTGGTGCTATTTTCAGTGGCTTTTTCCATTTTTTCACTTCAATCGATAAAAAACTTTTCACACAAAAAATAAATAAAACAATAATTTCTTTGGCTTTGGGCCGTTAAAATTACGCAAAATACGAGAAAAATGCAACAATCAATATCAAGTTTTAGGCCAAAAAAAATCCTTCTGTTTGAAAAACTGTGTGCGATGAATGGTTGAAAAAAATTGCAGGTAGTAAATGTGAGTATGGCGCGTTGCTTCAGATAGTCAGCATCGAATAATTTCTGAAATATGAAATAATTAGCGATTGTACGTCGTTCGTACTCATTGTCTGTGGCCTGTGTGTCGATCGCATTGGCGCACTCAAGACTCGATCCGGTTGTCTCTTTCTACAATTTTGGTATCCCAATTGAACAATCATAAAAAGAGCAAAAGAAAAATTCGAGTACCAAAACAACCAAAAACACAAATTGCCTTATCTATATCACGCCTTCCATCGGCCCCGCAGAGATAAGATAAGAAGCAAAGATCGAACAAACAATAAGCGCACCTTCATGTTTCATTTCTCTTGCACGGCTCACACAACTCATGTTTCGATTCTCATCCACAATCCATACGGTGTAAATCAACAGAAACGCACAAAATAAATCATTCAAAATCTTGTTTTCCATGCACGTCTGTCATATTTGTTCAGGTTCACGAATGCGGTTGCCCATAAAAGTGGCCGATTTTATGGACTTAACAAAAATATGAAAATAAAAGGTGCTAACGCCAAATCTTTTATACCTTATTTTATTTAAAATATTCGAAAATTACATCCCAAAGTTATAATCATACGTTTCTATATGATTCAGATCTTTTTCACTAATATTTACGAATTATGTGTGTGTTTATGATTCAGAACCGTGATTTCGTTATGATTCAATCAATTGAATTCTTCTTCGATTCTTCTACTTCTTCAATTCATCTATATATTTTGGTTTTCATAGAAATTATTAAAAGATAAAACTTATTTTTAAGTCTTTCGACTGCAACGCTGACGATAAAATTTCACATCCTAACACTTTGAACAATTAAAAAAAAGAGAAACTTAACGAACGCCGAAAATTGATTTGCATGTTGTTTTTTTCTTCCTTCTTATTATCAATTCTGAATTTCAAACGGATGTATTTAAACACTAAGAAAAAATCTGATTGAAATGACAAAGTGCAATAAAACTGTAACAGCTTGAATAGAAAAACACTCAATTCGATTTGTTCGATTCTGTCAAATATGCAAATAGAAACTTATAAAATAGTGCGATTACTTAGACGTATACAAAGTGTGCGTGTTGTGTGTCACCATCGACACAACAATGAGCATTGAATGATCCTTATCGTACAAATTTTGCTTTGTTTTCACGTACTAATTGTGCTGGGCGCACAGGGTTATTTGGTAGATTAGCCATAGATTGATTGTAATATTTGCAAAATAGAATGTTATGTATGGGAAAAAAAGAGATATATAATTTTTTTTTTTTTGATTGTCGTTTCGTCAAATCCAAAATAAACAACTAATGACAATTCCTACTCCATTTTAATATTGACGACGGATGGCCGTTCGAGGTTTCGTGAAATCATTTGTGCGTGCTGTTCGCGTTCTTCGTCAATAGATGGGCTCCGGCTGTGGCTTTGGTGGGTTGCCATATGTGCCATGTGATGCGAGTGGATGCTGTGCGGTGATGAATGTGGCATTCCTTCGATCTTGACTTCATGTTCGGCCAGCAAATTGCCTGAGTTCAATGTGTAATACGGTGACGAGACTGGACTGTATGCGGCTGTCGAGTACATTTCGACCATTGACTGGCCCTGCGGCACACTACTAACGTATGGTTGCAAATAATTTGCGGCACGAGTATTGTTCATGGTCGTATTGGGTGTGCTGTTGGTGAAAAGTGGCGACGGAATTTGACCAGTGAACGAGCGCGGCGACAATGGAGGCGTTTGATTGCTGTCCACTTGAGACACCGAACCATTGATCGATGGCGGTGAATTCTGATGAACAATTGTCGTTGTGATCGGCTGATGGAGTGCAGCAGTCAAGTTACGCAATTCTAGAAATCAAACGGAGGGAACAAACAGTTTGGTTAGCTTTTTTACATTCAAATGTGTGTTGCGAATCATTCCGGCTTACCAGTGGTTGAATCTTGGAGAATTGTGTTGTTGTTGTTGTTGTTGTTGTTGTTGTTGTTGGTGCTGCTGTTATTATTATTATTCGCGCTCGAGTTTTTCGAACGACCCGTTGATGAACCATCATTGTTTGCATTTTTGCTACCCTTTGGCTTGCGCTTGCGAGTCTGAATCGGGACGAAAGAATGAAAAAAATATGGATTAGTAAAGAAAAGTTTATAAAGAAAGGAATAAAACTCCATACGAAAACAAAGAACAAAACATAACCGCATTTGAACTGTTTCCCAAGTTTAAAGCTTCGTCCGAAGCTTTCGAAGAAAACCTTTCAAATGTGTTTGGTTGCGTTTGAGAATAACTCAAAAGTTCGACTCACTTGGATTGTGTCTTTCTTCATGGCGATCGGTCGATTAACATTGTGCAGCTTGTAGTAGAGACCGCATGCATTGCAGACTGGTTCACCGACTTGGTTGCGACGCCACAGTGATGTTTGAGTGGTTTGACAGTTTGAGCACAATAAACCATTGCGTCGAGATGCACTCTATCCCAATCGAAGGAAGAAAAAAACAACTCATGGTTAGAAATCACATTTCAACAAGTTTCAGATTCAAAAAGAAAGAAGGAGAAAAAAAGAGATCATATTTCATGTTGTTGAACATGTTTCCAACTCAAAACAGAAACACACAGTGTTTTTTTTTTGTCTTTCACAAAATTTAGAGTGATTTTCTTGGGGAGGAGGAGGTTGAGAGGGATTGTTGTTGAATTAAAACATACCAGGCGTCTGTTGGACTTTTCTTCGGCGGGTCGCGTCGTAGGTGTATTTTGATTATATTGCGTATACGCATATGCACCTTTATAGAAATCCCCAGTTTCGGCAGCCACTGCAACAAACAATTACAAAAACAATAAATTTTTCAGTTTTTTTCGGTGTGAGGGTGTTTGTTTTTTTTTTGCAAACTAAGATTGATAACTACATAGCTACATTTCGATAAGCGGAACTTGGTTCGCTGGCATCGTATAGCAGCGTTTAAAAATAATTTCTAATTTTGCAAATCTGGATTTTTCCAAACAAAGAACATATGACAAACGAATCAGTATTTTTTTTTTCATCAAAATTCTCTACCAGGTTTCGCATTCACAAGTGTTCATCATTCACATATTCTCTGCATTTTTGTTTAAAACATTTCAAACAATAATTGGGCTGATTCGCCCAATCATTGATTGAAGAAATAAATATTACAAATAAATTCGGTATATATTTGGTGAGCGGCTTGCCGATGTGGTGGATTTCTATAGCGTGTCGTGCGTCTACGAAGAGTTAATTTGCTTCGTATAAAAAAAAAATTAACAAATCCCAAGAAATTGACAAAATAATTCAATTGAAACGGTTATTTTGAGGTTCATTTCATTTGATGGAGTGTCATTTTGTGTTTTTTTTTATATGAATGAATGAAAGGAGTTGGAATTGTGTTAAAGTAGGCTTTTGAATAGAAAACACGTTCATTGAAATATGATCATGTAAGTTAAAAGAATAAATCATTTAAGAAAATATCAAGGAAAGAAAATTCAAATTAAATTTTTCAGAATTTCACAATTTTTCATTTGTGAATCGAAAAAAACCAAACAAAACAATTAAATTGTCCTTTGCTATCATTTTCTTAAATTGATGCATTTGAAAAAAGAAAGAAAAAAAAACACAACAACAATAACAACAATTACAACATGAAAATTTACCAATCGTCGCGGCTGTTTAACTAACGGTCGATTCATTCCATTCATTTTATGATAGAGACCGCAGGCATTGCATAAGTAATGCCCAGTGCCATCTCGACGCCACAATGGTGTAGAAATCGCACCACAATTCACACATTCACGTCCTTCCGTAAATATATCAGCATCTAATCCTACTTGCGTACGAATTATAACATGATTCTCTTTTTACTATTTTGGTTTGTTGTTCACAATTTGTCTTAATTCTCTAGTTTTGATTGGATTTCATTACAAAAGCCGCTAGTTTTTTTCTGTCGAACAAGTATGAAGATGAGGTTTTTCTTTAGGGTTAATCATGGCATGAACATAGAATGACACCACAAATGGATATTGGTTCGGACATGAAGATGTTAGAGAAGAATGACACTTTTTGAAGAAGAAGAAGTAGTAGTAGGAGAAGTAGAAGAAGACGAACAAAAAAAATGATCGGCAATTTTCCGCATGCGACACAAAATGCACCAACGATAAACAAATAGAGAATAAGTGATAACATGCTGGCACTAAATCTTATTTTTTTCTGTATCATACTAAAACTTAACATAATCTGGCTACTACATGCAGTGCGAGTGTGCAATTCTGGCTGTCGTTATCAATAAGGCAGTGACATAGCCATGTACGAGGTAGCCGGAAATGCAATAAAACACTAAGCAGCCAGAAAAAAGAACCATACACAATAACAACGGAATAGACCGCATTGGAATGACTTTTCCTTTGAGACTTCGAACGCAAATTCTGATGACGCGTTTCTTTCTCTCCTTTCTTTCCTTTCTTTAGAGCATGCAAATGATTGTGCGTAAGTACTTTTCGGTTTTGGAGACATAGAAATCGACTGGCCAAAAGGGAATCAACAAAGAAGAAAAGTCGCCTAATTGGTGTTCATTCAGTCGATTCTATCTAATGTTTTGTGGATAGAACCAAAACGAAACAAAAAACAACCGAATTGACTTCTGTGAAGAGAACAAAGGACAGTTTGCCCAAATCTCTTTAGGTGAAGCGAAAACATGAGCACATTAGAATGAGATCATCCAATTCGAACTGGCATCGATCTTTTCATCGTAAGCGATTTTTTGTTCGAACCAAAAACAAACACACCAAATGACCCCACGAGTCGCATTCATGTAACCAATACGAAGCGTACTGTCACAAATGACTTTTTTTCCAAAATTCTAAATAAATTTTTCCACTGGCCACCAAAAGTCAAAGCCAAAACAATATTGACTATGTGTGTGTGTTGTTTTTTTTTGTCGGTCGACCTTTCGAAGGCAAAGCTATTAAAAACAATTTTTCGTTTTCACTGAAACCAAGAGTTAATGAGATTGTCGTTAACGATTGCTTTCCTGGCTCCTAATTCTTGTGGCTCAAGACATTTGTCATAAAAAAAAAAGTTATGACCATTTCCAAGTGTGTTCCATATAAACAGAAGGAAAACAACAACAAGAAAACGAAGTCAAATCTGTTTACGGATCAATGCGATCTGTATTCATTTGAACTGTGATAATACATCAAGTAATACATGAAATGAAAATAAAGCTCAGTGAAAACGTTGACCATTTTCGCTTTCAAACTTCTTGCCAGCACACTGATAAGAATGGTTCAACAAGTGAGCTTGACATATGTATGTTATGCAATCAAAATGTAAATAGAAAACATGGACATGGTTTCATGTAGAAACCTTTGGGCGATTTCAGTTTTGGAATGAACCAAAGTGTGAGCAACGAAACACAGAAAATTATTCAAAAAATGACCTAAAGCAAATGGAATGAACACCACCCCAAGCATAATGCGTAATCTGACTATGATTTCATGGTTAATGCTGATAAACGTTTTTTTTTTCTTGTTTCGTCCGAGTGCTTATCACAAAATACTTGGTACAGTCAATTCAAATGGGCGTTTTTAAAACATGATAAAAAAAATTGTTCAGAAAATAAAACTGATAACATTTATAAAAATGAGAGAGATGTAACTTGTGCAGATGTGACGATGATGATGTGAATGATTTAATCTTTTTCGAGTTTTGAATGCAGCTTATAACAAAAAAAAGGAAAATTCATAGTTCCATCGTTTTTATATAATATTAGTGGAAAAACCCAGATGAACAGAAAAAAAAATTAAATGTCTGACAGACTGACTCATTTGAGTGAGCCGTTTGATTGTTTTAATATTTGCGAATAAATATTTGCAACTTACTTGCTGTGAGTGTTGCACCGGCTGAAATATGAGATCGTCCGGATCGAATTGCTGTGTTGCTTGTTGGCGATCCATTGTAAGCGACTGGACTGGTATCATAGTGATTGGTCCATGAGTCGTTCTATTTGAAACCACACGGAAAAATTCGTTAAATTAACCATCGAATTTGAAATGGAATTCAACAAACAAACAGCGAGAACAAAAAAGCGGATACTTACGACTTGGGAGCTGTAGTTAATGTGAGCAGCATGTCCATTGGTTTGATAGTATGATTTGGCCAAGCGTTGAAATTCGGGCAGGCCACCACCTTTTGGCCGATCAAAATCTTCGCTGGTTGCGCTCGCCGTTGACCACATTTGTGATTCGGGTGTTGGACTATTCGTGAAATAGTGTAGGTTGCTGGCGGTTGGTGTGTATGCGGTGCGGGTTGGAAACACAGGACTACGGATATAAACAGAAAAAAATAAAACACATGAATGAATGAATGCAACTGCAAAAAGAATCAATTGTTTCAGCTCGGCAATTTGTGTAAATAAAACACTTGCGAATGGATTTGAATGAGAGCGAGAGAGAAGGCGCAAGAAAAGAAGTACTAACAATCGACCACCCATACAACGACATGATTCGATCGGCATTAAATGAACGGTAAATATCAAAACTGTATCATCTTAAAAGTCAATACGCAAACGGGTAAGCAAACCAAACGACAACATTCGAGCAGTGGCAGCAGCACGAAAAAATGTGCTGATTGTCTTGATTTAAGTTTTCGATCGGCTTGTTGCTTCTTTGTTTTGCCATTTTTTTCATTGTTCATTTTATTCTCTCCTCACTCCTATGCTTCTGTTATGATTCTAATGGACGTGTGTGTGTCATCCGTGCCATGCAAGTCGATACATGTTTACAGGCTACACGTTTTGCGAGAGCAAACGAACAAAAAAACTCAAACAACCAAATGGCAATTCTTAAGGCATAAAATAAACAATCAAGTCATTGTAATGTGCTCGATTGAAAATAAACAGTCGCTATGTTGTTGGAACTGGACTGATTTTCATTACGGTTCTCTCTCTCTCTTACTTAAAATGATTCATTATATAGCATCGCGAAGAAATTTTTGTGGAAAAAATTCCTGGCAAGTGTTTATATTACGGTTAGTCTCGCGCGTTACCGTTGGATACACAAATCGATAAATAATACCAAATATGGACTTGCTTCTTTCGTTTAGACTTTATGGCGTTTGCCGTTTGAACGCGAAAGAAAAAAAACTCAATTTAAAATAATATTGAGAGTCTGATGATCCCAATTTTGAATGCTCATTCTGATATTTGTTTAAAAATAATTTGTTGCACAATCTCGGAATTTTTACTGTCGAAATCATCACGACCTTAGCAAAAGTGTCATCGCACGACGAAAATAAGCAGATAGAACATGACATTTTTCTTGCAAAAATCTGAATTTAATAAAAATGCATGAAAACAACAACCATCGCCTTTGTCCTTTGCAAAATAAAGAACATGTTGAATATATCGACGATTGAGCCAGCGATTCGAAAATATGAAAGCACGACCTTGATCAGCAACACTCTAGTTTTTTTTTCTTTAATTTTAAATCGTATCGAAAAATTCCGAGCAATGAACCTGTTCAAGCAAAATATGTCAAAGCCGCGGGCAGATTTTAAAAACAGAAAGAAAAATAATAAAACAACAATTCGATTCACTTCAAACGATGAAAAACCGCCCAAAAGTCACTTGAATCAACTTCACGTATTTCAATTGTTCGAAGATACGAAAAAAATATTCCACAATTTTATTCTCAATCACACACGAGTGAAAAAATAGAGAATTGCATGCAAACACCTACTAATGAAAACTATACTCCATTTTTCGCCGGGTTTTGCTTCCGTTTTGAATGCCGGGATGAGTGTGAGAAGAAAAAACGATTAAAACTGCAACTAGCACTTGTTCAACAGCGTTTGATTAAAATCAAACGGTGGCCAACACAATTTTAAGATAAATTCAAACAAGTGTTCGAGCGTTAATTTATACAATGATTTCTTTTTAATGCTATCCACTCATCTAAACGATCAAACGACGAATGAGAGATATGAAACTGTTGTATCGGGCTGCTCGTTATCCATCTATGTGTAGATCACACATACACCATAACACACCCATAACGATACGGCTATCGAACAAGCCACTGACTGAGCCGAGAGAGAGAGAGAGAGAGTGTGAGAGAGGAGAGAGAACGAGCGCATGAATAAGCCAGTGGATGTTTGACTGTTATGTGTTGGATTAAATTACATATAGCCTTGGTCGTTGGGAACAAAACAAATTTTTTGGGAGTTTCTCGATTCGAAATGGCCAACTGGCCAATGAAGTATGCGTGGAAAATGTTCGAATGCGCATACATGCACACACAGATACAGACAAAGAAAACGGCTAAACCCTTCCACTGATTCAAATCCATCGAGGGCTTGCGTCGATCTTAAACGATATGCACGTGAATCGGTTTGAGTTGACGCATTCGATATGACACAACGGCCGTTATGATTAATTTCAATACCCATGCACACACACAAGAAAGATTAAAAAAACAAATGAAGTTTGTCATTCGGGTATTATGTGAGCATCAGATTATGTGGAACTATAGTTTTTTTCCTCGTTCAAACTTCTAGTTTGTTTGTTGTATTATTCAACAAAGGTGCAAAGCGCACAAAACAACGGTGGACGGGTGCAATGCAAAAAACGACGATGAAAATGTTGTTGTTTATGTTTTGGCATTCAGAGTGCAGTCACCATAATCGCACGAACACCTGAGCACATGGCAAACATGCACAGTAAAAACATTGGCTAATATTTCACTATTTAGCGTGAAATTTGAACTTCCAAACGCGACTACATGACTCTTTTCAGCAATTCCATTTTGGTGTTGTTATGCATTGAAGGCACATAAAAGTAGCGAGGCAAAATTCGTTATTCGTGGAGACTCGGAGTTTTTTTTGTGTCGTTCTTCTTTTTGACGTTCCACTTCATTTGATTTTTAGTCATATTCTCACATCATTTCCTTGTAACTGAGTCGAAAAGACGACAGAAACGAGGGAACAAAATAACAGTAACGTTCCATAGAACATTTATACGAAAATAAAAGTGGAAAAGTTGTTTCAAGACGAACGAATAAACGAATGAGCGAATAAAAATGTGAACGAGAAATGTGCTACTGCTGTTCGATTTTATAATTGTTTTTGACACTCTGTATGCTCATTTGTTTACTGTTTATTTATTCGCTTCGTTGTGAAAACAGACGTTTGCATACGAAATAATTAATTGAGAGCGAAAATATTCTTTTCGCCGAAGTATAATTATCGAGGTTGATGTTTGATATTTATGTCGATTCAAATGTAATGCACAAGTGATTTGAAGAAGGATTTTTGTTGAAATTTTTGATTAACTTTACGTTTTTTTTCTTCTTGTTCTTCGTCCTCTTTTTTTCGAAATGGAATTCACAAAAACAAAATATTGATTGGCACTGCAGCAGTGCGATACACACACCATTCAACGGCTGATTATAGTACGATACTGAGAAATTGATCGTAACAATCATAAGGTTTAAGTCAAATTATGCATACATTCGTTGAAAATACATCATTTGAATATGCGCATATAATGACATGTTCCATGTTATCGATAATTCAGACACTACATTCCACTTAAAAACTTGGATATGAACGGCGAGAAGAAGAAGAAGAAGAAAAAAATATGTTCTGAGGTGATAAGGCACACAAGTTGCCACCAAACATTCAAGTTGTTAATAAAAAGAAAACAAAATCGTAACATGTACAACTAATGTTTGCCGTGAGGTCATTTACACCACCTGAAACCAAATTCGAACCGTCCAAAAACGGAAATGTACTGAAAACGGTTTATTTGTTTGTGTCGAATGCGACAGGACAACAAAGAGACTAGCGCTATAAATAAATAGAATCGTTTCGGGTGATTTTGCTGTGGATTTTCTGGAAACAAGTTTCGAAGAATTGTTTTTGTTTTCTGATTTGATCGAAAAAAGCAAAATAATTTCTAGTTTGAAGTTAATCGCATCGGTGACCATGTTCGACCAAGTTCACCATTCGATTTTTTTTAGGTTGCAAACTGGTTTTGCGTTTATTCAAGTATTGCACCGTCCCGAAAATACTGCACAATGAACTATTTTATTTTCTCCATCGCGAAGGAATGAGGCTTGGCTAGTTAGTTTTCCAGTCGCAACGAGAATTGTTTTGAAAAGTGTTTTTCTTCTATTGGCGCTTTAAAAATTGTTCCAGATGCAATGTGGGAAATATGTCTGCTGGTGCTGCAGAAAATTTCGAATAATTTCACGGTGGGTGTCAAAAACGAAATCAATCCAAAGGAAATGCAAGTGCGTTTTGTTTAATTGGCGACACATGCGTAAGGGCACAACGATGTGTATAGTGTGGGCCCACGTGCGATTCTCTGCTCGTATTTCATGCAGAACAAACTGTTGTCGTCGAAACAATACGATGACAATAATGCAATAAATTTATTATAACTGGCCGATGATTCAAAACAAATGCACACTTCGGATCGACGGACTGACGAACAAATGAAGTGTAATTGAAACGAACAAAGGCAAAAAGAAACACAAGTTGGAAGAGAGAAGTGAAAATAAAAACAATAATAATAAACAAAGACGTGAATGTTTGCGTGTGCGCACTTTATGCAGATGAAGCGTTCCGTACGTGGAAATTAGTTTGGAACAGAAAGAAGAAGTACGATCAAAGAACACACACCGAAATACGTATGACATAAGAATGAAAATGCACAACACCGAAACGAATATTGCACACTCAATCGGTATTTGGTGCATTGTGTCTTCTGGCCTGCTGGCTGACTAAGCAACGCGCCCGACCACATGAATTGGACATAGAGCGCACACACATGTGCACATTCTCCGTTGCACATTGTACTCATCCCAAAGTACCTATACTGCACGTATGGCTCAAACTTGCCCTCACCGATCCGATCCATATGTGCATTGGGCTTGTTTATGTTTACTAGACGGTATGAGTGACCAACTATTTCCATACCTGCATCTACTTAATTCTTTGCCTTCCTTTGTCTACTTTCTTAAAATGAAATGAAACCATTGCCAAATATGGTGTATGCAAAAATACCTAGCCGAAGATGAGGACCTTTTCGAGTAATAAAATCCGGAAATTTATGGCAGATCATTTACAGCTTGAAATGTGATGTCTCTGCTTTTGATCTAATTAGCTGTTTTTTTAGGCACTCACTTTGTGCTGAAAATAGGACCATTCTGAAATCACATAACATGTCACAACGCTCATAAACAATATATTTACGATGCATACATGGATGAATGAATGAAGAGCACTTTTGCAACGAACGCAATTTTTGCAGCAAAGACATTTTTTTGCCTGACTTTGGATTCGAGCGTTTAAACATTCAGTTTTTGGGAAATAAAAGTCTATTAATGACAGAGAACAACAGAATTGACATGCACAGCATCCAATAAAGAGGGCGTATGGTATGTTTTGGGAAAAAACAGCAATATGAAACTAATGGCATTCACAAGCTATAGCACCAGTGATCACGACGAAATGTTAATTTTCAAATCTGGTTGAAATGAATATGATAAAAAGTAGTGTTTTAAACATTTGAAATACCGAAACTCGCCCCTTTTGAAAACACATTAAAATGAAACGGATGGATGATTGCATCTGAAATGAAGTGATCACAATTTTATCGGCCGCATGAAATTGACTAACCGATTAAAAGCGACATTTCAATTCACGGTTTGCCACAGAGGGGACTACCGTAACGGATAGATTTCGCACTGGACAATTAAAAATCATTTGCGCATAGAATTGAGAAGACGAAAAAAAACCTCATCAGAATATATTGAGAAACGAAAATAATAATAATTTGTTTAGCAAAAATCGAGCTCGTCTGTTGACGTAAACAAACGTTTGTAATGGCAACATTATAATTGTGTGGCGAATGACACAGAAAAGACAAGAAGAAACAACAAAAAGTTATATACAAAGATAACCTGCTGTAAGCAGAGCACAGATGCGTCCAGAATCATTTCACTTTTATTTATTTATCAACATGGTTCGAAATATTGTTGATAAAAATGAGTGGCCGTTTTTTTGTTGTTGTTCTGTGCGCCTCACTGCTTCTCTTTCTCTGTCTCTCTCTGGCCCAGTTGCTACCGCGCAAAATTTCAGCTCAGAATTTCACTTTCATTCTCATTGGCGCAGTAAAAAGCAAAACAAATTCGTTATCACTATTGGAATGGTACAGCGCGCATGAAGTATCAATAAAATTGTCTTGATTTCTGTGTGACTGACGAGTGAGCACACACAATAAACAAGTCGGACGATTTTTTCTGGTCGAAAATGTTGGTCGAACGAATGACACGATGAGAGACGGCAATGAGCGTTGATCATGTTTTGAACGAAATTCGTTCACGAATTATGACAAAAGCACTTTCTTTGCCTTTGGGATATTTTGTTTTTCTCACGGACAACGATTCTTTGGCACTTTTTTTCACTTTGCGCTCGGAATTTTCCGAAATTTATTTTTTTTCTATGCGAACTGACACTGCATTTTTGGACTTGAATTGTTTCTACATTGCGATTGACAAGATATTTGAAGTGATTGATGAAAATAAAAACTGATAAAAGTACATACCTGCCGGGTGTAGCTGGATGGAGGACGCTTTCGTACGTTTGAATGGGATGCATGATTGAGGAGGTGGTAGCCGTTGTGACGCTGCTGTTTGGTGTGAACAAAGCGGTGCCACTGTAAGCGGTAACACTTTCACGGTTTAGCACCGAATGATTTGTATCGGTGGCGTTGGTTAAATGGGTGTAATTTTGAATGCCATCATATTCATCGTGTTGTGACAAATGATTGTTGTGTGGACTTCTTGAATTATTTTCACCATCATCACTGTTTGCCGCCGAATGGTTTCCATTGTAATTGACATTGGCAACGAGTACACCGTTCGGGCTGGTATTTATTCCATCGATCATTCCGCAGTGTTCATCTTTGATCGCGTCTGCAATGACTTCATTCACCAAATCACCGGTTGCCCGATGCGCAACAATTTGATGGTAATGTTGTGGCGGTGATGAGGATGAAGTGACGGTTGTGTACGGTGAATACATGTAAATGAGACTGCTTCGCAACAATGCTGTATCCGAACTGGAAACGGGCGAATTTTGATCATGGTAATCCGAATCAATCAGCGGATGATGTAAATGATGTTGTTGCAATACCATCTCGTTGCTATTGCTGCTGTTGCTGCCTGTTGATGTATTTCTCGACGACGTGAAATGGCTTGGATCGCGGCTATTTTTCAAATTGGACGACGATGATGATAACGCGTGCAATAACGGCGACGACAATGATAATGATATAGTTGACGTACTGCAGAGATTGTTGTTGTTTGTTGTTTCGGCCACAGACGACGATGCTATGGTATACGATGCAGATATGTTGTCGCTCGCTTGCGTGATTATTTTTGAATGATTTGCTTGGAACTTATCGCCACTGGTTTTATACACGACACAACCATCAACCAATAGGCTATTGCTGCTATTCAGAATGTTTGGAACTGTATTCAGTTCGCAGTACGATGTTTCAGAGTCCGTTTCTATATTCCATATACACACCGAAAAAGAGGAAAAAGAAAAGGGAAAAAAAGAACGATGTATGTTTCTTTCTCGTTTGTTTTGCTGTTTGTATTTTCCGTTTCAAAACGTATACATAAAAATCACTCTCACTCGCTCTCTCTCTATTTTCCCCTCTTGCTCAACGCACGAAGAAGGAAAAGCATAAGAGGAAGCTCAAAGAGCACACACAATACAAATAAATTGGTAAGAAAAAGATGAGAAACGAACGAAAAGCGAAGAAAAAACAAAAACAGAAAAACTCCGTTGAAAGGCAACCAGTGTGGCATTGAGAACGATAGAATAGGCAAGTGGCAAGAAGAACCTTTCGTATGGCATTCGAATGAGCGCTGAGCGAAAGAGTGAGACAAAACGATGAAAACGCACAAAAGAGAATCGTACGAAAAATAAAACGGGGAGAGACAGCAACGCTTGTGCGGCATTTGCCCAACAAATAACAATGTATACACAATGTGTATGCGACAGAGACGACCATACGTTGTGGTGGGAAAAGGCATTGCTTTAAATTATTCTCATATGCTCTCTTGTACTATTGTCTTTATTCGCCGACTCAGCAACGGCGGCCGTGAGCGTTGGAGTGAGCGAGCGAATACGAGTCACTACGATTTTAAAAAGTACAGCCCAGTCAAGCAACAGGCTATTTTTCATGTCTCATTCAAAGTACATCTTTTTTTTCTCTTCAAAAGGCACACATTGAACAATCGTTCGCACAACTATGTAGCTCTATGAACATAGATTGAAACCGAAATTTTATTTGCGACTAGCGCCGATTTGAAGCAAATAATTATGTGTGTATTTCTGCATGTTTTTGCACTACAGACAGAAAATAAAAACTGAAGAAAAATAGTGCAAATCCAGCACACAAATGATCTATTTGGTTAGGATCGCACTCTTGAGGACTTTGTTTTCTTTTATTTTACTTTATTTGCCGAACCACTTACAATGTGTGAAATAAATACAATTTTATGATTTCATTCATCAATTGCTCTCTCTCTCTCTGCCTTGCATCGTTTTCATTCCGTGTATGTCTGTGGTAATAAGTTTTATTTGTTTATAAATGGCCATTTTCGACTAAACAAAAGCCAAACATGATATCAATATTCGATCCAAATTGCTGATCGACAATTTATTGTTTGTGGCAGCACTTTTTCGCTCCGAAACCTAAATAAATACAAATTCAGAGGTAATATTTGGCAAATAAACAAATCGCAAACTGGACACGCATGTTATTCCAGCGAAAGACGAAAGGAAAAAAATCGCATTTTGTTTGGTTAATATGTGCTTGCGTTGTGGCATTTGCACTTTGGCAAATAAAATGAACGATTTTATGATTGCCGTTTTTTTTCTTCTTTTGTTTTCTATTTGTCGTGTGCATCTGAAGAAACAAAAAAACAAATCATGTTGTGTTTTGTTGCTTTTATTTAGTCGCTATGAGATCTCTTCCGTTCCGCCGCTATTTTTTGCACTTTGCCCGAACAAACAAACAGAAACACGAAAAAGGGACTTTAATTTCGGTTCAAAAGCATACAATTTGACATGGCTATAATTTTGGTTATGGTTCGCAGGTACTCGAAACGGGAACCAAATTAAAATGCAATTCAAATCCATTAAAGTTCAATGAAATGGCACACAGAAATGCATACATGATTAATGCGCGCAGAGAGCGGACAAATGAAAGCCGAAAAATTTAATTGGATTTTAAAAATGCATAAAATGCCCATAAAAATGTTGAAAATTTGTCGGGCTTGCCGATGCCTATGATCTCATCAACAATGTTGTCGCAATTACCCGTTGAAGAGTTTTATGTTGCGTTGCACATTGTGGGCTGCTACTTAATTAAAGCGATTTCTAACAAGAACTGCCGCTATCGTCTATTAAAACTACATTGTAATCGGACGGAAAAGCAATAAAATTGTGTTCGACAAGAGCGAACAGAAGACGAAAAAAATGGTCTATGTTTTTGGTCACATATGAATAAAATATTCGTTTTATTGGTATTTTACATAGATTTAATGGATCGTTCATCATGTTTCGAAACATCGACACAGAGAGAGCATCAAGTGAAGTTCGATTCGTATGGCACTGAGTAAAACAAACGACATGAGTGTTTTCTTGTAATTTGATGCGCTGTTTTGTCGTTAGACTTCCACACAAACCAAAGAAAACATAAATAAATTTCACATTTCTATGTGTGTTTTTTTCCTCTTTACAAATTTCTTTTTATGGCTTTTAAATGAGGAAAAAACACAGACTGAAAATGATCCTTTCTCCACTTTTCTCTCGGCAATAATTTCTTTCGGAGGACTTCGACTTTCACCCGCAACACTCGACACTATTCACACGAACCAATAATTCCACAGAAACCAATAATTCACTGTTTGTTTTCTTCGGCAATAATTTCTCGAGAATCGCTTTATAAATCAGTAAAATGACCGAATGTATGTGCATGCGTGTCATCAGTATGCTTGACAAATCATTGATTTATGAAGTGCAACGAATCTCGGGAGAGATGCAGCCGAAAGCAATCAAAATCCAGTCACAACGAACATATCAATTGAATGATAATTTTCACTGTTTCACGACACACGATAGGCTAAACATATTTGGGACTCGTCATAGGCTCACACACTCAAAGTTATTGCTCCGATATCCTTTTGCTAATATAGAAAGGAGTGTAATCGATTTGATTTGCCGGCGCGCACTTTACCGTCAAATACACGTGAGCCACTTAGCGATTGTTCAATGGTTTGTTTGGTTTTTTGTTCGTTGTTATTATCTTCGTAGTCGTCATTACAAGTGTAGTACACTCTTTAATACTTCTTTCTGTCGTCGTCGTCGCGTTGGCTTTCTGATAAAATTTAATCATTTGTTTATGTTTATGTTTTTATCAATCAAAATGTATAGTAAAAATTGGTGATAGCGCCGTGTAACTGTGTTTAGTGCCAAACAAACGATAAGGTATCGAACGAATTTGTGTGTCTCGTGATTTTAAGCCGGCACACTATGATTGTGACTCGGACTGAAAAATGAGCTGATATCGTTTTTCTTTGCTGTATAACCAATTTGCAAACACACAAAACGCCATATGATTTGGCGTCGACGTCGTCGTCGACATCGTCATTTTGCGAACGGTCAATCGTCATTCACATATAAACACATGAAGTTTAGATAAAGGAATATTCGAACGTAACAAATATTCAGTTTCGCCAGTTTTATAGTAAATACAATTCGGCTTATCACTTGAGCAGGTTTTTGTTTGGGCTTCTTTTTTTTCGCTCGATTACTTGTTGTCTGTGCGTGTATGTTACACATAGTAAAACTTATCAATTGCAGCGGCACACATTAACTCACGTTCAATTTGATTTCGCTACTAACGGCACATTCACCGCATGACCAGCCTACTGATTAATTCATGTTTATTCTACGATCGCGTCAACCCTTTTCACCGGTTCATTATCAATTTAAGCTACAGAACGTTCGTTCATTTATCTGAAGCATCCTTTTCATCGAACGTGTAAATATGAATGGAAATAATCATAATTACCTTCATCTATTTGAAGCGGAACCGCGTTTGTTGATTTATTGATCTTCAAAAGCAGTTCCGTTTGTCAACAGCAAACAACAAATCTCAAGAGGATCCCATGATCATTTTCACATTAGTGTCAGTTTAGGCCAACAAATGAAAGTCTTGTCAAAACATTCACCATATGCTTGAATCAACGTTATTTTGAAGACTCGAAATATTCTGGTTTTGTTTTGTGGAATTAACTCAGAAAAATGTGTAAAAGTGTTTTAAAAAAAATGTGCCTCGACTCGTTGCGAAAAAAAAGAAGAATTCCAATTGAAACGCTTCACATTGCCACACTTTAAATTAGTCACACATAATTTACGCTCTTATCTCGTTAGCCAACCAATAAAGACAGTTGCGAATGAAATTAAAAGTGAATATTTTGTGCTTGCAAATGTGCGGTGACAAACAAAGGCTGCATTGAAAATGCCTACGACCATTAACAACTCATTTGCATTAACATAACAATAGAATTTTCCGTTAAATCACGTTGACACTATTCGATCGAACCTCGATGAATGGCTCTTTAAGTATTTCTTTATTTGTACCGAATTGCATTGAACTATCAGAGTCATCGCACGATATATGCCATTATTCGTTGAGAAAAAAATACGAATTTTTTTTCTGTGCATTCCGTGCACATAAATTGTCACACAAAGAAACCTGTTAAACGCAACGCATTTCTCGAAGTAACTTGATTTGGGTCACATTTGAAACAGTGTGTAATTGATCAATAAAGGCTATAAATATTTCAATTCAATCGACGGGGTAGGAAAAAAACACCCGAAACTTCGTTTTGTGAGTGGTGTTAAAATATTTATTGCAAGAGGTTACATCGATCGGTCTATCCGTTCGTTTGGTCTCTTGCTTTAAATATGTTTTGACTTTGATTCGGTGTCAAATTACAATGTGACCTTAGAGACAGTGAAGAAAAGTTCTCTTTTTCTCTGTGACTTAGTTTCTCGTTTTGTTGTGCAGCCAGAAATTTCATAAGAATATCAAGGAAAATTGCATGAATTTCGCAACATCCAACGGGATTGCGTAAGAAAAAGAAATTGAGACATAAATTCGCCAAATTTATTTGCATTTGAAGAAATCGGCCAGGATTTCGTTTATAATAAACATGGGAATAAATTAAATTGAATTAAAACCATTTGCTGATAACGAATGCGCCAGTTTGAGTTGTAACCGATAAAAGTTTTCACTTCAGCTGTAATTACGACTGAATTCGATTCGGATTACATTGTTCGTCTCTGCTTGACTGTGCGCGATCTACAGTTGTAGTTGTAGGGAATTCATTTCAAATTTGAATTGTAGCTTACTGAATTTACTTTTTGTGTGTGTGCAGTCGTATGATGATCGAGAATGTTCGACGTTAGATGAGTGAGGTCTGAGTTCGCAATGCATCAGTGACGGTTATTCTGGTGATTCGCTAACGACAGTGTGTAAATATAAATGCGAATTAAGTTATAAGTTGATTCTTGATGCATATCGACAAGCCGCTTTTTCCCTTTTTTGCTGATAAATTTTTCACAATTTGAAATTGTTAAAAAAAAATAATGCCGAAATTTGTCAATGCGCCGGGTCGAACTGGGCGATATGAACCGCCCTCTGAGAGCGTACGTCATCTCAACTTTAAAAATACAAACCGAAATGTTGAAAATGCAATGAAACGAATAAGTAGCCAGCATCGAATGTGGCTATGGACACATATATTATGATAAATTCCTCTGAAATCACTCTCAAAATGGGCTTGTGTAATAAAACCAGAAGCACATGTAGAATGCTGCTGTGAATTTATCAAATCCTGAGCCCTGTAGGGAGTTGATGCATACTCATGCCCAAAATGTGCTCACAGAAAAGAAAATCGAAATTATCTTTTTTTTTTGTTGTGGCTTTTATCAGTTTTCAATTTTGAAGAGAGAGTAAAAAACACAACATATGAAATGGCTAATTTTGTTTTGATGTCAAATTCGACACCCCCGTCCTCTGCCTGGCTGTCAATATGCGTTGTGTGATGTGTGCGGTTTCAAACGCATAAATCACAGTTTGTTTGCATTTCCATGGATCAAGCAGAAAATGTTTGTTGCTGCAACAAAAAGCAAGTCAGACGAAGAATACGCATCACAGCACAATTACGCCGATTAATCCACACCACAAGCTACCAACCACACAATGGCCGATATCACATTTGTTTTCTTTGTGTCTGTTGTCGCCTCAAACATTTGCATAAACCAATTTTCTTGGTCATCGATACCGGGTTTGCAAAAGTCAAAAGCAACCGAGATTAGTCGGGGGAAATTTCCGAATGTGATTTCGTCCAAAGAAAATAAATTCAACATGGGTTTTGAAATGTTTGGGAACGGATTAGATTTGTTGGATTTGGAGTGGGACTTTTTTTTAGCTTGTGCTCAGTTTGAAAAACCAAACATTAGTCAAATGAAATGAGCACCATACGTACATTCCCAATGTATTTCTCACTTCCTGCACACGCGTCACACTCAATTGCGCATGCCGTTAACTCGGTTTGTCCGATTTATTTTCCATTTTTTCTTCTTCTTTCTTCGACTGGAAATTTGCAGTAAAAATGATTTGAATAAGCCTTTTGCTGTCGGACGATGTAATCAAAAATGGATGGCTGTTGCGATGTGTGAGTGAATAAGTACGCGAATTGAGACGAATGTGGAAAAAATCACCGATTGACCTTGCATCAACGTCTTTCAATTGAACGACTTTTATTCAATACTCATATTGAATGTTTGAGAAAACGTTGAGCGCGCTGCACCGCACGCGCAAGAGAGAAGGGAAGAAAAAAATAATGGATTTAACACTCATTTTTACAGTTCTGCATGCATTGTTCATTTTGAATGGATCGGTTCGGTTTGTAGGTCACGAAAACAACTGTGCCTTGCCAGTTATTTATTTCTATTTAAAAGTTAGAAACAATAGACGTTTTACGGTTCATTCTGCACTTTGGTTTTGCTTATTTTCAATGCTCAAATGCCTATTTCAGCTCCGTTTGTCCGCGTATACACATACACTCACACACGCGTTCACAAATTGTACGCGACATATTTTAATATTGTAATAAAACTGCCGTTTTCATGCATTACCTCTTACGAAACACACAATTGCTGTACGCAGCCGTAAGCACAAATATGCGTTCTGTTCTCATTTTCTCTCTCAACAATTTTTTGAAATGGAAGAAATATCGCTTGTTTTGCTATTGTGACCGAACTACTGGGATTTAACGAAGAAATTGAATGGGAAACAGTGTTTCCAATTTCCGAGTTGCGAAAAGAAAAAAAAGAAAAAAAATCAGCCAATATAGTTTCCGTGCGACCACTTGTTGCACATTGCGACCGAAACGAATAGATTCGATTTGTTCGGCCATACGGCAAACTAAACAAACTAACTGCAGTTACAGCCAAATGGTGACGGTGGCGACGGCGACAGCCGACAGCGCCAGGCAACGCCACTGCAAGCGATAACTAGAAACTGATATTATTTCGGTGTGAAAATTGCGGGTACACCAATTTCTTGGGAAAATTATTGCAATTTCCTTATCATATCTTAATCGAGCCCAACTGTTTTACAATCACGTAAAAATTCTAAATATATACGGTTTTCTATCCGTTTTTGTTTGGGTGTGATAACAGGTTTTTCGCTATCGCACAATTTTGATAACATGCACAAACCAAAAGGGGAAACCACTTGCAATACGAAAAATGCTCAGACATTATGCCATTTCAATTCACTTGTTGCCATCAATAAGTTGTGTGCCCCGTTCGATTGAACGTGTCATTTTCGGTGGAGTTTTACGCGACAAATATTTAAATATTCCGATCTTCTGTGATAAAATAATTAGTGGCCGCGGTCGAGAGCGCAAACGTTTATTATAATCATAAGTGTATTCATTTTTCTTCGACTTACTTACCAATTCGATACTCTTTTGACGACATTTTGTTATTACTTCAAACGCACAAAATTTAAAGAAAAAAACCAGTGATGTGCACCAAAACTTTCTCAAATAAAAAATGTTTATTAGTCCGTCGAAGCTGTTTGCTCGTTGTTTTTAAATTGGACGTACACTTCGTTTACAAATACACCAGTGAATGATACCTGCTGATAAGCTATAGAACTGTATTCAACACAGCATCACCAAAATGTGAATGTTTTTTTGTGTTTATGTTTGCGTGTGCGTAACCGTTCATCGAAAAATTAAAAATTAAAAACAGCCAAAAAATTGAATCACAGAATCTGTTATCATGTCGCCATTTTTTCTTCTCTATAGTCTAGGCCGATGTGTTTCTTATGTTATTAAAATGTGACTGGTGTTTATTTAAAAAAAAAACTGCTGTCGAAAAGATCAACACTCGTCACTGTGTAGAAAAAATATGGAATTTTTTGTGATAGTTCCAAGAAAAGGCTAAATCATTCAAAACTAGGCTGTTGTGTAGCAACACTATTCGACTACTAAAATTGCAAATTGAAATGTGCGCGCAATCGCGACACGGCTACTTAAACAAACACACACTGTACGCGGGAAACTATACTGTGTACTGTGTGCTGTTGCTGCTGTTGTGTTGCTGATGTGGACGTCAGCACCAACGCGTGTATGTTTCATTTTGACGAATCGCTTCACTCCGAACAGAAAATTACTTTCCTGTATATTATATTATGAATGATTTTTGCATTGTACATTGAGTTTCGCAACATGTACGCGGCAATTGAAAATTTGATGTGCTTTGCGCTTTCTTTTCAAACTTGATTCAGTTTGAATTGTTGGTACCGTCGTGTGTACTTTTTTTGCTCGCTCATTTTCGTTCTCCTCACAACACACAATTTATGCGCATGAACTCAAGTCATTTGAAATGTTTCTCATTAAATCCAGAGAGAGAGAGGAAAAATAATTGTGATGTTTGAATGACTTGGTTTAATTTTTGCTCAGATTTGTTTTTTTTCTCCCTTTGTACTTCGTTCGACCAATGGCAACAGCAACAGTTGGAAATAAAATTGAAGTATTTGCATGACGTGACGTGAACTCATCGCTACACGAGACGGGACTTTTTCTAAAACGCTTGGGATCATGTTATTGACAATTCTCGAGAAAACATAGGTCACTAAATTGCTCCCATTCAATAAAATGCACTCATTTACTTTGTAACACAACAACTTTGTGTAATAAATTTAGAGTTTTTTTCCGTTCCGTTTTACATTCTCTTGAGAAACACAAAATCGATTGACGTAGAGTCGCGTGATCACAGAGCATCGATGAAATGGCTGTCTCAACCGTCCGAAACGACCAAAATCACTTGATTGTTGCCAAAGAATTCAATTGCATTCGGAATGAAGTAAGGCTGTTTTTTTTTCTGATGTGGAAACTGCAAAAGGGCACCAGATCAATATCAATTGCATTTGTTTATTTTTCTTACAACGCATAATCTCATTTCAATCAAACTATCAGCATATTTGCCATTCGAGATTGATTTCAAGGCTTCAGTCAAAACAATATCTGATTCACGATGTCTCTATTGAAGGGGGAAAATCAAATTATAGATAGCATTTTTTCAAATTAAAGGCCTAGGAATGATATTTTTCCATCTTAAAAATACGTCATTATCAAATCAGTAATTATCTCAGAATAAAACGCTCAAATCATTGTCGATGTACTCATCATTGACTTATCACATTACTATCTAATGATAAACACTTTCGTAAAAACGGCCATAAATTGTGTACGAAAATAGCAAAGAAACAATTAGTGGCTAAGATAAACCTAAAAAGACAATCAATCATTGGCAACGAAAAGCAGTTTTTATTGGGCAGTCGAACTGAAATCAAGTCAAAATGCCAATCATAGTCCGAGATGCCACGAGAAATGATGTTCTAACCATTATGGAGATGTTGATCGTGAGTTGCGATAAAATATGCATCTATTGGAATGCATCTATTGGCATTTTGCAATGGTTTTTATCTTCAACAGGGTGTAGCTGAGTATCAACACGATCGAATTTTACTTTGAAAGGTGGGCGCTAATTATGATCTTTTATTTAGGAAATACTTCTATTCATTTTGAAGTTCTAAATTTGAACATATATCTCATCGCCAAGACACTATGGAATTTCAATTATTCGAAAAGAGAATTCAAACATTGCAAAATTTGCAAAGCAAGTGCTTCATTGTGATTCAACGTTCAAAAATTCGCTAAAACATTGGGAATTCCGAGACGTTATCACTTGATTCAAAGTTATATCGTGTTTTTCCATAATAACACCGCTATGGAATTTCTTCGTAGATTTGCGTCGCGATGGAGGCTTGGATGAAAATTGCAAAACGCCGCCTCTTTATATTGCATTTCTCGCGGAAGATACCGAAGTTAGCGATGGGTATGTGCAATTGGTCTTTTCCGCATATTGAAACACGATCAAATAACATTCAACAACATTTCGAAATTTCATTTCAGATCACCATCAGTTGTGGGGCTTGCAATGTGCTCTTTTATTCATATGTGGGAAGGAAAAACCCTCTTCTTAAATGATTTATTCGTGAGTCCATCTCATCGGTCACGCGGCATTGGCAAATTCCTTTTCATTGGCAATATGTCACGGAACATGGTTATAATTGCATTGATTTTTATGTAGTGAATTTCAATCCGGCAACAAACCTCTACGAAAAAATGGGAGCCATTAATTTGACCTCAACGTCCGGTGTTCTCTGTCACTATTTGTACAAAAATGTTATCGACTCAATCGAGATATAATTTAATAAACTAATCAAGAAGTTCATTCCAAATGAAATCTTAATAAAATGAAAAAAAATACTGTGTCAGTACAAGAGAGATGTTGAATACAAGATTATACATAGAATTCCCGTCGGTCTCAAATGAAATAAATTGAACAGAAAAAAAGCGTTAAAAAGTGATATACCAGCAATTTTTGCACTGATGCAAGTGAGTGACTCATTTATATTCTTCTTCGTTCTTCTCTTCTTTTCAATTCCACAATATTTGCTACTTCTCATTTCTAAAGAAATGAAACGAAATTTTGGTCATCAAAGCATGCACCAAAAATGACATTGGAACGTCATCTTTTCATGTTTCAAATTGTAAGCGTTTACCTCAAAACAATGGATTTGAATGCATGTTGCAGATTTGTACATAGATGGTGGATTTGAAGGCGGTCCAGCTTCTTTCTTTGCTTTTGAAATAGTAGATTCATATGGGTTGGTACTTTGAAATATTTCGTAACAAAAGGGAATTAATTCGGTTGAATCGATGTAGGCTGTCTGCAATCAATGGATTTACAATGGCGTCGTATATGTACTCTGGGACGGAAAAGCGATTTCCGTGAATCAAATTTATGTGAGTGAACCACATCGATCAAAGGATATTGGCGAGTCACTTTTCAACGAAATGCTCAAGCCTGCGAAGCAAGTAGGATGCGGTCGCATGGAATTTAACGTATTTGACTCTGACCCGGCTTTGAAATTCTATGAAAAAATGGGAGCCTTGAACACAACTGAAAAGGCTGGATGTCACTCTTATCGCGTGTATGACGTCATCAACTCCAGCAGACAATAATAACGTTTGCCTTTATTTTTGAACATTTTCTTCGAGATAATTTCTAAAGAAATTATTTGAATTTTTTGAAAGAAAAATCGCTTTTAAATCATAAATAAATAAAGAAAAGAACTTATTCGATAAAAACGACCAAACTGTTTGCGTTTCTATTCCTTAAATTTTATTTTTGGTCATTTTTCATGATAAAAGTGCGAATATTCCGTATGTTTTTTATACTATGCAAAAGGTTAATACGATTAAGGTCTTATCAAAAAAAATTCAGAACAAAAAACCCTATAATTGATACGAACATTGATAACTGAGTCAAAGTATGATTTTCGACAGAAATATTGGGCATAAGCAACAGTCATTCGCTCGCTTTGTTCAGAGCAATATTTCAAATATTTGTTTTTCCAACATTAAATTTAATTAGAAATTGACAATACTAGAAAATTGCAAAATAAACATGACAATCACAATAAGAAAGGCACTCAAAGGTGATATGCCCGTCGTCTATGAGCTGATGAAGGTGAGTTGCTATTTGATGCGACAACGCTTACTTTAATTTGTTTTTTTTTCAATGTATCTATGAAGGGTTTGGCTGAGTACATGCAAGTAGGAAGTCCACCAGCGATTCATTTGGATGGTGAGGTTTTTTGTTTAATTTTTACACTTTGCATATCAACTCAAATTCAAAATCATCGAATCTATTAGATTTGTATAGAGATGGTGGATTTGACGGTGGTCACGCTTATTTCTTCGTTCTTCTGGCCGAAGATTCAGATCACAAAAATCCAGACGGGTTTGTATTCAATGAATACTAATGCAAAGTATCGTTCAAGTTGAATTCTTATTATTATTTCGCTCCTCTTCTTTTTCTAATCAACCAGATCGCTTGCTCCAGTTGGATATACGATGTATTCCTATGTAAATATAAAATGTGGATAACACTTGATTTTTTATTTTTGTCATTAGAACAGCATTGATGATACTTTTAACCATTTCTTCAAGATATACTGCTTGGGCGGAAAATCGATGTTTATGCGGAATATGTTTGTGAAGCCATCACATCGTCTGAAAGGTGTTGGTAAATTAATTTTCGGGGAACTAGTGAAATATGCCAAGGAAACGGGATGCCATCGAATGGAATTTCTTGTGCCTGAATGGAATCCGGCAAAGGAATTCTATAAGAAAATGGGCGCGGTTAATTACACGCTTCGAACAGGTTACGAATATTATCGTCTAAATGAAGATGCTATCCACCACTTTGGTCAAGAATGATATCAGCGTGAAAATCAAACGAAGGCATTAGAATTTATTTTTTAGCAAATTATCTCATGGCTTTGATTCCGAATGAAAATAAAGTTGGTAAAACAAACAAACGCTAAGCTGTGTTTCCGTTTATTCAATATACTGCTATTGTTTTTAACTACCCAATGAACGTTTAATTCCTGAAAATGCTCTAATGACGAAGGCATTTTTTCGAGATAATTCAAAGTATTTTAGATTGTCGTGCGAAAAAAGGGGCAAAATAAAGACACATGATATCTCGAAAATCCTTATAACAACTACTTAAAATGATGTTCATAAATAATATGTTTCGCTAATAATTGGATTACAGTTGCTCATTCGCTTTCGTAAGAGTTACATCAGTGTATTGCTGTTACAGCATTCAACTTATAGCAAAACATTTGTAAAAATCATAGAAAATTGCAGAAAAATGACGATAACAATTAGGAGAGCCACCAAAAAAACATGCCAACCGTTTTTAAATTGATGAACGTACGTTGAATTCGTTCACAAAATTAAAACTAGTTTTTTCGCAATAATCTGCGATTTTACGCATTTTTTTCATCCCTCTTCAATCATAGATTTAAATATTTTGCAGGACCTGGCCGCTACTTTAAAAGAAAAAGCACCAAAAATCACCGTTGAAAGTAATTTTTTGTATTAGTTTTCATTCTATTGTCAATTATTTCAAAATTGCATTTTAGATTTGTATAGAGATGGTGGTTTCGACGGTAACATTCCATATTTCTTTGCTTTACTGGCAGAGGATACAGAAATAAAAGATTCGAATGGGTTAGTACGCGTCACTCAGTGAGTGACGCTCGTATGCTGACTGTCATCTTCTATGATCTATAATCACCTCTCAAGACTTTTCATTATTAAATTGAAAACCAAACGATTTCATTCTACAGACTGCCATCCGCCGTTGGATTTACATTGTGTTCGTATTCGTATTCGTGGGACGGGCGCACCATCTACATGCGCAACATTCTCGTGTGTGATTCGCATCGATCAAAAGGTGTAGGTAAATTGATCTTCCATGCAGTAGTTAAATATGCCAAGGAAATTGGATGCAATCGCATTGAGCTGCACGTGAATGAACATAATCCAGCTCGTAAATTCTACAAAGGGATGGGTGCAATAAATGCTGCCGAAAAAGAAGGCCATGTTTACTATCGCTTGTACGATGTCAAAAATAAATTTCATGCAATTTAATGCAAACAGGCTGAATGGATTTGCATAAAATTCCAAGAATGGTTCTTATTTTAAAAAAATCTTTGAAGAATGTCATTCCCACATAGTTTCAAATCATAATAAAATACCAAACTGGTTTTGAATCGACTTCCATCATATGTTCTTAGTGTACTACCACAATCCTATCTACGTTTTGGTATCAACATTGTTGTAGTTTTTTTTAAATGGTCTTATCATTTTTTTTTAAATTGCAAAAAATGTTCAATATTTGCATTTCGAAACTTGGTGTTTTTATCGTTTGGTGTCTCGTGCATTTTTCTTATCGAAGGACGTTGCTTATCGATTCGCATAAATGGTTACTGGTAAACAAAAATAGAGCCAGACTCAGAATGATACCGTCACAGCGGGCGTTTCTATTCATATTGACTTACCACTGAAACTTTAAAATAAATATCATAGACACAAACACACGAATAGAAGAAAAAAAAACAATAATTCCGTTCTGTGTGTGGGTCGTGATTGTTTTCTTGCACTGGTATGGTTTTTTATCAGTTGCGTTTCGGGAAATATTCGAAAAAAAGAAGGAGAATTTGCTACTTTTTTTAGTTCCTGTTTTGGTTGTTTAGTTTTTGCCGTCTTTTCCCCTCTTTCAATTGATAAGAATTGATTCCATTTAATTCAAATGCAAACCGAATACGAAATAAAAACTGTGTAAATGACACGAAAAATAACGGAGCGCGTTATCTAATCTAAACCAACTTGTGTGAATGTCTTCTCTCTCTCTCTCTCTCTCTCTCTCTCCATATACATTTTTTCCGCTGTAGAAATGAAGTGCAGGCGCACACTAAATATCAAAATTCCCTTTACCAATTTATCAGAAAGTGGCTTGCTTTTGTCTTTGATATGAGTTCGCGCGTTCATCGCACGTCACTCCATGATATTCATATCATATCAACGGCCGTAATCAAACATACTTTACAATCAGAGTATAAAATGACGAGCACTCCTTCACAATTAAATGTCATATCCAGAATTTGACAGTTGCTCTGTCAACGTCAGAAGATTTACTTCGGCGCTGCGGATCGCATTCAATTTTTTTCTTCTTCTTAGTTTTGTTTTCGGTAGCCGGTGAAGTTATACAGTGATTGTCGCGTTGAATAACATTTCTATTGGCAACTTGTTTTTTTTCTCTAATAAGTGTGTTTGAAATGGCGTTTTCAGTACGAAAAGCAATAAAAAGTGATATGCCAGCAATTTTAGGCTTAATTCAGGTCGGTTTAAAATACAGAGTGCACTCTTTTTGAGAAAACATTAATGAAAATCGTTTCGAAAGAGACATGTAATTTTTCACACTTGAGATGACAAAGTGAGGGCAAAGATTGTTTCATTTTGAGCTGAGTGATGTGACAACCAAAGTTCATTCCATGCGCAAATGTTGCAATATGATTTTGCGAAAATGCACAATCATCTCATTTCGGTTGCATTGTGCACGGGTTTGTCCTTGGTTTTACAGACAAGAAAAGAAGCAAAACCCATTTAGATTGTTAGCATGGAACCAATAAATACCTGCAACCGTAATGTATTCAAGTAGCCTCAACCGAACCGAATTGGTTTTCCATAAATTTAATCATTTCCGAGGACAAATTTACCATAAAAACGAGTGCACATACAACCACTGGCTTTTGAACACGACAACAACCAGAATAGAAGAAAAAGGAAGAAGAAGAACATTGTTTGTTTTATCGCCACTGCGCCATTTACCCGAAAAATAGTTTTTATATTTTCTTTGGTTTCTCTTTTTTGGCCTTTCTTTGAGTCTGTTTTGCTTTGCATCTTATTGCATGAATACTCAAACACAACAATATTATCGTCGTTTGTCAGTCCATTGCTGACTCAGCGCACAATTTGCCTGTTTATGTGAACTTAAAACCCTGAAACAAAGTCATCAAACGCTCAGTATGATTTCATTCAAACCAATAATGGCTGTGTATGAATGGATATGGCCGAATGTACCCATGAACCGCAAAAGGCTTGCACTATCCTCTCTCCGTTTTCTTTATTTGTTTTCCGATTAGAAATGCACCAAAAGTGTCGTAAATCTTGCAGCGAAAAAAAAATCAAACGAACGAATGAACAAACGAAACGGGGGAAAATGCCAAACTCTAGTTGCCTAATTACATTTTCCAGTTGTTGTGCGCAGTTTCTTGAAAACTAAAGTCTCATACACGACAGCAATCGCTGTTTCGTTGTCACAAGACTTTATTCCTTATCAATCGTCTGATTACTTCGTTTCACTCTTTATACTTCATTCTTGATCGGAGTGTCGAAAGTCAAAGGCCAAACTGTATTCTCTCGTTTCCATAAATATGATGTAAATCATCCGATTTTCCATTGGTTTCATTTTATTATAATGACTAACGGCTCAATACATGAGCCGCATGTGTTAGAAACCGTCAGCTTATTTTTGCTCTAACTAAACTTTTTAGGGAGAAGAATATTCTCGTGCTGTTTTTCAAATGACCTGATTTATGCAAATTCAACTCCGATCAATCGTTTTTGACGTCGACGTAAAAAGACGCGAGTTTCAGCAAAATAGAACTGTTGACATCGAATGGGAAAGGGTTTAACCCGAGAACTATTTCATTGAAGTGTTAAAATGAACGGTCTATACAAATATCAGGCTAAATATTTACAAAATCAACCCAATCGAACGAAACACGCACATACACACACAGAGTAAACCGATCGTTATCGCTTGGATTTGCCGTGAGCTTCGTTTTAAATTTTATGAAACCATAAATAATTGAAAAAAATGGAAATGTCATGATTCTCTATTGATCTATCGATAATAAAGTAAAGTATACAGAGTGCATGTGTACACTTCTCACCACGATGTGTGTCTGTCTTGTGGCCGAAACGAACAAAAAAAGGGAAAACATTTAATAGTAAATAAATTTTCGAACACGAAACGCGATAAGCGCAGCCGAATACACGATAACCGCGATGCCCAAACGAAACAGAAAAAAAAACCGAAAATGATAAGAAATAAGTCATGAATTGAATAAATGAACCTTTTTGTGACGTATTGTGGTGTATTTTTTTCCGTTCATTAGAGAGAGGGAGAAAACTAAGAGCCGGTTCAAAAGATTAAGGCTCTCCAATTGAATGTGGGAAATAATAATTGTTTACATATCAAAATTTGCTGTTTTTTCTATAGGAATTGGCTGACTTTGAAAAGATGCCAAATGGGCCACAGCTAACGCTCAATGGTAGGTTATCTTTGATTTTATCAACTGTTCATTATTAATAGACAATTTGACACCATAGACTTGTACAGAGACGGTGGATTTGACGGGAGCAATACTTCTCCACTATTTTTCTGCTTCGTCGCTGAGGGAACTGATTCATCGAACGGGTTAGTTGCTTCTTTTTTTTTTTATTAAATCCTTAGTATAAGCTCATGAAACTACGCTTCATTTGTACCGAAGAGAAAAAATAGAACGAAAAATACAATTAACGTCATTCGTCCGGAGAGTTTATTAATAAACTGACAACACTAACAATAAGTCAACGACCAGTTTTTATTCGAAATTGAAGTAAACAAGGCGAGAATTGGCTTATTACACTATTCGACATTCCACGAACATTGCAAATAAAATTAACGAGATTGAACCGTTTTCTAGAGGCGAATAAATATTTGCTGAAATATCTATTGATATTATATCGAAGTAATTAAAAGAATATCTCAAGCATTTCATTGACAATTCATGGAATATTTTCTGCATTGCGGTGGCAACATGACGCAGTTTTCCGAGTAGTTCGAAATACAATGTAACAAAATGTCGAATGGAATAATTTTTGCAGTTAATTTTTGGGCGAAGTTTTATCACTCAAATCAAAGAAATATTCACTTTGATTCATTTTCAAGTCAAGATCAGAAAAATTTGTAGTCAACTCCTGGAATATTTACTGTTTTTTTTTAAATTCATGACAATTATTCTTTTCAAAAATCACCAACGCCAACATCATGGAATGCATGATCCAAGCAATGCGTTCGAATGCCGGGTAAACAAATGTCGAGTGATAAGGAACGGAATGGCCATTTTTATAATATTTTCCTTCTTGTTATTATTTCTTCTTTTTTTTTCCTTAGCGAAAGAAATTGAAATGTAACTTCGCTCAAATATTTAATTTCCTTATCTGGATTAATGTGCTCGGTTGGGCTCTCTCGCAAACATACGGTCGTATGTGACTCAAGGCGGGTATGCTCATGGTGGTGAACCGACAAAAGATAAGAATGTCGATCAGAACAAAAAAAATATGAAGAAAAAGAGAGAGAGACATTTGCCTTCCTTGTGTTTGCGGACTTTTATTGTTTTGGTTGCACATCGTCGTCGCCGTTTCCTTTGACTGTCAAATGCTATGCGACCAACTATACAGTAATTTGTTGCTTTTCTATGAAATAGATTTTTATTGTATTTATGTGGACAAAATTGTACATTACAATCTTTGAGCCCCGACAAACGTTTTAAATATAGAAATTTAGAGGAAAAAAAAAACAACTGAATTGAAGATTGAAAAGGAATGGAACGAAAAACGACATTCTTCTACAACTTTTGAGCTCTTGAATTTTTTTAATTGAATCAAAAAGGTGATCGCATCTAAAGGTTCTTTCTCACTTTTTTTCCACACAGCTCATCACTAGGAATCGTTGGATACGCGCTGTGCTTCTACACATACTCAACCTGGCAGGGTCGAAGCGTATTTTTGGAAGATCTTTACGTGAGACCATCATATCGAAAACAAGGCGTTGGAAAGTTATTATTCATTGAGATTGCGAAACATGCCAAAGAGATGAATGCAAATCGTTTGGAATTGCATGTCCTCGATTGGAATCCAGCACGAAAATTTTACGAAAAATTGGGTGGCAGCAATTTAACCGAAAAGGAAGGCTGGCATTACACTCGCTACGACCGCCAAGCAATCGAGTCGATCGCAAACGGCACCAAATGAAACCATAAACTTCATTGAATCAATGTAAATTGTGCATAAATGTTTATGCTTATATTTCAAGGAGCATTGTACTTAATAGTTTATAAACAATATATGAAAAATCAACATGTTTGAATATAAAAAAATATATTCATTAGTTTTGATTTAAAAAAATGGGTGAGTGATGATTCATTCTCATTGTGAACAAGTGATGGTTAGTATATTCTGTTAAAATAAAATATATGCTCAAATTGTTGGCATCATTAATAGAGTAACCTAAACAATGTCAACATTATCACGGTACATTCAAGTACATTTTTATGCGGAATTGAACACGCCGAGTGAAATTGAGGTTTCAATCGCTTGGTGGGCTTGTACTAAATGATCATCCAATTTTTCACGGCGAATGAATGTCTCCGGACAAACGAGACACTTGTAATGTTTCAGTGGCTCTCCCTGGTCTCTCTCGTGTGTTTTTTGGTGAGTTGTCAAATTGTACCTTATTAGAAGAAGAAAATAGAGAGAAAATTGCGTGAGTAATTCTCATATTAAGCCTTTAACAACTTCATGTCCATGAGCATTGAGCAGTTGTATACCTTTGAGCAAATTTTTGACCACAAACTTCACATTTGAATGGTTTTTCCCCAGTGTGAGTTCGCATATGCCTTGCGACGTGACTGTTTGAACGAAAATTGGAACCACACACCGTACATTTTTTCGGTCTTTCACCAGCGTGAATCTTTTTATGGACATTAAATGATGCAGTATGGATAAAACGCTTGCCGCAAACGTCACACTGGAAAAATTTTGAGGCGATTTTCATTTCATTTATGGCAAAAGTCTACTTTAAATGTTCTATGATTTGATAAATTTGTTTTTTTTTTTGGATTTAAATTGCTTTTTTCTTTCATTCATTGTATCATTTACCTGATGACGTCGTTCTCCACTGTGGATTCGCATGTGTCGAACCATACCACCTCGTTGTGTGAAAGTTTTTCCACACAAATTACACTCTATAAAATGGAAAGCAAAATTGAATAAATATTTTTTATTATATACCTAGTGATTGAATTGTCTAAATTTTACCAAACGGATTTTTGTCGATATGCTTCACAATGTGCACACTGAGAGCGCTCTTTGATCGATATGTCCGGCCACAATAGTCACATGAAACTTTATTTTCCAAAATTGGTGCATCTTTTTGGCTATCGAACTTTTTGTTAGACCCATTTTTATCATTTCCAATCTTCCTCTTCATTTCATTGTCTCTTCCATTCTGTGGTTCGAGATCCAAATTCAACAGTTCAATATTTGGTTTTCTCTCCACGTCCACATCATTATGTCCAGTGGCCATTTCAATCAACACCTCATTAACTCGATCTCGATCCCATATGATTCCATTGCTAATAATTGGACGTTGGTCATCTGCCTCAAATTTTATGGATTTATTTTGGAATTGTGCATGCAACTCTTTTTCAATTCGTTGACTTTGCCACACCAGACGGTCGTACTCTTCAATTTTCTCGGCACATGTCGTGCAAAAGTATTCACACTCGACATCGGCCACAACACGTAAACATTTCTCGAGAACAGCAGACAATGGCATCGCCAATGTGCTCGCGATGTTGAATCCACGGTTCTTATCAATAGCCACACAGGGCATATCACAAATAAAGCATTTAAACGAAATTGACGCCATTCGAACACACGTCTTACAGTTTTGGCAGTAATACATAAAATGTTCAATGACGACAAGCGAAAGAGAAATTGCCCAGGTATAAAACTTATCTAATGAGTTTTTTTATATAAATTGAATGCTGGGGAAATGACAACATTTCAACACGACGTGGACGTGTCACGCGTGAATTTTGACATAAATTTGTTGAGTGTAAATATCACAACTGAATTTCGTTCTGTTGAACTGAAGCTTTCACATAATTTGGAATCTATGATCGCAGTTCGTTAGAAAGGGGAGGGGTACATAGTGAAAACACACACAAACAGAGAGAATTATATAAATTCATCGATGTTTAATTTCATAGCTTGCTTTTTCTTACATTGTTATTGATGGAAAATTATCCATGAAGAATATTGCTTGTTCTTATTAACATATAAATATAATTCGGGATTTTTGTTTTAAGAATTAGTCATTATTCGATATTCGTGCAATTAGAAATATTAACAAAACCAATAAATGAATCATTTCAGAGGATCCGATGTAATAAGTTCGCCAACATCTTCAACGTATTCAACGTAGATTTCTTCTTTCGTATATATGTTTGTTTTCAAACGGTCGATGATTTTTTGAGTGACTTCGCTGTTGGGACCATGTTCAGCAAGGGCGCAAATGTCGTCATCACTGATGCGATGTTCTTGTCGCAGGTGTTTGTTCAGTTTCTCACGGCGTGGGAACGCTTCGGAACACATTACGCACCTGTGATTTCGTGACTGCGGCCGGTGGATACCTTGATGTGTGTTGTAATGTGTTTTCATGTTGTATCTAGGAAAGAGACACAGAGAATGAGAATCGGTTGGGATTGAAATAACCGTTTGTTGGTAAAATTGGATTCTTCATGTACAATTGAATTGAATTGATTCAGTCAAAAATCAAACAAAAATGCAAAAAATTCAACTAATGCATGAGATTTTCAATCCAAAAAAAAATTGGTGACTTGCACGTTGACTTAAGAAGCAATTAGGTTTGGACATTCCCTTACCTTTGAGCAAATTTTTGACCACAAACCGGGCATGCAAAGGGTTTCTCTCCAGTATGGGATCGCATGTGGCGTGTCATATGAGAATTGGACCGAAATTCGGAGCCACAAATGTTGCACTTTTTCTTTCGCTCATTGGTATGGATCATTTGATGCATGTGGAACGATGAATAGTGAATGAAACGCTTGCCGCAGACATCACACTGTAAATACACGCATTGTTTTTAGAATTCAGAAGTGTTTGAGCACAAAAATCGTTGATTCATTTACCTGATGGGGTTTTTCGCCAGTATGCATTGGCATGTGTCGAACCAAAGCACCTCGTTGTGTGAAGGTTTTACCACAGACGTGACATTCTAGAAAAAAAACCAAAATCGTTTCAAAATTAAAGAAAAACGAAGTGTCAAGGTAATAGAGTGAAAATTTCAGTCTGAAAAGAAATAATTTCAACGTACCGTGAGCATTTCGACCGTTGTGTGTGCCAAGATGAACACAAAGCGCTGACTTTGATTTGTACGATCGGCCGCAAATATCACACACCAGCCGTTCAATGTCTTCAATGTGTTTAATGGTTTTGTGTTCTTCTAGCTCCAATGGATTTTTGGCAACAAACTCACACTTGCGACACTCTAATTCGTCATTTTCAGTCGATTCCGGTGATTCAGTCAATTTTTCTATTTTGAGTTTGGTTTTAGTTGATCCAACTTTAGTGGTGCCTTTTTTCCTTTTCGGTTTATGCGTTGCTACCTTTGGTGTACTGTTTTGAACCGTTTGTTCGCCACCATTTTCATTGGAAAATTCTTCAGTAGCTGCTGCAGTATTTGGTTCTTCAAGAGTTTCCTCTTTTGGTTCTTCAAGAGTCTCCTCTTTTGGTTCTTCACCTAAATTAACATCATCGGATTTTGCTTCATAATCATCCAAATACTCAACAACCATTTCGTCGTACGTTTCGTTGAGTTCGTCATTTGACGCTTCCGAGAGGATTGTTTCGTTTTCCATCTTTAATTGTTCACTTTGGATTAATCCGTTTGCATCTGGATCGTCGATTATTTCAGCATCTAATAAATAACACGTCGCTTTTCTCTGATACAATTCAAATAATTCGGTTTCAATTTGTAAACTAAGCTGAACCAGCTGATCGTAATCTTCAATTTTGATCATACACTCTGCACAAAAGTATTCACTGTCCGCATCGACCACCGTTCGTAAACATTTTGAAAACACTGATGCTATTGGCATCGTCAAACGACGTGCAATATTTGATCCAATATTTCTGTCATCGTTCGGACAGTCCACGTCACAAATGAAGCACTTTACTAAATTAGAAGCCATTTTTGATGGATATGACACACTTCTATCCGTCAGACGATCTTAATTCTTATTTCGAAATCATTAATGAAAAATGAAAGTTTTCGAGGGAACTGAATAAATAAAGCCAAATGAATGCTATTGTTTATGGACTCAATGTGTCAATTCGTATGACAGTTCGCTTGACACGACGTAACGATTGTAACGCGTGAGTTCTGGTTCGAATTGCTGTTGTGAATATCATTTTGTTTTTATGATTCAAGCGAGAGACTTTATATTTATGAATTTTTCTTTTAAAAAACGTTTGAATTTTAATTTTAAAAACGAATTTTCCAAATCCAAAACACAATCGTTTTTTTTGCTTCCAGTTCAGTAGTCACACTTTATTTCATTGCAACTAAAAATCCATGTGACAGTTGTTTGCGGTTATGAACCGCGTTCCAAACCGAAACTGGTAACCATATGTCAATGTGCCTCTGTTTTGGTTCGAATATGTGCTTTTGACAGTTCATTCATTGTGATGATAAGGCTCATAATAGTCGAACTCTTCAGAAGGAAAAAAAAACCTTTCGTCAAATAATGAATTTTTAAAGTCCACCAGAAATATCGTAGCGTAGTTTGCCTTTTAAATCAATTTAATCAGGAGACCAACAAAAAATATGCTGTGTTCAAATGTTTGATTCAAGGAAAAGTTTATAGTTTATGGGTAATGCATTTGTTCGATTTTTTCCCCTTTCGATTAAACGCAGAATAATACACATATATAAAGACAATTATATAATTATGTGCGATGTGTATATGTCACTGTCCGCACGTAGACCATCGTATCGATAGCAGAATACTTTATTTATGTTTTGATTTTCGCAGCCGTGTCAATGCATTCGTGACAAGATAACATTTTTCGATGATTTTAATTCGAGTGTTCGCTTTCATTTGGTGTAGGGACTCTACTGAGAGACGACATGGTGCAAACTAATAAAGCAATCAACAATGGATTATGGCACATCAATTTACAGGAATTTGTGTGTGGATGGGGTGCTTCATTCATTAACATCTCCGTCACATATCCCGTGTACAAAATTATGTTTCGACAGGTAAATGATTTTTTTCAATAGGCCAAAGTTGAACAGTTGATAACATCCAAATATTCTTCATTTTCCATTTTTATCAAACCAAAAACAGATGTTGCATGGTGTTGAGATAAAATCAGCTGTTCAAGAGCTACGGCATGAAGGTTTTGCATTTCTTTACCGTGGCATTTTGCCACCACTTGCACAACGAACGGCTTCTTTGTCGCTTATGTTCGGGCTGTACGATGGAACCAAGCGTCCACTAGTCAAACTAGGACTTAACGAGTATTTGGCGAAGGGTATTGCCGGAATTACTGCTGGTAAGTTAAGCTAATCGGCAGTGCAATTAAAAAAATAATTTTTTATAGTTGATTACTTTTCCAAATGTCAAGACGAACATTTCAATATTCAGAGCGTTGAATACTTAGTCTTTATATCATTATATAATGAAAAAAAAAACAAATTTAATGATAAATTCAGAAAACGCCTCAATAATAGTGAATTTGATCTCGTTTCAGGTACGGTTGAAGCAATCCTGATGCCATTCGAACGGATTCAAACCCTTCTTGCCGATTCACACTATCATACTCACTTTAAAAACACATCGCAGGCATTTCATTACGTGTGTATGAACTATGGTTATGGTGAATTGTTCCGTGGCATAGCTCCGATCCTCCTGCGAAATGGCCCATCCAATGTACTTTTCTTTATACTGCGTGAAGAAGCGGCTGCAAATCTTCCGAAACGTGTAAGTATTCAAGAAAAATCCATATTCCAATCATTTTCTCACAATTTTTACCTCCAAATGTTAGGATGATCGTGTGACTCAATCGGTGCAGGAGTTTTTGTCGGGAGCATTTATTGGCGCCTTTCTTAGTACGTTATTCTATCCGTTAAATGTTCTCAAGACAAAGATGCAGGCCACATTAGGTATACCGAACCAAAGTATGAGCGAAGCATTTAGAATATTGTATGCGGAACGTGGTTCAAAGATGCGTAACGTTTACAAAGGCTGCGGTATCAACGGTACGAGAGCGTTTGTTTCGTGGGGCATCATAAATGTATCGTACGAAGGCATTAAGCGACTCTTTTTCTGAGCTGATTATTCAAAATGGACAATAACAAGTGAACGTTTAGTAACTATGATAGTATGATATTCTGGATGCACAAAATATATGTAAATGCCTTGAAAGCCAATGCATCGTGTGATTACTTGAGAACAATGAACCGATCATCAGTTTTTCAATTAAATTCGAATTGTTGACAACTGCCCTTAGCTAATAAGGATCCAAGTGATCGAGTAATTATACACAAAACAGATACTATTTGGATATGTGTGATAAACGCTACCGAAATTAATTTTTTAAATATCTTTTAGTTAGTGTAAACATCGTTTTTAAACATCAATTTCAATCAGTTACCAGCATACAGTCAACGGATACGTTATCCAAACTTCTACCTACACGAATAAATTTAAGTTCAATGTTTTTAGTTGTATCTATGACTGATTCTTTTTTCGATTGGCATGCATAAAAATAATTTGCGAATGTAAATCGCAATTTGATCAGTTTCAAAACATTTGATGTTTTTGCTATTGTTTACTTCTAAATTTGCTTCCCAAACACTCTGTCATTGTAAATACTTTTCATTTGTCGGAATGAAATTGATTGAGATAATCACCTCATTAATAATAATGATTATTGGAGAATTGACTGAAATAAAGAAAAACATATTCAAAATGGGTTTTTGTTCATTTGAAATTCGGGATCAATGACATCACCAAAATCACTTATTTCGATTGTAAACAAATATCAAACAAGTGTTTTCCGGAATGACATAGCAACGACGGTAAATTATTTCTATACAGCGTTTCCAGGCACTTATCGATCCAGCAAATATCTGGAATACTGAAAATTCAAAGTGAACCAAATTGGACGTACTACGAATTCTTTCTTCATTTAAACAAAACGAAAATGCTTTTCAAGGCTTGCCGGAAGAAAAAACATGAGGCCAAACCGGGCGAAATTTTGGATCAAGTCATTTCACAGTCGTCATCCATGGCCAACAAATGTTTGCTCTATAAATTGGCAAATTACAAACGCGGTAAGTAGACATATCATTTTCAATGGACAAAAAAACTTGAATTAGAAAAACGTCGAGCCATAACATTGATTAGAACTAAAACGAACAGAATAAATTGTTTATGATTTTAAAAAAAGGTGGTGATCTAATCGATGCGTTTCAAAAAGGAGGTCAAATGGCCGTTGAAACGCTGATTCGCGAGCAATTCGGAACATTTATGTATAACAATGGCAAAGGTCAAGTTATCAATCGAGCCGAGTATTTACGTTGGAAGTACATGGACAACAAAGAAGTTGTTATTCCCATTGAAGCTTCGCTTTCGAACCATGATCCACTCGGCAAATGGTACGATTCAACAACATGGAAATTGAAGATTTTGAAAAAAAAAATTAAACGTTTTTACTTCTCTTGCTAAAAAAGGTACGATCACAATGCATGTTGGAAAATGCAGTATCGTGGCTCATTGGGTGAAAGTTTATTGCATGTGTTGATCATTTGCGATACGAAAATCCATACGAAATTAGCCCGAATTCTGTTGCGTGTCTTTCCGATGCTTTCCGTTGATGTAATGGAAGGCGAAGAATATTTGGGCGGAAGTGCATTGCATTTGGCCATTGCGTATAGTAACAATAGCCTGGTGGCTGATCTCATCGAAGCTGGCGCTGATGTTAATCAACGGGCGATTGGTAAATTAATTCAAATATATATAACCGAAAACGATCTTTTTTTCAATAAAACCAAAGGAATTTTCTTGTGTCAACAGGCAGTTTCTTCCTACCACGCGATCAACAGGGCAGCAGACCATCGAAAAACACCGACTATGAAGGTCTTGCGTATTTGGGTGAATAGTACGATTCAAAAGAAAAATAAAAAAAAAATTGGCAAATGGACTTTCAAATTTTTTTTCATTGTAGTCCATTGGCTTGGGCTTCTTGTTGCGCGAATGAGTCGGTTTACAATTTACTATTGGACAATAACGCTGATCCGGATTTACAAGATTCTTTCGGCAATATGATCCTGCATATGGTCGTCGTTTGCGATAAACTTGTCAGTTGGAATATGAAATCATTTCCGAGAATATTTATCATCAAACTTATCCACTTTTTTAAAACTCGTTTTAAACATTGACTAGGACATGTTTGGTTATGCCTTACGTCATCCGAAACTGCCGGCAAAGAATGGAATGATGAACGCGGCAGGATTAACACCACTGACTTTGGCTTGTAAATTGGGTCGGGCTGAGGTGTTTCGTGAAATGTTGGAGCTATCTTCTCGAGAATTTTGGCGTTATAGCAACATCACGTGTTCGGGCTATCCGCTAAACGCTCTCGATACATTGTTGCCTGATGGAAGAACAAGTGTGTAATTCATTTTCAAACTTTTTTACTCAAAACTAACTAACTGGCTGATGAAATCAAATATTACACATCCAACAGATTGGAATTCAGCTCTGTTCATCATTTTGAACGGAACGAAAGAGGAGCACTTGGATATGTTAGATGGAGGGATTATTCAGCGTTTATTGGAAGAAAAATGGAAAACATTTGCCAGAGTAAATTGCTTGCATCTCAATTTTCATTTCAATATTTATTTTTTAAATAAAACTCCACATTTTACTACATGCAGAATCAATTTCTAAAGAGATTGCTAATCCTCTTCGTGCACTTATTCTTTCTATCGCTATCGGTTTACACGAGACCGGCCACTGAAAATTTACAAAACAAAGAGTACGAAGAGAGTCGCACTGATCGCACTACAGCCGCTGACGGTGGTTCGGATAAAGATGAGTCTAGTGAGGAAGAGGATGATCCAATGGGCATAACAAATATGATTCGTTACTTTAGTGAAGTGGCCACATTGGCTGGTGTATTGAGCTATGTCGTTTTTCAACAGGGTGATGAAATCAAAAACCAAGGACTATTCCCATTTTTGAAACAATTGGTAAGCGGAATAATCTTCAAAATGAAAATCAAGTCTGAAAAATTATTTTGACATCCTTTTGTTTGTTCAGGCACACGCACCGGCTAAAGCGATATTCCTTATATCAAACATTATGATACTGGCGTGTATACCGTTTCGAATAATCGGAGACACAGATACGGAAGAAGCGATTTTGGTATTTGCAGTACCCGGCAGCTGGTTTTTGTTGATGTTTTTTGCTGGGTACGTCTTGTACTAGAGATTGACTTTGCGATGACAGGGCAACTGAAATTATTTTGAAAACAATTTTTAACGTCATTAATTTTATGAGTTTCATTATTCAAGCATTTCTTCCAATATTTTCTTGCAGAGCGGTTCGTCTTACTGGCCCCTTCGTGACGATGATTTACTCTATGATCACTGGTGACATGTTCACCTTTGGCATCATTTATGTAATTGTTCTCTTTGGATTTTCGCAAGCATTTTATTTTCTGTACAAAGGTCATCCGCAAGTTGATTCAACGCTCTTTGCCACTTATCCAACCACGTGGATGGCGTTATTTCAAACTACTTTGGGCGATTACAATGTAAATGTCAAGTTCTTTTTGAAGAAAAAATCTTTTATTCATCTTTCCGACAAATATTTTACTTTCTCTCCACAACTGTACTCCAATCAATAGTACTCCGATTTGAATAACACCACCTATCCGAATTTGGCAAAAACGGTTTTCGTTATGTTCATGATTTTCGTGCCGATTCTTCTGTTGAATATGTTGATCGCTATGATGGGTAACACATACGCGCACGTCATCGAGCAATCGGAGAAGGAGTGGATGAAACAATGGGCAAAGATTGTCGTCACGTTGGAGCGAGCCGTTCCTCAAGTTGACGCTCAGAAGTATCTTGAAGCATATTCTATTCCATTGGGTCCATCAGATGATTCAGGGTACGAAACGCGAGGTGTTATGGTGATCAAAAGTAAGGCAAAAACTCGTGCAAAACAGAGAAAGGGTGCCGTTTCAAATTGGAAAAGAGTTGGTAAAGTGACGTTGAATGCGTTAAAGTCCAGAGGATTGACGGGTGAAGAACTGCGTCGCATCATGTGGGGACGGGCAAGCATCACTTCACCAACAAAGGAGTCAAAGAAGTTTGTATTCAAATTTAATAAAAAATCAGCAAAAAATTAACAAAAATCGCTCTTTCCTCCATTGACGACGCAAATAAGAAAGAGAGCAAATAGAAAAAAGAAGATATGAATGGAATCCTATTTTAATTTCAGAAAAATGACGCAAAAACTCAATGTAATTCAACAAACAGCTAATGCAACTACTGTTTCTTCGACTGGAGCATTGGGCACAGCTGTGGATCGAATGTCTTTCGCGCATGACATTGTGATGATGACCGACGATGCAATAGCCATTGGTTTGGGTATCGACGCACAGGTAAAATAGAAAACGTCTTCAAGTAAATCAAAGAGTCAATTTCAACGTAATTAATTAAAATCACATACAGAATCCGGATAGACCGTTCAAAGATCCACTACGTGAATTGATTTTGATATCAGAAAATAGTTCGGCCAAAGTTGATGATAGTTATGCAACAAATTTGGCGAAGGAAGCCAGCGATTTTGTTTTTTTGAGTAATATCAAGGAGATTCATTTAGAGACAAAGGCCGCCATACCAAAACCAGCCACTCTGATCACCCCGGTTGCTCCTATCACTCCACTAGACGCAACTGGTGTTAAGAGTTTATCAGCGGCTTTCCAGGATAAAAGCAATATGATAGATCCAGTGAAAGAGCGCGAGTTTTTGATGAAGATCAGTGCAATGGAAGAATCCGACACGGAAGGTGTTATGAATGTTGAACGGCCCATTTTGGGTAAAGTCTCACTGATCCGCCGAGCAAAATCGGCTGTTTCACGTAGCATAATTGAACGTCGAATCAACGATAAGCATCCATTGTTCAGTGTTGCTTGGGAAAATCAAAAGTCCATTGCTAAAAGTGAATCGATTGCCAAACCGGATTCACACACAATTGACATTAACGCCGACGATGATGAGCAACATGGATCCGATGATGATATGCCAACACCCGAAGAAGTCAAACGTCACATGGAACTGTTTCACCTGAGAAGGGGCCAGCCGCCGCCAAGTGCAAAGTTAGAACAAAATCGCAAATCAAAACACTCGAAGTGTCGTTCGGCTAAAACGAAATCCAATCGGTATTATTCGTTGAACTACCTTTTTTCTAAATTTTGTGTTAATTTTCGAAATAATTTTTCAACTTTTACAGTGTCGCTCCCACCGACGACGATTTGGAGCCATCTGCAACCAAGAAATCGAGTCGCATTCGATCGGCAAAATTCACATCGAGAGCGGAACAAGACGAAGAATCATCTCCTGACCCACTAGAACCATGGAGCACTCGAGATTTACTAAACATCAATAAAATTCTAGAATCTTAAGATCATTTATTCATAATAATCATTCCATGCACATCTCTCGTCTATACAATAAATTTATTAAAAAGGCTTCACTTTCAAAAAGAAACGTAAACTGATTTTATTGCACCCAAAGAACGTTCAATGCATCTTATGAATTCAATCGTGTTGTTTTCTATTTGCAAATGTAGTAAAAATAGCGAGTGTGAGTGATTGCTTTGAAAATTGTCTTTGTTCTTCGGTATAAATAATAAAATGCTTTGCATTCAAACTGCAATCAATCCTAAATTCTAAATTTATATTCATAAGTTTGTTCAAAACTGACAATGTTTAACGCTTCCATGTGATTTTCATTTCACGGATGTGCATAAAGGCCACTTTTCGTTTGGTTTTGTTGTTTTTGTTGTTGTAGCCGTTGATGTCGCTGTGCTCTAGCTTCACGTCGCTTTTCGCGAATCATTGCTTTGGTGGCTTCATCGCTCACTTCATCCCATCCGGTTTCAACATTGTCCTCATTATCCACATCGCTCCAGTCTTCTAATTCGGCCGTTTGTAAACGGGGAATGATTGCCGCACTCGTTGCTTGTAATCGCGAGAAATTCTCGGTGGCAGCTTTATTCTGGTCAATGAACATTTTTTTCGGTTTTACCACTTTTGGGACCATGTCCTTTTGAAGCAAAACGAAACAAAAAAGGAATAATTAGATAGATTAGGATCAAGTCAATGAGTGATGCCGAGGTACAAACTTGGAAAAAATCTACGGATGGCTCTTGGTTTTCTTCACCAATATTTGGTTTCGCCAATTTTTGTCGATACTGTTCGATGTGCTCACCGACTGTTCGTGGTGAGTCGTCCCACGAATTCCAGTCACGCTCATCCTACAATCGAATAGTAAAATAGATTAATACTTTCATTAACAAGTGGCACTGTATTTTTTTATTTTGTTTTACCTCATTTCGATGCCTTGAACAGTTGCTACTTTGTACTACATTTACACTAGTTAAAACCTCACAATCGCTAAATGATGACTTTCGCCGGCGTGAAAAACAACATAATGCCCGCCGGAATAGTGTGATCAGAGACAAGAGAAGTGATTTAAAGCGGGAAAGCATGTGGATCAGAATCATCGCTTTTTGTGCCAAAAAACAGTAAAATTTTTATTTGTTCACGGAGCCGAAATAAAACACAACAATCGAAATGAAAAATAAACAATTTTATGCAGATGTGTGACAAATGTCATTAGTGTGCTGGCAGAGAGTGAGAGAAAGATACGGTACACATGGTGCTATCACACTCAAATGTCACACGTACTTACGTCTGCTTCATCTAGAGTACCGTACTTAAGCAATTGGTTCGTGTTCAGGTTAAACGAACTGTTTTCTTTCATTTTTCCCAAAGCAAAGAAAGGTGAATCCGCATTTCAGTCATTTTAATTGGGATAGTGAATGCCCAAAATAATCCAATGCAGAATTGAAGACAATATTTACCATATCTTTATCGAAATATTTACCTCTTTGTTTAGCATGTCGGACCGATATTGTCGGCTGATGGAACTAGAATTGGTTGGTTATAAAAAGAGTTATCGAGTCCACAGCGAACTCGTCGCATCAATTGCTTTTTCATTATCAATTGATTTATTACATTAATACTTTTTCGGTTGAGCTTTGAACATCACACTACGTTGCTACGCTATTAAAAACTATGCGTCCGGCTACTCGTTCGTCGTTCGTTTCAATTTAATTATCACAGGCTATCAAAATGAATCGTAAACAAGTAAATGCATGGCTTCAATTCACGTCCATGTTCAATCAATATAATTTGTTATATATGTGTATACAGTTTCTTTTTTTGGCATATTCAATAACTGACTGTTTTGGTAATGTTTTCTCTTCTTTCTCATCGTTTTCTTCTTGGACATCTGCCCGAAACGGAATTAATTTCACACTTAATTTCCTAGTCTAACTACTAATGAAAAAAAAACAGAAGAAGTAGGCAATGTAAAAGGCTAAAAAATCAAAGAACATTTGTGTTTGGTTCATAAATATAAAAGTTCAGTTATAAATCTTGTTGCTGACGATCAAATATGATGTATGGTGCCGGTGGAGGTGCTTTGTGCGAGTTTTTCCGTGCTGCATGCCATTTCATAGGTTGGTGGCGGTTTCAAAAACGAAGACAATCGCGGAAAGTTGCCGATGTGCTTGGTGGCAACATCATAAGTGGGTGGTAAATCAATAACATGAACACAATCAATGGAATTGGAGCGATTAGACGTAATTACTTCATCTTCGTAACGTTGACGGTCCCATCGGCACATGCCCATTTTATGAACGATACAGCCGCACACCAGTGAACTCAGCACTAGAAATGAAAATCCAAAAATCAACACAATAAATGTTGAACGGCTTTCGGCTGTTGACTCATGATCAGTCTGTATGTTTGCATCCAACAATAAAGCCAGCAAAATCAGTGTCGGCACCGTTATTATGGCCACAAAAATGTCGACATATGGATTTCTAGTACTCTTCTGCAAAATGAACAAGGAAAATAAAACGAAGGATGAATAAAAAAAAACAAAGTAAATTGACGTAACATGAAAATTGTCACCAAATGACAAATTGTCACTGACAACAAAGAGTTGAAAAAACAACCGGAGAAATGCATGTAATTACTGTGATAATAAACTGTGTAAACATCAATATAAAAAAAACGAAGAAAAAAAAACACTGAATCGTTTATCACGATTGCAATCGAATTGAATGCGACATCAAACGCAGATCGATTGAAAAATGAACTTATCGACACACACCATTTTTGTCAACTCATTCACAATTCAATAATATAATTTGTCAATTTGCATCGCTCGTTTGCTCACGATGCTGAATACTAATAGAAGATGATGAACAAACAAACAAGTCTTATTTTCGTTTCGATTGTGACGTGATAAAGACGATGTATAAATGCTCCCATTAAAACAACGTTTGTTTACGAATTGCGAATTGCACAAGCAAAACACATTAACATAAGGTGAAAGAAAGCAAGTGAACGAGGGAGAGAGAGAGTAAGCAAAGAAAAAGATGATAAAGCACACAAGCACGCACACACACCGGGAATGGTTATCGTCAAGGGGCAATCCACTCAAAAGTAATACATAATACCTGCGAAGTAATACGAAGTAATACTAGGTAAAAAATAATACTATTGTTTGAAAAAAGTAATACTAAAGTAATACAAGGTAATATTTACATTAGTATTATTTAAAGTAATACTAATACACAGTAATACTTTTGAGTGGTTTGCCCCTCGGTTATCGCTCATTCGTTCGGCTTCCCTTCAATTATACAATTGCTTATCAATTTCAATAATTTTTCCAATCGCAATACTTTTTTCGCAATGTTTTGCATTTATTTCTGTGATGCACACACAATAACGTACACTTAAACATATCGACGAGTTATGATAACGATCAGGAAATATTGAATGAAGAGCAGAAATTTATTTTTAAAAACATCGATCGATGTTCAATTTCCTATTGCACGAATGACGAGCGCACGCCGGGAGAGGCGCGCGCGTGCTTTTTTCCTGATTTACCATTCGAAATCGCGCGCACTCACACCAAACACACCTGTGAACCAATTTTGTGTTCGATTCATGATAATAATAACAAAAACATCTTTTCAATAAATTCGACAATGAATGAACCGCGCTGATGCGGCGATACACTTACTACAATATTTGTATCGGTTGTTTCCATTTTCGATAGCATTAACATCTAAAATCGATGCAAAATCGTTCATTCAAATTAAAGCGCAATTTTCCGATGTATTTATGGAGTATCACCACAATCTATCAGCACAATAGAACCACTGTTTTTGATACACAATTTTTCACGTGATGAGATAGATCACCGAGAAGAAGAAATACAGTCTGTAATAGCGCACACCCAGTTAAGCTATGTTCAAATAACAATTCGCATAGAGAAGGAAAATTCTTATTATCTCGTTGTATTTCTTCCTCAACAATTTATAACACTTTAATCACTTGGGATTTTATAAGTATTGTTTTTTATGGCTTCTATAAGTTTTTGTTGTTAATATACACGACCGTATAATCCATGCGGTGGCAAGTGACGGCAACTGCTTCACATTGTTTCCACTACTGAAACTCGGACGGCGGCGATGGCGGCGGAACACACAAAACCAAGTTGAAACACAGGCAACTTTGATATAGACAGCGAATGGTTCTTGTCGTCTCGAGAACTATCGCCAAACTGTTTGCATATTCCTGTTTACCTCGCCATAAACGCAGTTTACAATGAATAACTAAATTTGCTTAAATGTTTCTCTTTTTTTTGCACTTGGCGAGAGGGAATTCGTCGAGAGTATATATGTGTGTGTTTATATGCTCCTGGTACGAGTGTTACACACCAACAACTGTCTCAATAAATGCTATGTTGTTACTGCTGAGGACAAACAAAGTATTCAAATGTGTTGTAATTCGCACAAATTCTCATTTGCCATTCCGATCCGTAGCGCGGTTTGTTTTCTTTTGGTTCTGCGATGTGTTATGAGTACACACAGCAGATACTCTTCTTTTTATTTCGTTATATTTTTTGGAATTTTATTACGTTCAAATTCTACCACTTCATCTCTGCTATCTAATCAATTTTGGGGTTCTAGCTATTGCGAGATAAGACTGCCGAAGAAAACATTGAATTCACGAAGAGATTGCATTTGTTTTGAATTTCAGAATTTAAATCTCAACGGCTACGTGGAGAGAACGATTCTCACAAAATCGTACGAAAGATTGAGCGAACGAACGAATGAACGGCAACAAATACCCAATTTATTTTATATTTGAAGGCATATTGCAAGCGTCAAACTCACATATGTGGTAAACAACAAGAGAATGCTATATCAACGTATATTTCCTGAATATTGCTTTACTTGCATTTTGTATCAAATTCAATGACTTCATTTACGATGCAAAGTGAAACGTACGATTCGATCAGCAAAAAAATCAATCAACATGATGCACGTACTCGTGCGAGATAAGATATGGGGAGAGAGAAAAAAAATCAAAGGTTCCGTCTACAAATATAAGCAAAATATAAAGACGACCGAGAAACAACAGCCGCACATCATCTTTATTCCAGTTGTAATCTATTCCAAATGAGAAGAAGAAAAAAATCATTGACATAATTTTCAAATTGTCGTCTCGATGAAATTTGATCTATTCAATGAATTTTGCTTCCAGCATTCAGGCTATCAGCTGCGATGTGTAATATCAGCACAATGAATTGGAACAATGCTTAACGCAGATATGTGTGTGACATTTTCTATAGAATTCGTTGTTTACAGTCGCAAAACAGTTATGCTGCTCACGTCGGAATTGTAACAGACGGAACAATATTCATCATTGTAGTGCACCATTTTTCGATTTAAACCAAAAAAGTTGTCGTGACAGAAACAAACCGAAAAAAGTTTTCATTTTTTCGACAGACAAAGAGGAAAAACATGGAAAAAATAATGAAAATATTACTTTTGATTTGTTTTGCATCAGCTCTGGGCTCATCAACTGAACCATCAAGACCGTGTCGGTTGAGAAAATTCGATGCTGGATACGTTTGTGTGTGTACGAATGATTATTGTGATACTTTGAACTTACCGGAATGGAGCGATGCAAATGAATGGATGCTTGTGACATCGACAGAATCAGGTCAACGTTTTAATTTTTCGTTTGGCAACTTCAAACGGCAACATGGCAATTCCGCAACCATTTCAAACGAAACTCATTGTGAAATTAATCAAAATGTGTTACATCATGAGGTGCTCGGTTTTGGTGGATCAATAACGGGTGCGGTTTCGTATCTGCTCAGCAAATTGTCAGCAAATTTACGTGAATGCATTTACAAGAGTTATTACACAAACGACGATGGGATGGGATATACATTGATGCGTATGCCAATCGGAGGTAAATGTACAAGCAATCAATTTTCTATGTACTTCCACTTTCTCTGAATGATGAATATCCGTGCAAACACAGGTTGCGATTTTGATTTGGTACCATGGACATATAACGAAACACCTGAGAATGATGCACATCTAAGCAATTTCACCGAATTACATTCAAAGGATGTGCTCCGAATCAATTTAATTAAGCAGTTGATGAACGTATCCCGAAATTTTGATATTAAAATTGTTGGCGTTACATGGAGTCCGCCGAGATGGATGAAACAGAAAGGCGAATGGCCCGGAAAAAATGATAACCGCTTGAAAACCGAATACTACCAAACTTGGGCTGACTACCACTTGAAATGGCTTGATGTAATGCAAAATGCTGGAATACCTATTTGGGCAATTTCAACTGGAAACGAACCAAATTTTGCTCATTTCACTCCGTTCATGGGTTTGAATTGGAGGCCGAGAGATCAAGCGAAATGGATAAGCCAACATCTTGGACCAACGCTGAAAAATTCCAAACATGCCGCCGTACAAATACACACATTCGATGATAATCGTGATACTTTGCTGGCTTGGCTCAATGAAATGAATACATCGACAGATGCACTGAGCTATGTTTCAGCAATCGGAGTTCATGGTTACTTTGATAAGGAGACATCACCAACCATTCTTGATGAAACAAAAGCCAAATTTCCAGATAAATCCATTCTCCAATCCGAGATGTGTTTTGGGGTGACAGGCCCTCTTTCTACTACAGGGCCCATACTAGGTTCATGGACACATTTTGAAGAATTGACAAATATGCTTTTCGAAACTCTTACGCACAACGTAAATGGATTCCTCGATTGGAACATCATGTTGAATATGCACGGTGGACCGAATTACATGAACAACGTTGTCGATGCAATGATTATCGTTAACGATGAATTCACCGAAATTTATAAGCAGCCACTTTTCTATGCGGCAGCACATTTCACGAAGTTCATCTTGCCCGGCTCTCGACGTATTCAAGCAATCATTTCAGGAGATAATGTGGGTGATTTAAGCTCATTAGCCTTTTTACGACCAGACCATAAGGTGGCTGCTATTTTCTATAACAAACATGAACAAAACACCATTTTTCTGCGTATAAATGATAAGCGTAAAGGAACTTTTGATATTCAGATTGAGCCAAAATCACTCTATACATTAATTTATTTAATTTGAGTGCACTTGATCTTGAGTAGCATCACCTAAAGAAGAATTGAAAATAGAAAGAGAAAATAAATAAAGAAGAGATGTTTCGATTTCGTGAAATGTTTTTTTTGCGATGATAAATCGTCTCAATCATCATAAAGGTAAATCAATTTAAATGCACGATTCCCATTGAATGAGCACGTTTTGATATAAAAAAATTGGTGCGCATAAAATCTGCAGCTCTGGAAAATTCTTCCATAGAAAAATGTAGGTTGATTTTGTAAAAGTATCTACTTCCCTCGAATGTCTGAATTGGTTTATTTTTCTGACCATTATTAAGGTCGAATTGCAAATTAAACTGAATTTGTTTATGATAATTCTGATTTGTTTGCCATTGACCGCAAGAATATTTTCCACAAGACAACAATCTGTAGAGTCATTCATTCATTCAAAGGCACCATTTTTAGGATTTTTAAAATATTTAACCTAATTTAAAGTCAATCAAAAACAGCTTAACAAATATTTTATCGCTATATCAAACAAATGAAAAAACAGCGTGGTTTGAAAGTAAGAGAAAAGTATTGGTTTCAAACATGCTAAAACAATTGTAAATTGAGTAATGTTCGCTGCAAGCACTTTTTTCGCTCCAATGCCAGAAAAGACTTTGGCTTTTGAATGTAATTCGATGAGTAATAAATTGTTTCCTTTCAATGACCGCAATTTGAGGTGTTTGCTTTGCGATTTGAATTTGACCGACATAAAAGGGCTTATAAAAGCATCGAAAAAAAATCTGTCGGCTAGAATTCGAACAGAACAGTGCGGCAAACGAGTTTGGTTCAAAATTGTGCGACAAATTCAAGCGGTTGCAATGCAAAAGTGGAAAATTCTCTCTTTTTTCGTGTCAGTAATTGTTGTAACGGCAATTGCATCGCGCACACGAGCGCGCTGCCAAGTAAAAGAAGTTAAATATGGTTATGTTTGTGTCAACGATGAAAACCATTGTGATAGCCTAGGTGTTTCAGAACCAAGTGGCAATCAATATTTGTTGGTCACATCGGCGAAAAAGAAAGTTCGATTTGTGCAAAAAATGGGAAAATTTGGACACAGTAAAAGTAGCAAAAAATGTCGATCGTTAATAAAAGTGGATCCATCAATAAAATATCAGACGATTCAAGGCTTTGGTGGTGGGTATATAGAAAAAAAAATTTCTTTTTCAAAGTTTCATATAAAAAACTCTTTTTTTTTACGCCAGACGCTTTTTTTATGAGAAAAAATGAGTATGGATAAAAAATCTTTCATGAAACTTTTTCTTAAAAAAAATCGGAAAGTTTCGGAAATAGCGTAATAGGCATTACAGTTTTTTACTTCTATAGGTGGGTATACCGGAACGGTGACACATTTAGTGAATCAATTGTCACCGAACATGCGAAAGTGTTTGTTCACTAGCTACTTTTCACAAAGTGTTGGTGCCGGTTATACGTATCTGCGCGTGCCAATCGGTGGAACCGATTTTGACCCATTCACTCCGTGGGCATACAACGAATATCCGCAAAATGATGCCAAATTATCGAATTTCACACAGCTTGACAGCAGAGATGTGGAACGAAATGCTCACATAAAGGAGCTTATGCAAGTATCAAAAAATTCGAATGTGAACATACTTGGAGCGACTTGGGGCCCACCGCCGTGGATGAAATTCCAGGTTGTTTCAAAAAACTGTTTATATTTTTTTTTGTGAAACAACCCAAAAAAAAATAGGAAGCTGACCAACAATTGTTGGATTTTTTCTATTATTTTTGGGCGATTTTCTTATTTTGACGAAATTTTCACTATCCGAAATTCCAGAATCATTGGAATGGTGGCGTCGACAATCAACTAAAACCAGAATACTATCAAACTTGGGCTGATTACCATTTGCGGTGGTTGGAATTGATGCAAAATGATGGAGTGAACGTGTGGGCGATTTCAACTGGGAATGAGCCTGCGTCAGCAGGTCAAATAGAATTTCAGATATTGAGTTGGAATGCAAGTGATCAAGCCGTTTGGATTGCTGATAATCTTGGGCCCACATTGAGAGATTCCAAGTATTCAAATGTCAAAATACATGGATTCGATGATAATCGTGATTTGGCACCAGATTGGATTAAAGGAATGGAATATGGTGCCAAAGATGCATTTGATTATCTTTCAGGCTTAGAATTTCATGCGTATTCGGATAAAGCACTCGGACCGGAAATTCTCGATCATTTTTCACGGACATATCCAAACATACAAATTTGGTACGAGTGTCATACACTAACAACTGCCTCAATATAGGCTATGTTTTTACTGCTGAGGACAAACAAAGTATTGAAGTGTGTTGTAATTCGTTCGAAAACAGGTACTCGGAGAACTGCTTCGGGGCTTTCTTCATGACACCTTATATAGGGCCACAGCTTGGTACATGGGGACGATGTGAAAAATTAGTTTCGACTTTGATTGAGAATTTTAGCCATTCAACAGTTGGGTATGTGTGAATCAAACTTTTGAGAGAAAAACACTTCTTTTTAACACTAACAATGGTCAGGGAAAAATAATTATTTAAAAAAAATCTTTTTGCATCATTAATGAAGATTCCTGACAGCATATCCATGTGTTCTTTGATGAAATAGAAAAAAATATTTTCCAACTAAAACACTTGAAAACAATTGCGAGTACTATTTGTTTTGCATTTCTTTCTTGAATCATCATGAGCAAACTCAAACAAAAATATATTTAGTTTAAACGACGTCTACCAAAAGAGCTCAACAGACGATAATTTAGAATCTGTTTGGATTATTTAAACTAATGAAATATTTTAATGGAATAACTTATATGGTTGTTCGACAAACAAACTCCATCATAACATAATCGTATTGCAAATTATTTACTGAACCTGATCTGTTTGTGTTGCCGCCTAGATATCTTGACTGGAATTTGCTGTTAGATCACAAAGGAGGACCGAGTTATGTTAACAATGCAATTGATGCATATATTATTCTCAGCGAAAATGGTAAAAAAATGTACAAACAACCGACGTTCTATGCCATGGCGCATTTCTCCAAGTTCATATTGCCCGGTTCGGTTCGCATTGATGCAAACCTATTAGAATGCGGAAGTTCAAAGTTGAAAACGATAGCGTTTCTCCGTCCCGACAATAAAATCGTTGTAATTGTGTATAACAGCGCTATACGCTCAGTTGAAGTAACAATAAGGGATAAATCAAAGGGGAATATCAACTTGAAATTGAAACCAAAATCAATCAACACATTGGTTTACGAGGTGGGATCAGCGTCTAAATGTAAATCGGGAAAACAATGTTAAACTCAATTACATCAAAATCATTAAAAAAAAATAGAAAACATGTATCTATAGATAATTTATACGCAGACATACATATATCACTATAAATTATATTGTATACAATAAATAAAAAAAAATCTCGTCTCATGAAGACGTTAAATGTAATAAAAATCACGTGAGTAAAAACACACGCGCCGTAATTAGATTAGATAAAAATTAGTTCGTGAATATTTGGAGCTAGAACGCGAAGAGTTTGTAGTTGAACTACACATTTGATGTTTTTTATGAGCTATCCTTGACTTTGTGAATATGGACTAACTCGTGAAAATGAAATTCAACCGATAGTGTGTACGCTTTGAGCACTATTTTTATCTTCAATGAATGAACACATACCTTTGAACTGAATCACTATTACATGACATGAGCAAACAACGTGCTATATTTCCCAACAATGATAGAGAGGTTTACAATAATAAAATCGGAGAAGATTACTCAGTATGTACAATAATTGATAAAACGTAAGTATTTGCATTGATTATATTAATATATGGATAATTTTGCATAACAAATCAGTGCGCACCAGATTTGGAAATTTGTCTCCATTTATTTCACTATGGCATTGACATCTCTCTGCAAATATTCATTCTCGAGTTGGACCTACTTTGGTTTTACCACAAACAGTTGAATCAATATTTGATTGTCAAATAAATCTCATCCCGTATTTGATACGTTCTGTATTGGTTTTTTTTTTTGCAAATCTCTGAATTATTTCCATATTTGAACGATAAATTTTCATTGATTGGACTGAATGGTGTTGAAAAATACTATTGTCAACATTCGATTAGATTTTTTTTATTAGACAGTAGCCGACATATCACGGCAGAACAATTTTTTGAACTTGAGTTTTTCAAAGTATTTTTCAGTAAAATAAATCAAAATAGGGGGAAAAAATTAAATATTTTGTCGTCTAATGACTGTCGTTCTAATAACCTCAATTTAAACTGTGTGTTGACTACACAGTACACATGGAACTAATTATGTTTAAAGGAAAAAGGCATACTAACTCTGCATCCCGAATTGCACACTTAATTTCAAATACAGTTCTGACTAAATTGTTTATGGTGTGTCACAATATGGAAAGCTTGGTGAAAAACGTCAACGTAATCTAATTACGAATGCCATGCTTCTGCCATTCAACACAATTAAATTATTTGCACAATTGAACACTTTTCAGCTTTCAGTCGTAACGAAAAAAAAAGTTTGCAAAACATTTTACAAAGTTCTATCACAATCAGTTTTAGATTACATTTGTGCCAGATGAATATTTTGTTGCCAAATCTAGTTCTATCATCACTTTTTTTTGTATACAAACATTGTATTTGGCGAAAAAAACGATGTTGATAGCAATATATTCATAAGCTACAGAGAAAGCACATTCCGCATTTGCTATGAATGAACATTAGGTGGTTCCGACGATATTGTGATACAAAATATTGAATGGAAATAAATAAATGATTGCATTCATAGGTTCTGACACCAAAAATTTCAGGGGGGGGGGTCAAACCAAAAATTCCTTTGGGGGTCAAAAAAATCAATTCTATCTAGTGTAAAATCATTTTCATAATCAATCCATTCTATCTAGTGTGAATGTTCCCTTCGCAGCAAAATTGAGGAGCAAAAAAAAAGGTCCGAAAATGGCAATGGGTCCGAAAAAATCTTTGGGGGTCAAATTTTGCCAGGGGGGTCAGGATCAACGAGATCAGACTATGTCAGAACCTATGATTGCATTAATTGGTTCATCATTTAATATGTTCATTCAATCAAACGTAGTAGTAAAAGTATTGGATAAATATTTGGAATCGTAAAAGTTATTTATATCATTTCAATGCTTGAAGCTCTCAGTGCATTTGGCACATACACAGCACCACTATCATATACTTGAAATGAACAAACATAAATGAATGATAAATATTTTGATGCATTGCATCAAATGTTTGCTTACATTGAAATAGCACATCATAATGTTGCTTGTACTACGTAGCATTGCGTATAATATTCTCGGTCGTTTGTTTGCCACTCACAGACACATATCATAAAGACATTAGAAGTGCATAATTTTGTCCTACCAACGTTGTCGGTATCGTTCTTATTTGAAGTCGTTGGCCTCGACTCTTGTACACTTGCCATCCAAATGAATAGAAGTCAGCAATTTTTTTTTTGTTCGCAATGTATTCGACATCATTTGGCGACCATGTTTTGAAAACACTTTTTTTATTTAATAAATAAAATGAATAGAAAGAAAATAAAAAATGAGTAAACTTTGCTACAGTTCCAGTGCAACACATGAGCAAATGGTAAAACAAAAAGTGTTAAAAATCAGTCTTAATTCAACTGGCGCGTGTTAATTTAACACTGTTGGACAACGGCTCTAGAACAGTCACTACAGCCTATTTCAAGCATCTTAATTGTCAATCGTAGTATTCAAATATTTGCAAAGTTAGAAATTCGTGCATAACATTTCAACTTTTCGTCAAGTGCACTTAAACTTTGACTTTGTGCAGAAATCAGTTGTGTGTTTATCTGAAGTAAAATCGTGTTACGATAACGATGAGCAGACGACAGTTCATCATTTGTTTGGTTGCAGTGTTTTTGGTCTCAGCGACTGCATTGAGTACACGGAAGCCATGTCGAAAGCTACAGGCTGAATACGGTTACGTGTGTGTTTGTGATGATAATTATTGTGACACGCTCGACGTTCCTGAGCCAAATGCAAAAGAATACATTCTGGTCACGTCTTCGGAATCGGGTGATCGATTCAGCTACAAAAAAGGCAAACTAATCAAGCCGAAAAATGTGTCAAAAGTGTACTTAGAAATCGACCCATCGGATGAGTATCAGGAAATAAAGGGATTTGGAGGTGGCTACACAGGTCTGTCTTTAATCAAAATTGGTGCGGCCGTAAAATAAAAAGCTATAAAAATGTTCTGAAATGCTCAAAACTATTCAAATACAGTGCACTTGATTGTTCGCAATTTATTAATCAATTCAATTCATTTTTATTTAGGTGCTGTTACTTATTTAGTAGATAAAATATCAGCGAATTTGCGAAACTGTCTTTACAACAGTTATTTTTCGCAATCTTCTGGCATGGCCTACACACGATTGCGCATTTCGATCGGTGGAACAGACTTCGATATTTCACCGTGGGCATACAACGAATATCCGCAAAATGATACCAAATTATCGAATTTCACGAAACTGGACGAAAGAGATTTGATGCGTAATCGGCAGCTAAAAGAACTGGCCCAAATATCGGGAAATAAAAAAGTGAAATATTTAGCGGCAGCATGGAGTCCACCGATATGGATGAAAGCGAATAAGAAATGGTACGGCCTTGCAAATAATCAAATATTTCCGGAATACTATCAAACTTGGGCCAATTACCATGTGCGATGGTTGGAATTGATGCAAAATGACGGCATGAACATCGGTGCGATCTCAACTGGAAACGAGCCCATCGTAGGGAAGCAGAATTTTCTATTCGAAGAAACGATGTGGAATATAACCAAGCATGCCAAGTGGATTGCGGAAAATCTCGGTCCAACAATACGAAATTCAAAATTTTCGGACATTGAAATCCATGGATTCGATGATAGTCGAAAATTTGTCAATGACTGGGTGGATGAGATGCAAAAAGTGAATCCGGATGCATTCGATTATCTGTCAGCGATTCAGTTCCACGGCTATACGGACAATTCGACCAACCCCGAAATTCTCGATGAGATTCAGAGTAAATTTAGCGACAAAGATATTTGGTATAAAGAGCAAGCAAATGAATCAGAAAATACAGAGCTTGATTTGTCATCAATTCTAGTGTTTTTTTTTTCGTTTCATTTACACTTTCTAGGTATACAGAAATGTGTTTCGGTGTGAAGGTTGCAAATCCGCCAATAGGTGGACCACGACTTGGAATGTGGAGCAGAGCCGAAGAGCTAATCAAAATTATGTTTGAAAACTTTTTACATTCAACTAATGGGTATGCTTGATACTGTTTTACAGATTTACATTTTCGATATGTTATTAATATGTTATTGCCCGACATATTTATTATTATGTTATGTTGGGATTTTTTTTATCTTAATAACGTTATTAAAGATTTGACATAATAATAACATATTAAAAATTTTCTTCAAAAGTTTCATACAAAAATCATGTCAAATTTCGCAAGACACATTTTTTTTCAACATTTTTTCGTCTGAAAAAAATTGACATGTTTTTTACATGAAACTTTTTTTTGCGATTTTTTTGGTCGTTATTAAGATAATATGTCGATATGTTAATAAACATATTGGCCGTTATTATTATGTTATGTTGGACCAAATATACCGCCGTTATTATTATGTTATTAAGTATAGTTAATAATATGTTTTTGCCCGTAAATCTGTATACTGTTTCCTTTTTAACAGTTTAACACACATATTTTTGGCTATTTACTGAACGAATTTAATCTTTTTTAGATGGTATGACTGGAATCTCATCGTAGATGAAGATGGTGGGCCAAATAATGCCCTTGGTGGATTGGGTGTTACAGATGCGCCCATCATTCTAAATAAGAATTTGACTGTTATGTACAAGCAACCGATGTTCTATGTGCTTGCACACTTCTCCAAGTTCATTACACCCGGTTCAGTTCGCATTGATGCACGATTAGAGGGTGCTGACCAATCGGTAGTGCAATATCTTGCTTTCAAACGACCAGATAAAAAAATTGCCGTTTTTCTGTACAATAATAGTACGCAACAAGCCGTTGACTTGAATATTTTGGATAATCCAAAAAAAGGAATCGAAATCACTCTGAACCCAAAGTCACTCAACACATTAATTTATTCAAACGGTAACGTTGATACAACCACTTCGGCCAAACAATCAGGTGCGACGAACATTTTCATCATACCGAGCATTTGGTCTTAAACATGGTAATGAGTTCATTGCAATAGTCTATTGAGCTATGGCGAATACACTGATGAATATGTGTATTAAAATTACACTTGAAGAAGCAATAAAAACATTTTTTGAATCCCAAATGGCAAATGTATGTTTTTCATTTCATCAAGTTTCAATTTAAAAATCTCTAGGACATCTTACATCTTTTTTTTACACTCAACTTTGCATATCAATAACAAAAACCAACTTGAAAACTATCATAGCCCTTGAAACACACAAAAAAAAAATCAGAGCACCAATGTGAACTAGAGAATCTTTTATCATACACGTACAATGTTTGTGTGTCTAATCGCAAATAAAACGCACAAGAGAAGATTTACAAGAGTTTCACTTCACGACACTTCTATGCTGTAATCATTTTGTTTTAAATATTCGTTTAGGCAAATGCATTCTCCGATCTGAACCTGTTTCGTGTTTATCTTTTGATAATTTCGGTATATAATTAAAGTGTCCGTTTACAGCCCAGTAACATGAATGATTTTATGAAGTAAAGAAAAACAAAAATGGGATTCCTGGTTCTTTTTTTCTCTCTCTGCCGTATACATGCGAAAATGATGATGTCAATCTGAGATCATTATAAAATGTCGTCGAGTTGCGAAAAAAGAGTCATTTAAACAAAAAACCTAGCAAAAAGTGTTCACTCTGAAGAAAAATCGAGAGGAAGTGTAGCGCTGTGACTTCTGCCCCATCAATCTCGTGTCCGGTTCGATCGATACAAAAAAAGAAGAAAACAAAAACACAAGTGATAGAGTAGCAAAAATGTCCAAGCAAACAGTGAAAATATGCACAAAGTTTTTGTTCATCGTGTCGTTGGTAGTGTGTCTATCGTTGGCTGAACAAACATCGAGACCCTGTCTGCCGCGTTGGTTGGACAAAGACAGTCTTGTGTGCGTGTGCACATCGGCCTATTGCGATACATTGGAAACACCCGAACCGATTGCAAAGAATGACTATGTTTTTGTGTCATCGAGCGAGGATGGTGACCGCTTCAATTTTATACTTGGAAAGTTTCCAAGACGAAATCGTTATTCGAGCATGCCGGCACCGTTGGACGTGAGCAAAACGTACGTGAAAATCAAAGACATAATCAATGGCCGACAATTTCATGGTATGGGCGGCACATATACTGGCTCAACGGCCTATGTTACAAGTTTAATGTCAACGACGCTGCAACGGCACGTTTACAAAAGTTTTTATTCGCCCAATAATGGTACTAATTTATCGATAGTGCGCGTACCCATCGGCAGTACAAAGAACAAAGTTGGAAAACAGTGGACATATAATGAGAACCCCCCAAACGATAGTCGTTTAACGAATTTTTCCGCATTCAATCGAGAGGATCGGCTTCGTTTGTGCCAGCTGAAGCAATTAAAACGCATCGCAAAAAATCCATCCATTGAATTTATGGCCGTAGCATCAAAAGCACCCGAATGGATGACGCGCACGATTCTAAATGGAAAACGCAATGTTTTGAAACGTGAATTCTACCAGACATGGGCCGATTATCACTTGAAATATTTGCAAATGATGGACAACGAATGCATTCGCTTTTCGTCCATATCAACGGGGCAACGACCAGATTCATCATACAATTCGCCGGAATATTCACCGCTTGCTTGGGATCCATACGAACAAGGCAAATGGTTGGCCAACAATCTGGGCCCAACGCTGAGAGCGTCAAACTTTAGTAACATCACAATCATCGCGTACGATGACAGTCGTCAAAGCATTCCATATTTTGCATCGTCAATGAATGTGGGCGACAAAAATGCGATGCGGTTCGTTGACGCAATCGGAATTCAAAATGAAAAAAACAGATATTACCTGTCAACGGTGTTGGATTTGACTTATGCCGCGTTTCCAAGTAAAGCAATTTTGAATACAGAATCCAGTTTCCCTGACGTAAAACTGGGTTCGTGGAACAATGCCGAAGCCCTTGCACTAGATATCATCGATAATTTACAGCATGATTCACTTGGATATATAGTAAACAATTTGATATTGAATCTCGACGGTGGACCCGGCATTACGGGTGAAAAACAGGATGCGCCAATTTTGGTAAGCAAAGATTCAACAGAGTTTTACAAGCAACCCATGTTTTATGTGCTCGCACACTTTTCCAAATACATTACACCTGGTTCGGTGCGATTGGACACATTCACCGATAAATATCTCGACATTTTGACAGTAGCTTATCTACGGCCTGACGATAAAATCGTCGTATCAATGTACAATCGACTGAACAATTCCGTAGCGGTCGTTTTGACCGATCTATATCAAGGCGCCGTTGAACTGCAGCTCAAACCCAAATCAATCAATACGTTGATTTATTGATTAAGTAAAATTGATGATGATGATGATGATAGAGAGTATACCATGTTTTCCAAAGTCAGAAATTATTTCCTTTCTCTTCAATTATAAGTTAAATTATATTATGTTCAATTAAGATGTAACAATAAAATTGTTTGTAAATGACTATGAGAAAATGAAGATTGAATATGAAGAAGGTGTGTGTTGGATGTTATTAAATTGCCAGTTGTTGTTTCGAATTTCATTTGTTTGTCGAGCCAGTTTTTCGTTGGTTACCCGACTTCAGGGAATTACGAATTGACGTCAGTAATAATGAACGAATGATATACTAAGGGATTGACAGTTGGCCAAATGATAACACTCAGCCACTTAAGAGCAAACTTTACGAGAGTTCTTCGAAACGAGGAGCGATCAAGAGAAAGAGTGAGACATAAAGACAGAGAGGCAGATGGATAGAAAGCGATTTAAGCTTTATGGTTAATTCTAAACGGTTGTGGATGGTGAAAATATGGTTCGAGAATATTTGAATTTGCAAAACATGATGCGAAAAAGCACTTACTCTGGCCAATGATTGTCCATTGTTGGCATCAATTCGATTTTCTGCTTCATTGCCGCTAGTGGCATAGACCGTAATGGAAATAATAGCCATTTTTGAACAATGCTATTCCTTTCGCTTCGACTTTTGCTGCTACTGCTGTGAGTGGTGAGTTGCGGTTGTTGTTGTTTTACTTCACTCTTTGTGGAACAGTGAATAAAGTACTGTGACGAGACCCGATTTTCCTTCGTCAAACAATTTTCCGTGTCAGCTTTTCATTGGCCCTCTCTATCCCGCTTTTGCTCTGGCTTTTTTCTATTTGGGTCAGGTTCTTTTTCCGCTGCTTTTGTTCAGTTTGAAATTACTTTTAACTGGTGTTTGAACTGCAGCTACAGCTACTGTTCGCTAAAAAGAAACATCAAAAAAGAAGAACAAACGCACACATACACTTGGATGAAGGGAAAAAAGGAATCAACGGTGAAGTGTAAATTATCGTTTAGGCGAAAACTAAACTGTATTTGCCGTGTATTTATGTACATGTATGCGTTTGTGAGTGAGTGTGTGTGTTGGTTGGTTCGTCGGTCGGTATTTTGCAAACGCGACTGCACATAATGGAAAATTATTTCGCATTTAACATAAATAACAGGCCAAAGCAAAATGGCTATATCATAAAATGGTATGACGAATACGCTGTTGCTGATTGTATTTGTGTATGGTTAAGTTACCTATATCTCAGTCGATCCGTTGCTACTTTTCAACTTTTTTCTTGTTTCTTCTGATTTTTTCTTCTTTGCTCTCGTGTGTGAGTTGTTTTATAACGGGCCATAAAAGCTCAATGCGTGTTTATGCTTTAAAATTACTTTCCCAAAACAGCTTGTGGCGGATTTGAAGTTCGCTTTATTATGGTTCCCTTTATCCCTTTATTCGGGTTGTTGTTGTTGTTGCCGCTTTGGTTTTTTCTTAATTCCGTGGTGCACGTAATTTTCTTCGGGCGCCGTTCAGAATGATTGAATTTCGTTTGCATGCGATTAAAATCAGGTCGGCGGATGGAAGTCATTCACAAAATTTTCCATTCACATACGTATGACTTTTGATTGCGGAAGATCGAGATAAATAAAACGGAAAATCACTGCGGGCACTTTTCGTTCGGGAATTACGACGTTGTTTCAGAGAATGTGCTGCTGCCACCACCGTCACTGTTGCTACTTCTGTTGTTGCTGTAGCTGCTGCCGATGATGTTACGTATCGCGAACGTGCGTTTCAATTTATGGATATTGAGCGATGCAGTAGTTGCGAACTTGCATTTGAAATCGAATCAGTGCCACCGTTACGAAAAAAACGTTCCAACTGTCGTTTACCATATCCATGCGGCACAAAGTTTTTGGTTGCTTTGTTGTTGGGTTTGTTGGAATATCTCAAAATTTAAATTGGAAATGAAATCTGTTGGTCACTTTATCTCGGTTGACTTTGCTACTTAAAAACTTCAAATGAAACCACGGAGTGTATTGGCTTGCAATAGTCACGTTGATTGCTTTTGATCAACGGTCTCGTCGTTAATATTCGTCAGCACATACACAGACACAATTCAACTGAAAAAGAGAGAGAATATTTGCTTTTAATAATTAGTTTCAGTCACACGTACTCACGGCATGAGTTTCACATTTCAAGCACCTTCAATTTAGTCAAACACACAGAATTTTTTTTACTCGCGATTTTGGAACACAAAAGAAAGTAAAATGATGTCAAAAAACTGAAAAACCACCGATTATTTAATTTAGCCGATTAAAAAGCCACACTGCGTCTCTTATCACTGTAAGACAGATACTGCTTTCGTATTTGTAGATGCTTGCGAGAAAATGAGTTTGTGCTTTGTTCAGCACCTTAATTATTTCAGCAATTATTATACACACGGCACGGTGTATTTACAATACAAATACAATAACAACAACAGGCAGAAAAAATGCGGTTCTTGTGTCAATTTGAATTGCGAAACGCACTCACACAGATGCCACAGACAATTTGTCAGTTTACTTATTCTCAGCTTGTGCGATTAGCGGCGTATGAACAATACAGTACACGTATGTACTAAACGAACGGGTGATAAAACAGAGAACACATCGTAAATGATTGATAAACTTTTTTTTACCAACAAGTAATTCGGTTTTTCTATATGTGCCACATCACATGAATAAATTTTAATTATCATAGCTGCAGACATCTTTCTTCATTTGATGAGATTATTGCTGTGTGCTAAGTTTGCTTTTTGATATATATCGATGACGAATGTTCATTTTGTTCCAGCTAATGCGTTCAACTCACTTTCGATACCAAATACTTGACATCCTAATGGATATATGTTGCAATTTGCTGCTGATAAGAGTGGCTGAAAATGGATATTCAAATAGTTTTATACGATAATGCTGATGCTCTTATTTGATGTAAGTTTTAATGGGGTAAGCATTTTGCGAGCAGAGTTTTTCCGTTATCGGTGCGCACCATTTCAATTTGAACTAAAGTGCAACCGGTGCACAGATTCTCTGGGGCCAATGTGCTCGTCTACAATCTTTGCATTGTTGTCATGTAATCGGATCGAGCGAATGTATTCAGATAGTTTTTCATTGCTGCAGCCGCCTGCACACAAGTTATTGCGCCATGAAATGAAAGTAAACTTTAGACAGGAACATAAATTGAACGTAATTTACTTTTATGAATCGTTTTATTTTTATCACATCAAGTTGATTGTGGATTTTTAGAGCCGCTTACATCAAACTGATTTAACCAAATTCAATTGTTTGGCATGTTAATTACGGGATGAAATCAATTTACATAATACATACAATATAGCATGGCAAAAATGTTGCTGATTTGAATTTTGAGTTGGAAAATTGTGTTTGCTGCGGAAAACTCTCAAACGATTCGTTGAATAACCATGGCAGCAATTGTAAATCATAAATTTACAATGCAAAAATGCCATGGCTGATGAAATGGAGGAGAAATTACAGTGTGTTATCTTCCGTCCTGACATTTATACCATTCCATTCCATTTTGTTCCGTTCTAGTTTTCATTTAGGCCACATCAAAACTGTTTAGCTTCGGTGTATCTGTATACATGTAATACGTGCCACATAATCAAAAATGCAAATCGAAAAATCCCTCAACTCACAAAATATGCATGACATAAGATGTTTGCATGTGTGCATACACACGTAATACAAATCGAAGAGCCAATGAAATGAAAACGGAACAACAATTGCATTTACGATCGGCGTATATGCGAAATCAAACGATTTGAATAACACGCAAATAACGACAGCAGCAGCAACAACAACAGCCAAACTAAAATTTACCCAACTATTGATTTATTTCTTCGTTCCTCTGGCGGGAGGTTTTCCGTTTTATTTTCATTTCATTCTTTCCTTCATTCGTCGATGTTGTAAAATAATAACGTGTGCCCTACAACAACGGCAACAACGAAATAAAAAATGCCAATTGCCATACGATGCACAGTTCGTGCACATGTAACCGTCTGTCGATATCAAGTTCATAAGCGTACTTGATTTTCCTCATCATTTTGTCCTAATTAATTCAAACTGCTGACTTGTTTTGACTACGGCGGCATTGCGGCGACGGCAACGTCTTCACCACCACACAGCATGAGCAGGCAGAAGATGAGTGCAACGGCTCAATCGATGAGCATTGGACGAAGAACAAGAATGAAAAAAAGGAAGAATGTCAGCCGTGGAAAATGAAAGAATACACGATTTTTTAGTTTTAAATGAATAGCACGAAAGGTGGCTTTGCATGCACAATGCTTCAGCGCGAGGTTCGCCTATATATATATATCCATAGTCACACCGACACATACATATACACATAGATGCATGCACCACGAGCGCGCTCTTAAATTTAGACTGATTTAGATTGCAACGACTGAAGAAGAAGAAGACAAAGACGAGAAATAATACGAACACAAAACTACACTTGCACATTGGAGTGTGTCTGCATAGCAGAAACACGCCGCCAGCGGCTTTTCAATGAATATCATATCGTGCATTACGTTACTTTTTTTTCCTCTATTTTCTCCTTGTTCCTTTTCATTTGCTTCTTCGCCATTTTCCTTTAAACCCTTTTCTCATTTACACAATCTTCTCATTCATTTCCATAATGTTTAAATAGTTCAAAAAGAGCGGTGGATTTTTCGTTTTTGCGTTGTGGCAAAAATGCCTTATATAATCCGACAAAAATAGAGAACGGGCGGCATAAATGATTCGGATACGTATGTTTCTCCCTTCGCGCGCGCTAGACCAAGCTTTTTGAGTTCGTCTTTGCGTCTCGTAAAAGTCGTCACGTAACAAAAACTATACAATCCAAATTAAAAGTATTCAAACAGACATATGGAACACGGAAACCAGCCAGAAATATATGGGAGATGAATGAAAGAAGGAACACAGCGCGCACGAAGTGGGAGTGAATTGGGCTGAGCGATATTCAGAGAGTGAACCGTCAGTCCAAGTCTATTATCTTGATTGCTAAAGCAATCCAACTACTACCACTACCATGACGTGAGTGCGACTTTTCTGTTTACATTTCATTCACATTCAATCTTTGCACAAAAACACACATTTAACCGAAAGCTCTCTCTGGTTCTGTCGGTCGATTTTTTACTCTCTGTACATTCGAAATAGATGCGGCAAACACTCGAAAATACACAAACAGAGAGAAAGAGAGAGAGAGAGAGAGAGAGAGAGAGAACACACAAATGGCAAAGGAACACATTTTCGGTTAACCCGTTTGAACATTTCCCGGAAAATTTAATATTTCAAAAAAGCGTCTTCGTGGCACACTTCGTCTCTTATGTCTTATGTACATTGTACACACACACATACCGAGATAATTCCCAATGCTAAAATCACCTTGAAACTTTTATAATTCTCTCACTCAGTGTAATAATTATTTTGCGAAATCTTCTGTGAATTAATTCGTTGCAAAAAGCAGCATTTTTGAGTTGGTTGGGTTTTTCTGGCAAAAGCCATCCATCGCTTTGGTTCATAAAAATAATGTCATTTCTCACTGAATATGCATGCTGGGGTCTAATGAAGAAATGACATCTTTCGTTGTTCTCTCTTCTCGTTTCATCTCTTTCATTTCAATTTCCCAAGTTAAAATCGGTTCTCGTTAAACTTTTGCTCCCGGTTACAACTGCATTATTCACAAACACACACACAGAGAAAGGGAAAAAATGCCGAAGAACCCGTTTATATAACTTTTGGATTAACGGAATTTCCAAAGTAATGCAATAACTGGGAAAACTTAAAATCTATCAACTATCATATCCATTTTTACTGACAACAATGGTAAAAATCGTATCTTCCAGCAACAACATTAACATCAACAACACCCGAAGTGGGTTTGTGATCTGTTCATTCGGATTTGTGTGTGAATGGGAGTGACAATGAGCTGAAATCGAATGGGCGATAACAGAAAAAAGAATAGCAACTGCAACTTTTGTCAACGGAACAGCAATTGTCAAATAAATACATAAATTCGTGTCGAGAAAAATAGAGCAACAGCGAATAATCCCAAAAAAAAGTAGCAGTGACTGCACTGCAGTTTTTTTTTCTTCATACGAACGACAACGACAATGACGACGACGACGATGATGATGACGGCAGCGACAACGACATAAACTGTGGGCGCTCTACTCGATTTTCGACATCGCAGGAAATCAATCAATTGCACAATTACCCAATTTATGTCGAATAACAAATGTGAACATGTGAACATGTGTGATGTTTTTGGGGCACATTTAAAGGGATACATATACACTTGTAAATATGCCGTATGCAATATATTCAAGTGGAATTGAATCGGGTTCGTATGCAAAAAGGAGAAAAAGGAAGATCTTTGCATGAAATAATAAGAGAGAATAAAGCGGAATTGGAAAGAAGCAGTCTGCAATGCATTCTTCTAGTGGAATAGATTGTGTTTTTTTTTCTGACCACTTATTCCCAATTGAATAGCTCTGTGAGATCGGCAGCAAGCAGCATAGTAATGCAAATGGATGTGATTCGATTTTGGTTGAGCAAAAGTGAACATTTTCTCAAGTGCGACGTGGTGGACTCGTTATCCTTTTTAGCCGGAGCGATTTGTCGAAACACGTTTCAGTGCATCGATTCTCATACGAAATCCACCCACTCAAAAAGTAAGAAGATGCCACTTATGTGAACAATTGATGTGAACGAGAAAAAGAGTGTGGTATTATCCATGTACAGTGTGCACGCACACACACACACATGAAAGAAGAAAAAAGAACAAAACTTCACAAGCAAAGTCACTCAAATGGGGAGATATAAACGGCAAAGACGACCAGGAGAGCGAGTAAAAGAAGGAAAAACTTTTGGAAAAAGAAGCATAATACACAATACACATAAGTGAACGCATCAAGCATACTGAATATATACACATGTCGGCTGTGTGTCGATTGAAGAAAACGTTCATATCACCATATCTCGCCCCATCATATATCGTGTACCGTTCGTTATACCGTTGCTTTTGCTTCGGTATGATGATGATGAAGGCAAAGCATGCTCATTGATACTCTGGTAAATATTTTTCGCATTTGATACAACAAATACACACACTTCCAGTTAGCTGCCGACAACGACGACGACGACGACGACATCCACAACGAAGTCTATTTCGAAAACAAAGTTGATTCGCATGTACAAACATACATTATTATCCAAGCGCCAAGCCAAAGCGAACCAAACCAAACTAGACCAACACTGAATGCTAGCCACCAAAATACATCGCATCGCACAAGCAGTACGTGTTCAGATTTTGAACAAGGATAACGTGTTTTCTCATTCGCTGCTCCAGCATTAATATACAGTATACACTGGCTCGTTCACTCGAGTGTGTGTATATTTTCCAGTCAACACTCCACGACGACGACTAAGACTACGACGTGGAAACATCGAACAAGTGTTCAACGGTTCATGGATAAAATCACCCGTTTTGTTTTTTGAATACTTCGAGTAATATTACGGCAAATAGAAAACAAGCCGCAAACAAGCTCAAGTCAAAGCGATGAAGTAGAAGAAACGAAAGTAGAGAGAAAAAAAAACAGTAAAAACAACACATATCGAAAAACCAAAAGCGGAAAATACAGAATGAAACTTAATACCGAAAACTAAAAGCTAAAACGTCATATATTTCGTGTGCGCTCGCTATTTGCAGAATTTGATTTCATTTTTTCTTTCTGCGCTGTATGTGATTTCAAACGGTTTTTTTTTCTGCAAACGTTTGACGAGAAAACAAAAACAAACCCACAGCAACGTCGTGTGTGTGGTATAATTTTCACTTAACATCATTGAGTTGGGTTTTATTTTGTCAGTCGCGCTGGATGCGTGCTAATGTATTCGTGGGAAATAACGAAGGATAGGGCGCAATAAAAAATCAAATTATGAAAGATATTTCACCACAAAGCTAGACGAAATAAGAGGAAATTTCATTCGAGTTAATTCGAAAAATGAAATCTGATTTTCTCACATAAATCAATCGAGCACACGGTTAGACGAGTACACATCGGAAATGTGAAAAGAATAGAAGGGAAAATAATCGGCGCAAAGGAGGTAGAACAACCAAATTATAACAACCACCACAAAAAAACAACAACGAAAGACAAACTAACTATAGACACTTACACAAACTTGGCCGACACAATATACAAGGCGGAAAGGAAAAAAAAAAATAACAACAAAAGCACAAAACGTGCAAGCAAGGTGACGGCGTAGTTCAGAAAAAAATAACGAAACTGAAAAACAGACACACGGTGCGCGCGACCCTATAACGTTAAAAAGTGAGTGAAGTGAATGAGAGGGAAAAATATTGGGCCGAAAACGAGAAAAAAATTCATAAAATTTCATTTTCTATATTCATATATTTTCTGGCGAATGGAATAGATGAGCACGACACGGAAAAGCCAGGCAACAGCAAGTCCGTTGAAACGCCAGCGTTCCAAAAGGAATACACCGTGAAAGATATCGAGCGAGAGAAAGAGAGAGTAAAACGCAGGACGTGACCATTGATGATTGTTGATATTATGGGCATTCAGTACCGTCGAAGTCAATCGCTCTCTGCAGTCATTACAAAAACAGCAACATCATTCTGAAAATACACGTAACATTGTATGTGTGCTCCGAATAGTGAGACAGCAATTTATAGCGAAAAACCGATTGCGATTGATGAAGACAAAACGTAAAATTAGTTTTTAATTAAAGTGCAAACTAGCGAGAGTTTGACAGCCAGCGATATACAGAGAGTGAGTGAGAGCGAAACCTTGAACTAAAAACTATCTGGAAATAAGGACATTATTTAATTAGAGAACGGTGGGGGAACTGATGACACAAAAAAAGAGATATAGAACAACAAGAAAATAAAAGCGCGTGGAAATTGATGAAAATCGATCGTAGCATTTCCCAAATAACTTCCATATCGATGGTTTTTGGATTGTGCGGCAAAGCGTAACGTGCAAACAACAGCAATCTAATTTGCAACGATTTTTTGCTACGTTCGTCGCGTTCGCCTTCTTCTGTTGTCCAATCTCGCTGCCAACACACGTCAAATCAATATCGTTTGTGGGGCTATGAGCTGAGTTTTTTTGTTCGTTTTTGTTCTACGTGCATTTTCCATGGCAATCCATGAAATGCATTTGAACTGAAGTAAACTAATCGGTGAGAGGTGTCATTTGCTGGACAGAAAAAAAGTCAGCAACCACTACTGCAGAAGAGGAAAAAAGAAATCGCAGAGAAAAAAAACATACACACAGAAAAACGAAATCGTTAATTAGAATAAGCCCAGTAGCTAAACACTTGCTTAAGACTAAATAATTTTTTTTCCGTTGGTTTCGTATGTGGTGCGTGGGCGGACACGGCAATAAAGCATAGCAGCAACAGTAAATTGAAAGTAAATGATGTATCAATATCAACAAAAACGGCTTAATCGACGAAGATAAATATACGCCGCCAACAAAAACAACAACACAGGATCAGAGCAGAACGCAAATAACCAAACAAATTGAGTTCATTGCAATTTGTCAACAGAAAATAACAACTTTCTTTATTCACATCGTGTGCTTTTGTGTTGATATATGTGAGAAATAACATACATACACACACACACGGTATTCGCTTCATTCACAACATATTTATTCCGTCTATTTTTCCGCTGGGGTGGCAAACAAACGATTTTCGATAAAATGAACCGAAATTGCTTTCTACGATTGTTTTCGATTGTGTTAGCAGTGCATACAATACAAGATGGATTAATCGTGAACGCTGCCAGCGCTTCGCATAAAGGTATGTATGCTACAACGTTGTACACACTTTCTTTCGCTACTTTTCTCGATGTAATTTGAATTGTTCCAATAATATATAGACACATATATGACGATGAGCCGTCAACAGGCTCGAAACGCAGAAAGAACAAAACACACAGAATATTGTATATCCAGTTGAACGGATATGTGTATCTCGCACGAGCGGCTTTACAAATCGCCTCATTCCAATACTGTATTCCACGCAGATTGTAGTCGAAATAAGGCAGGTGTACGGGGGTGCACGTGTATAAAACCAGAGAAAAACAAACATGTATCGAAAATGCCAAATTTAAATTTTTAACTGAAAATGAAAAACATTGAAACAGATTGGCGTGTAGACGCTTTGCTCCTCTTCCCTTCTTCTTCTTCTTCTTCTCCTCCAATTTTTTTTCGTGTCCAATTTTTTCCGGCAGCGTGCACAACAACCGTCGTCGATATCTCGCACACCCTATGCACACTGAACTCCATTCTGCTGTTTATATTATTCACAACAATTGTAAAGTGCAACATTTGCCACAGCCAAATTTTTTATTCATATCCGTCGGCATTTCATATTCGCAAAGTATTTTGCCCCACTGAAAATACCTTGGAATATTATTGTTTGAAATTATTATGGGAAATTGGTCGTTTATATTGCTCCTTCTTGTTTGATTGGCAAAATAGTAGTAGAATTGTGGTATAAATTCTATTTTACTTGAAACTTACTCAAAATGGGCAATTCAAAAAGTTTTAATCGATCACCGGATCGTGTGTGTGTTTTTAATATGAATAAATGATATGAAACAACAACAACAACAAAAATTTATTTTTCCCTTTGTTTGCAGCTCGTCCAAAAATCGATTTAAGTGACCCATTTTATGTGAGTATTCTTTGTCCGTTTTTTTGAAACATTCAAACGCTCAATGTATATCGAACGTATCATACAATTCAAATGAGTGTTGACATCGCCATCCGATACAGATAGAAGTAGATTGGTTGTTAGAGTGAGTTGAACGTTTTTCGAAATGAGCGCATTTCACACGGCAAATATTTGATTGGACATGTGACAAGTTGATTAAATATTTTCGAGTATATTGTGTGTGGGCAGTCGGCGTAAGTTGGAGAGAGAAAGAGACACATACTAAAAATTAACTGTATCATTCAAGCGGCAATTTGGTTAGAAACATCGAGCACGACGAGAATTCGAATCATCATCATCAACAACGACCAAACATACATACGCGGCTGACATTTATTATGCTAGTGTGCCTGCAACGCGTCTGCCGCATACTAGTTATAAATGTTCAATTGCATGCCATTTTGTGATGTGATGTGTTATAATCAATGATGTATGGCAATCGGTGCTAGCGCCGTTTCATTGAACCCTTAATTTAGCCGTTTAAATTTGATTCGATTGGAAAACGTTTCTCACACTTACACTCAAATATACACGCACAGTTAATGAATTTATCATGCCAATCGGATTATCGATTTTTAATTATTTTTCGGAGATTATTAATTTGATATCATTTTACTTCTCTTCTCTTCTCCACTCTCTTTTTTTGTTTGTGTCTGTTTTTACATGGTGATAACGGTACGTGATTGTGTGCGCTGCGATATTTCTACAGAATGGGCAAATCCATTATGATGATACATTAACTGAAACGCCGATCGGAACGATTGTATACGCAATTGATGAGGAGAGCGTTGAGGTCGATCCATTTGCGAATGACAATACAAAAACGTTTCAACTTCAAGACGTTGTTACGCACGGTAATTCGAATGACAAATCTTTTATAAATCATAATTTATTTACGATCGGCGATGGAAATGACGCGATTGTCGAGAATGACAGTGATGAAGACGACGACGATGATGATGGTGTCGCCGATGTGATTGACATTGATGGTGTGGTCGATAAACAGGCAACAGCACACAATTCGAAATTCGCTAATTTCGCATTCAACGACGAAAAACTAATTCCGATATCGAAAGCCGACAACAATAAAAATGCTGATAAACCATCGCAAATCCAATTGCAACCGAAGCATCACCAGCATCAGATATCGAATGCAACCGACCAGAATACGCAACGAGTTCCACACCAAGGCCAACAGCAAACAGTGAATAATGTTATCGCATCCCATTCGAACAGGCAAATGACCTATAAGCATTCGAGTAAGTAAATACAATCAAATTGCCATCATATCGCGCGTTTAAAAAAAACAACACCGAAAGCACACACAAAAAATTGCAAACACACACCATGAATAATAATCGAACAATTGTGCGAGTTATGGTGGTGGTGGTTTTTTTTCACTAGTGTCTATAGTGTCTGGTGAAAGAGCCGACGCAACAATCGATAAAATGAATGGTGTTCTTTTTTGTATGCTTTTGTTTTGAATAACAACCAGTGGTACAAGTTAAATCCAATAAGCTCTATTAAAAGTCACATCATACATTTTGTAAACTATGGGAATATATTGCTATTGAGGCACACCCGGGCAAACAATACGTTTCATTCTCTCTCTCTCTCTCTTCTCCTCCCTTTATTTATTTTGCATAAACCGCAAGTAAACTGAATTATTCCAGCTGTGCTAATAACGACTCCAGCTGATCGGCTTTTGAATTTTAATGACCAATATTATGTTTACCCTGATAGAGACAGAGAGAGAGAGAGAGAGGGTGAGAAATCAACGGTATGTGCATGCTGTTGAATTAAAATCCAAAGTCAATTGCAGCATAAATTGATGAACAAGTAGCACAGGATGTATGAACAAAATACCAATCATATTTGCATTCACAATGAGTTGCTGGCAACTTGAAGAGTTTGCTTTCATTTTATTCGATGGTTTAGTATCGTACATATCTATAACATCTATGTTGACCTTTCCACGCTTAATGAATTTTATATGCATATATATATATATTTTGAAAACAGTTCGACACGCAAGCGAGTTTCTAAGCTGGTGCGTTCGGAAGTTGTTTGTCCATGTGTTTGGATCACAAGCTCAGGACGCATGTAACACCGATTTTTTTCCATGTACACACAATATATGCTGTTAATGTTGTCCGTCGACGACTGTGGGCGTCCAAAATCTGTACGAACAATAATTCTAATGGTGTCCATAACATCGTTATAATCTACTACAAATCCAAAATTGTTTTGCTTGTCATCGTCATATGGTTGAAGCTTTTATTTCATTGTTATTATTGTCCTAATGTATTTGGACATTGACGCTTGAACTTTTTCACGTTGTGGTTTCGCTTCTGTTCTTCTTCTTCTGTTTTCCTTGTGGACGCACGTGTACAACTACAATAACGGCCGAACAAAATCGTTGTATCATTTTAGGCCTGAACCTGTCAAAAGTGTATAAATTATTCTACACTTGAACTTGAGTGGTGGGTGGTCTCTCGATCTCTTTTCTCTGATAAACTTTCCAAATATAATTCAATGAAAATTCCAGCCACTTAAACCGAAAACGAGCGAACGATACGATAAATACACCTATAAGGACGAAAAACCGAGAGGATTTTAATCATTTATTTCATGTTATGCGGTTCATGTTTGATATAATTCGGTGGGTCATTATTTCGGTTTTATCTTTTGAGTAGGAGGACTATTTAAAGGTTCATCATATGATTCTAATTAAGCCTTACGATATTTAAGACCAAATCATTTGTATCATACACACACAAACACCGCACGAACATAAGCCTCTGTAACATCGATTCGGTGTATGCTGGTGAATGCGTGCCGAAATGTAATCAATTTTCCTTAGTTGTGTTATATTATATTCGTAAAGCTCTTCGTTTCTTCTTTTGAAAGGTTACAACACCATAACAACCACCACCAACCCAAAGCCGAATGCCAAGTAGCATACGGTTTTTTGATTGTCCTCTGTGCGACGCAATCATTGTAAATATAAGTGGAAAAGTGTTCGTCAACCTCTCTCGCTGTCTCTGTCTCCGTGTCCACCATTGCCCATCAGCAAAGTCATTGAATGCGAATGGTCTTGTTGGTGTTGGTTCGTATGACATGGTGTTGTAACCTAATAAAAAGACAAATTCAAAATGCAAATAAACCAAACGAAAAGTAGATCAATGGCATTCACATTTTCGGGAACGCACTTCACAACAAGTGAAGTGACCTTAGGTATTTAATGTTTGCGTGACCGAATTATGGTGTTATTTCCACCACTGTTTCGATTTCGATTTGTGTTATGTGGCTTGGGATAAAAAATATATAAGGATAAACTCATGAAAATCGTAAATTAACGTGGTGTGGTTTATTGTCTCTGCAACGCGACCATGCCGTTTGTTATTGTTTTTTTCTTCTTCTTTCTTTTTTTTCTTGTAATGTGAAAAGCCACGCCATTTTTACCACACCAATTAAAAGTTTTTTTACGTTGTTTTCATTCTGTCTCTCTTTCACCTTCTCCATTATTTTTGTTTTTTTTTTTTGATTTTTGTATCGTTACAGATAAAACATCTACGGCACGCATGAAGTCGCACCGTCATCACAATCACAAGCCCAACCACAACGGAAAATGGTATCGACGTCATCAAAAGTGGTTGAAACAACACAAAGCGAAAGCACATCGCAATCGACACAGCAGCAGCAGCAGTGCATCGTCGCGAAGTGGTTTAAAGCCGCAACGAATAAATTCCGGTATGAAATCAAATGCTCGTGCACCGTCGTATGTTCAGGCTCATGTAAGTTTCTACGATTCAAGTTTTGATGATGACACTTTGACTTCGAATCGTTTCACCTCGACGAACAACCATCGAAACGGTGACAAATGGCCACACTTGAAGCGGTTACAAAGTCAATTGCATCAAGACATGCTGGGCGATTCACTACCGCCGTACATCAAAAAGTACAGTCGACGTAACAAACAGCTCATTGGATTGCTTGAAGGCGAAGGTATGCCAAATGTTGACAATGCTGATACAAATGCAAAGCAACAATCACATCCGCGTCGTCGTCAAAAGCAAACCAACAAATGGATTGAAAAGAACCTGTTCGAAGAGCAACTTGAAAAGAAGAAAAACAAAAGCGCTCATCATCAGGATCAGCATCAGCAGCAGCAACAACAACAGAAACAGCAACAGCTACCACCGATCGCACCGTATTCAACCGATGGAAAAAGTATTATACCAATTATTTTGAACTCGAAGCAACGGTATTTAACCGAGAAGAATGTACAAAGTGAACCGAATGCATTGCCGGGTGAACACTTATCATTGTCATCGGATGACTACGAAGATTGTGACGATGATTCGGACTGTGGTCCAAGCACAGCCGTTCAACATTCGAAAATCGGGCACATGAAAAAGAAGAAGGACAACATCTCTCCGAAAGCTGATTCATTTTTATTTCATCGTGTTGCCACGCCAAAATTAGTCGGCACAGCCGCTATTGCTGGTGGCTTAATTAAGCAAAAGCTTCCATTTGTCGCACTCACTGACAAACGCATCGAGGAGGATGGTTCGAAGCAACGGCGCATTAATACCGTACAAAATACATTCCCGCTGCCCTAAAGCAAATGCCCAAATAAGAAGAGAAAAAAATTATGTTTGGCAAATTGAATCGAGACATGCTTCGACCTAAGCAGCACCGAATCAAATGCACATAAAAAAATACCATACACACTCACACAGAGACAACTCTATTAACGGAAGAAAAAACAAATCGAAAGCAGTATAGTGGGAATAAATGAAGTAATTTCTTTTATCACAAAAGTTCAGACTTCAGAGCAATTGTCCGATATAGCAGAGAGAGAGAGAGAGAGAGAGAGAGAGAGAGAGAGAGAGAGAGAGAGAGAGAGAGAGAGAGAAAAAAACACTAGTGCAGCTGATTCCTCTCTACATTTTCTCTCTCGCACACACATACACACACACACACACACACACACACACAAGCATACAGGCACGTAATCCATCTAGCTGAATAGAAGAATATTATATGAAAATATATAGTTTGTAATAACAAGTGGGAGCTTTTTTTTCTCTTCTCTTCTCTCTCTCTCTCTCTCGCTCACTTTTGTCTATGTTTTGTTTTAACCGCGCCAGCTCACAGTGGACCAGCACCATGGTTGAAAACTTAATAAGCGACAGCCCCTTTATGTTTTATTCAAATGACGAAGCGGCGGTGTTTGTACGAGGCAAACATATTATCCGGATTATATAACAAACAATGGGCTACACTGACAATGATATTTCAAAAGAAACTCTCATCACGATAGAAGTGCGCGCCACATTCAAATGAAAGAATTTCGCTTTTCATTCGAGCAAAGGAGATAGATAAAGAGGGAGAGGGAGAAAAAGTGAAATAGAGAAAAACAAAAAATAACATATACACACACAAATATCACACATTGAATGTGTAGGCTTCATCACAAAAAAAAATCTACGCACCTGCTAACTGTTGATGTCAAAAGAAACTAGAGTTTACTCAAAACCATTTTTATAAATGTGTTCTCATGAATGTAGATATTAACTAAACATAACGAAATAGAATTAAAGTAGTCGTTTGCGCTTTGGTTATCGTCGGCTATTAATCAATGGCTATTTTATACACATATACATATACTATACAAACACACACACACATATACACAAATGGCCCTCTTTTATTGCCTCCTCCTTCGACAAATCTAGCTGATAATACGTGTGTATGTGTGTCGCTCTCTGTTTTATCAGAACGACCATCCACGACAAACAAAAACCAATCTCTACTTTGAAATACATATCTTTCCCTGAACCATACATAATATTATTGAGTGTGCAAAAATCCTATCAAAGGGAGTTCTATATATTATATCATTTATTGCAAAATTTCAAAAGGAATAGTAATCATCAAGCAAGAAATGTTGAAAGAGTAAACCGTCTTTATAAAAAAACGGTGTGTGCCTTCAAAGGCAAAAACTCCAGCGTGTTTCATTGAGCTGCTGCATTCAGCCACGTTTTTATAACGGGAGCTGTTGTCAACAAGTGACTGTTCACTTCACATGAAAACCAAGAACAAAAACACTCACAAACTAAATATCGTGTTATTTGATATGAAATCGCATCTTACACGCTGAAACAACGATTGCAAACCGAGTATTATAAATACTCAAAGGAATATTATAGCGAAGTCGTGAATGAAAGCATATATTTCTATATAGAACCACTCAAACGTAACCGTAAAAAGGATTATCACATAGCATATTAAACTGAAAATGTCTTCTAAATGTATTAAAATCATAGAATATTACCTGTGAACACTGGAACACACGGATTACAAGGGATGCGAAAAGTCTGAGATGGAAAATAGATTGAAGATGACAGAAAAACCAAGAAAATGAAATTTAAAAAAAAACGAAAATGTATGTTCATTTATAATTTCTAATTGTTAAAATTGTTATAGCAAGGATGGATTTTAAATGTTGTATGAAATGAGATGGTTTCTGTGTGTAACAACATCCATACTGTTTAACTGGAAAACATTTTCTGTTGTTATTTACCATTGTCACAATTTTCACATTTACCCCAGGAGTGCTGGAAAATGAGTGATTGTTGAATGAAGAAAATTAATTGCATGAATTGCGTGGATTTTACGTGGAAATTTACACAAAACATTTGATATATTAGACGAAGCTCAAATAACAAGTGGTAGATTATTGTGTGGAAAGGATAAATGTTACGCGAGAGAAACAGAAAGCGAGAAGGACAGAAAGGGAGAGGGAGGGAGGTAGAATAAATGATAAACTGTATCAAAATACCGACAAAAGCAAGGAAATGTGAAAAACGAAATAAAAATGATTGTAATCACATTTGAAAGTAATAATCGGTGTTTGTTTCATTTGTTCTATTGTTTATGCCAAAGAGTTTTCCATAAAATTTCTCAACGTTAATTGATTGACAAATGGCAGAGAGAAAGGAAGAAGTAATACTTCAAATGCAAAACAACGAATTATATGGGTTTTATGTTCAGAATCGGAGTCACCCACACATAAATCGATACTAATCTTTTACTTGGCATTGGCATTTTCAAGTTTTTTTTTGTTTGTGCAAACAGAGAGAACCAATTTGACAAATGCCCGACAAAAGCTACTCCTGCTACTGATGAAGATGATGACTTTCTTGTTAATCAATTGTTTTGCATCACTTCAGAACGCCCGCAATGATTTTGCATTACCTAAAACCTCCGCATCCATTAGGATAAAGTTTCAAAATGTTTTTCTCGTTTCATTTTCGACAATCAGGCAACTTCTTCGAATCAGAAAAGTCAAGACTCACTTTAACCAATCCCCATCCCCAAGAGAATTTCACATGACATGTGAACCAATCGAATAAATGACAAGCACAGCAAATAGCAGAAATGAACAGCAGCAGAAAAAAGTGTGCAACGATACTGATTTCTCAATGGAACAAGGCGAAACGCTTTTCTCCGCAAATTATTCTTAAAAGTTATAGGGAAAAAAAATGTTTCTTCTCCATTTTTTTGGATGAAATGCGCGACTAAATCATTACTTTATTTGTTGATAAGCTTTGGCGGAGTTTCCATTCATTGTTTGGGCTTAAAACACTGATTACGGTATTCATTCATTGTCATTGAGGTGTCGGATTTCATTTCATTCATTGAAATGTGATATCGATAGAAAGGAAGAAAGTCCGGATAATTAACGTTGAATTAATGAATGAAAAAAAAATTGTTGAGCTGTCGAGCAATGAAAATCCTCTTTGAATTTGATTATTTCATACGAAATTGTAAACTATTATTTTTCGTTTCTATGGCAACTTTACTTTAGCACGCCTACTTCTCAATTTTATGAATGAAATAATGGTTGCTAAAATTTTCCACGCAACGAATAATAGAATAAATCCTATACTTAGAATAATTGTAAAGAAAAATGCCCAAACATCCAAATTGTAGAACAGATAGGTTGCAAAATGGGTTGCATCGCTATGCAAATGTGGTGCGCCTTTGGTTTCAGCAAGATATTCGGTCCAATAAATGGCCGTTTCCATAGGTCCAACGATTCGATCTCGGAATCGTTCCGAAGTGATATGCGCTTGAATGGTGTAACTAAAATAGTAAGCAGCAAATATTTTATCATTTCGAGGAGTATTTGTGCGAAATAACAAACCTTGAATCATGCAATACCCGTTCAATAGACGACTTAAGCTTAGTCTTTGTCATTTCACTGAATGGCAGCTCAATTCCATAGCCATTTTCGTGTGCCCATCGTGCATTTACGAATTGGTCAAAATAAAACGGAATGACAATGATCGGCTTACTGTAATAAATACTCTCTTGAATACTGTTGAGTCCACCATGTGTGATGAAGCAACGGAGATTACGATGCTTCAAAATTGCCTTTTGCGGAAACCACGATCGAACTAGGACATTTGGTATATTTTGAGCTAGCTTCGACATCTCGTTACCTTTCACAAGGAATTTTATATTTGATAACTCTGCCATTGCGCCCAAAAATGCCATGTTTGCTTCGGTCATGATTTGTGTATCGTCAACAACTGTTCCGAGGGAAAAGAAAATCGCTCCAAAATTGGCTTCATCCAAAAATATTTGTAGATCCGATGGTAGTGGCTGAACTTCATCGGGTTGTATGGCAAGTCCACCGACTTCAATGATATTCGGCGATAATAGCCGTGATCCCGTCAGACTTGGATGTGAATTCAGTAAAATCATCGAAATATCGCCTTTGAGCACTTGAAGTGGTGGAATATTTTTTGTGTTCGGAAACATTAATTCACAATTCGCTTGCCATTCAGCCCACATAAACATTCTGGACACATAATGAACGACGAAATAAGTGAGCATGTTGTGAAGCCGTTGCCAAAAGTTCATCTGTTCGGTGTAACTGTTAAATATATTTGGAGTGAACGATTTCATGGATGGAATGGCTGTGAAGCTGTACATTTCCGTTGAATCAAACACAGGCGAAATTGAAATGATGGGTGCATTAAAATGATATCCAAGTACCAGCAGCTCTTCGCTATAAATTGTTTCGATCAAAATCACATCGAATCTGGTCTTATTTTGGAGGAAACGTTGAAAATTTTGACTATTCGTTATTGAACCGCTAGTTTCTTTCCGAAGCGCTGTCAAAGCCTTGAACAGTGCACGAGACGACAGGGTAGCAAAATTCAGCTTTGTATATTCACTTTGCACTGCAATTAAAATGAACGAAATAAGACACTTCTGGCTAGAACATACTACGTAGACTCAAGTGATTTACAGGCGCTAACTCTTTTTTCAGTGTGCTCAAGATAGACTTGATGGTAATTTGGCATTGGATTTAGCTCTTTGTACGGAGAAATTACCGTTACTTCATGGCCAGCAGCTGCTAAACCCTGTGATAATGCACTTCCGAATCTATAATGAGACCTTCCAATGTATGGTAATGCGACCAGTATCCTGTAAGTATTCACACCTCCCCACAAAAAGATCAAAACGAACAACACTTTTAGAACCATGTCTTCTACATTGAATCAATACTCTGCCAACAGTATAGAAATCGACACCAACAATTTGTATGACCTAATGAATATAAATATTTTATATTCTCAATTCGTGGTCCGCATGTTGCATTTTTAATCCATATCGCACGAACTAGTCGAAAAAGAAGCGACAAACACGAATGGGTGCAGTATATTGGAAACAAGTCACGATTTTAATATAATTACTTCTTTTATTATTTAATATCAAAATCATTTCGATTTACTACTCGCAAATGCATTCAATTTTCTTACACATCGTCACGATAAAAGATTTACAACCAAAAAAGCTGAAGTTCTGTTCCTCTTTTTGGAAATACAAAAATGAGATATAATTGGAGATTGTCGTGTCGATCGAATGGAATAGTCAATAGGAATTTTTGGACGTTTTCCATCACATCTGAAATACTCGTATTGTGCGTTTCAACTTACAAATGATTTAAATCTATGTGATTCTTCTATGTAATGCCTATATTTATCGCTTAACTTGTCGTAAACTTAAACCAAAAACAAAATTTACGAACATATTTCCACTTAACGTACTTAAGCAACGGAATAAAATAAAAACGAAATTTATTTGCTCCACTTGATTTGCGTGGATCCAATTATCAATAGTGGAATTCTTTTTTTTTAGGTCAAACAGAGTAGTCGCCTCCAAAGTGATGGTTTTTTCGCATCGTTCACTGACACCAGCGCATGCCAAATTGCTGTATCGAAGGCCTCCTTTACATTTGTCTGAATGCATTCCATGGAAAATTATCGCAATACCATCAATGGTGCAGATTACAAAACATGAAAAGAAGAAAAAAACAGAACGAAAAATGTTAACGAATATTCAAAGTTATTTGCTATGCTAGAGTAAAAAGAGTGCAATGGTTATTTGATGTGGTGTCTATTGAAGTTTAATATGTGTGCATCGGAAGTATTTGCAATTCGGTTCGAAAATTAAAATTGGTATTTTCGATTTTTTTTCTCTCGTTTCATTCGTTGCATTGCATTGGTGAGTTGCATGGGGCAAATGGGGGAAAAAAATGTCCGGGTTGAGTTTATTGAATTTTGTTAAAATGAAAAAGTTGTGTGTCGATTGTGGAATCCGGGTTTGCACAAAATAAGATAGAATCAAAGAGAGATGCCAGATTTACAACTTTTGGTCATAGGTATCGAATTTTTTTTGGACAGGTTTTTTGCTTATGCAGCCGAATCGGGCACACTATCAGAAAATTGTGCTGACAAAAAAAAACACAAGCACACACACGAAATGTATAACATCATCCCTCAAAGCGTCGCATAAATGGAATATTCTGTTTTTGAAAGACATGACCTATAAAAATTCCGTATGCAAATGTAGTGTGATGTTGAACACACGAGCAACGAAGGAAGACACAAAAAAACACAATAACCAATCGAGTAAAAAGATTCTGTCGTAACCATTTCGCATACAAAATTCTGTTATGAAAATATGCCATAGCACCACCAATCGCATGCACAACCAACCACACACACACATATATTCGATAGAAACCCCCGTGTATTTTGTATAGATGCATCGAGCAGCAGTTAATGCTACAGAGAATATGGATGAGGATGATACTTACATTTGCCCGAGACGATGTTTCGATATATTTTGCACCAATCGATGTCGCATAGTCCCATGCATCTGCTTTCGAAACAGGTTTTTCATTTTTTGCCTGCAAAAGACGAGAGAGAAAAAAATGTGAATTTGTGATTTCGTTTGAAACGCTGCCGGGGTTCTGATGTGTTTTTATTTCATTCGTTCGTTCCCTGTCTCTATATCTCGTTCTCCGAAGCATTGAATCAATAATTCTAATTTTGTCATGTCTGTCACCACGAACTTTATGATTTTGGGATTCATGTAACACACAAGAGGAGCAGCAGAGAGAAAACGCACGTAAGGACTGAATGAAATATGTATCTTACCAGCAGTTGTGAAATAACCGCCGAATCGCTTCGCAGATCAGACTGAGTGCCGATGAGGACGATGGGTTTATGTGTTTTTCGGAAGATTGGTTCCCATTTCTCTCGTGCCGCAACAAATGTATCGGGTTTGATGACTGAGAAGCACAGTAAAAATACATCACTATCCGGATAGCATAGACGACGTAATGGATCGAGGAAATCTTGGCCTGCGGTGTCGGCCAATTCAACTTTAACAGGACTGTCATCCACCTTCACTTCAACTGTAAAACATCAAACATGAATATTTTTTGCTGTTGTATTGCATGGTGTTTTGAAAATTGGTTTCAATTTTAATTTATTCACAAGCTTGACAAGTTTAAACACTCGATTTACTTACAGTTGTAAATATCGGATGCCGTTGGCACATGTTCAGTTGTAAAGCGATGCTGCAAATACGACAGTATGAGATTCGTTTTGCCAACCTTTTCATCGCCAACAACAACACACTTGATTGCATTGCCCGATTTCTTTTGGCTTCTTTTTGTCTTCTTCGTCACTTCTATGATAGGATGGAACAAAAAAAAAATAAACGTATACATTATTATACATGAGAGAGAGAGAGAGAGAGAGAGAGAGAGAGAGAGAGAGAGAGAGAGAAAGATATCGAATGTCCATACAAAGTATATGAATTGAGCACATCACACACACACACACATACACATTTCATGTAACGTCAGATTCTATTTTCAGATGTTGTGTTATCACATTAAAAAAAATCATCGCTCACTGTGTGAGCACTGCATACGCCAATGCTGTTCGATTTGGTTTTCCATGACAAACAAAAGTTGAAGCGCAAAGAAAAAAGAATCATGGCTAGCTGTGAAATTTAATTGGAGAAGTTAGATAGACACCGAAAAAGACACACACACCGGGAGAGAGAGAGACAGTCTCTTTTATTCAGAGTGAAAGTTTTAAGTTTTGATTAGGGTTTCATAATTCCGAGTATCGCTCAACAAATAGTGAGTGGATTTTATTACAGACTCACTTTGATTCCATGAGTAATTTGATAACATTAAACCACACAAGCGAAGTAATTACATTTTCGGGATGTTGTACTTGATAAATGCCATACACTCACACCGAGCATGCAGAACACTACAGTATGAACGTATCAGTTTTACGCGTTGGTTTTTGCTAAAAGGTTAAATTGTTTCAAATTTGTCATTTAATTCAGTCGAAATCGAATGCAGTGTGTGTGTTTTCCTTTTTGGCGTGTTCAAAACGATGAATGGAAAGACGTTCGATGCTTATTCACGTATTCTTTTGTATTATCTCTTTTCAGTCGTTTCTTTGGACTTATTTTCTGTCGAACATCGTAAGCATGAATGCCAACGACAGAGGAGTACTTTACCTGGTTCGGTTAGTTTGTTTAATTTTTCTTTGATTGTTCATTGTTGCTTTTAAATGTTCGTCGAAATTACAATATTCGTTGAAAAATTATCGTAATGAACGACAATAAAAATCGAAGAGACGAAGAAAAAAGAGCCGGCGTTGTTTTTACGTAACAAAAGTGAAAAGCAGTAAAATCTCCAAATTATTGTAACAAAAACAACATTTAACGTAGCAACACAACACATGGATAAAAAAAAGATTTATAGGTAGATGCAAAAGAAAATGGATAAGAAAACAAAAGGCGTTCAAACACATGGATGGAAACAAAAATGTTCCAAAGACATTTCAACAAGCTGAAATGAGTGGAAAGAAGAGAAAATGAGAAAAGAGCAACACCATTCATTGCTAATTCCATGAACGTGAAGAAAAGGTGACCATTTTTGAAGAGACCATAGCAAATGTTACTGGATTAGAGACATTTTTCTGAATCAATCGGCCCAACAACGTACAACGGCACAACAATAAGAAAAAAATGGCAGAATAAAGACAATTTTCAAACACAACATTTATCATTCGGTTGAAATGTAGAATTTCTACAGTTAAACAAACATTAAATCCCATTGAGTCTTTAAACTAGTAACTGCAAGCACAATAGCACTCACATACACACGCAAATACAAATACATACCTGTTTTGGTTCGGCATTTTTCAGCATTTTTCTTAAGTCGTCGATCATGCTCTTTCGTTTGTGGACCATTTGCAACGGCTGCCGTATCGAACACACGTTTGTTATTGCTTTGAGCATTGTCATCGATTACCGCTACATCACATCGACGGTATGACTGTGTGTTCCATGCATTGCATCGCAACGAATGAAAATAGAATTTAAAAAAAATAATATAGAAAAAGTCACACATTTTCGATAGAGAGAGAGAGAGAGAGAAAGCTCAGAAGTGAACAGAGATAATGTAATAATAATAGGATTTGTATTTATTGTACAAAGCACCCGGGAGAAAAAGGATGCGGCGAATAGAATGGGCGTTTTGAAACAGCACAGAAATCGATTTGTTATTTCACACGGCTGCCGAACAACAGCGAGCTGTGAGAACAGTGAATGACGTCAAAGGCATCAAATAAATTAGTAAATTGAATAACAATGTGGAAGAATAAAATTGGTATTATTGAACTGAATAAAGTAGATTCCGTGTTCTTTTTATGTGTATTCGAAGGACGATGGATAAAACGAAACAAAGGATCATCATATGTTATGCTTAAGTCATAAATCCGAATATTCACCCGAATGGATTAAAGGAAATGTTGTCGATGTCGGAGTGAAATCGATTCGCTGTCTCACGGAATCGACGACGACGACCAAGAAGAAGGAGAAGGAAAAAAATCAATCCGAAAAAAGATCAAAAAATCAAAAATCATCAGAAAAAAAAGACGAAGATGGAACAGGGTTTTTTTTATTCCATTTTATCTTGTTCATCGCACATTTGCACGGGTATCATTACCAATCGATTTTGATAATAATCAACTATATGGCGGATATCGATAAATGCGGATCGACTACAAGAGTAGCAATCAAAGGCATTCCGTTTTTTTTTTCTCTCCATCGTCTTTTTACTTACATCGTTTGTGTCATTGTCATTTGCATCCGGATCGATTGGCGTGTATTTGGTTGTCAGAACAGATGTTGCCGTGGAATGTTTTATCACAGAATCGTTTTTCACTTTGGAGGGCAGCGTATAACATGCTTGCGAATGTACACCGAATATAAATGGGCCATTGTCAAGCAGACGATTCACTGGACTGGGTGTGATTGAGTTGATTTTATTGCAATTGTATTGTTGCTGGTGATGATATTTGTGGATCGTTGGTTCGGTTGGCGTTTGCTTGAATCCGTTATCGTTTGTACTATTTGTAATTTTATGATGTGCGTTGCTATTGCCAGCCCCGAAGCGTGGCCATTCTTTGAAGAATCCACCTTTTTTGTGATGATTGTGGGTGACATTTTGTGATGATTGAATCTCTTTGTGCAATTGATACTGATTTTCATTGGAATGGTGATATTGGTCGTTTGAATCTTCGCAGTGATTCATGGATTGCGATTGTGAATGTGAATGATTGCTGCGACAGCTGAAATTTTCACTCGAATTGTTTGTCATGAAACCCGAATCGTCATCGTAATACGGTGAATAGCCATTGCTGCTGCTGCTGTGGTGTAGGTGCTGGTGTTGGTGGTGGTCGTCATATGCATTCAATGGCAGTTTCAGTGACGCATTTGGTGAAGCCGGCGGACTATCATTACCGTATGGATAGCCAGTGTTGCTCAAATTTTTGTATTGATTGGCCACAAAATTGAAGTCATTAAATCCATGCAGTTTGTAATCGCTTCCGATGGTCGGTTTTGGCTTTTTTGTTTGCTGAACTATTGTCGCGGTTGGTGCGTGATAATGACTTTTCGGTGGTGAATCGAGTAAAGGTCGTGTCGACCGATTGAACAGGTGATCACGCTGCATCATGGTCGTCGCACTTTGTAAAAAATACACACACACACAAACTATTTTGATTTATCACTTCCGATTTTGGCTTCAGGTACAGAAAACACTAAATTCAAACCAGTCTTATAATTGATTGATGTCCACAGTTTGTTTTTCGTGTCGATCTGAAAGAAAAAGAGAAAAGAAATCGAATCGTATTATTTAATTTGAAAGCAGGTGTTTCCTTATTTTTCATTCACTTCGGCACGAAGTATCGAAAACCGATTCAGGTGACAGACGAAGTTCATTAACAAAATACCAGGCAAGTAAAAAAAAGGACGGAAATCATTCAACCACTTGAATGTCGACGTAAAAGGCACTTGATTCATTTAGCAACTTCATTTCAACGACGACGACAGCGACAACGGCAATGAGAGTCAAGGTGTGCTTACGTTTTTATGGGAATCACAGCCAAATAACTAAATTAACCAAAAATAGAAGCGAATCATATGGATGGAGTGCAAGAGAAGCATACATCACAACGTAAATCACCATATTTGGTCAATTTGAGAAGAAGAAAAAGTGCATGTCAATGGAAGACAGGAAAACAACCGAACAAGTTATGGGTACAAGAGCAGGCTGAGTGTGAAGTAGCTGAACCACTCACCGTACAACATACATCACTCACAGAGTTGTACCTTCATACACACAAATCTTGCCTTCTTTTTTACACTTCTGCATCGTATAGTATATGATCCGTATACGCAATAAACGTATGCACGCGTAGCTGAAGAGAGGCCAAGGGAGTGAATGTGTTTCAAGTCGGAAGAGAGTAATATGTTATCTTTTTATGCAATGCGCGTGTTAAGCAAATTATGAATCATTCCCATTCGTCGTCGTAAGCCGTCTACCGATATACACACAAGTCAAATTTATTGAGCAAACCATCGCGCTTCACTGATGAATTATTATGCATTTTTTTACATATCGTTCTTACCGAACGCGTTTCTTTTTCTTTCTCTCTTCGAATAAAGCTGTTTGCCTGTTTAGCTGTTTAGCATTTTGTTTTTCTTGTCTCTTTTTCTCTCTCTTGAACTCTATCTCATTTCTCAACAGGCTTTCAACGGCCAAGCACACGTAACACTTCAACTTAATGACATGTACGTTACAAACTGAATCTTGCTATTGTTGTTTTTTTTTCGTTTTCGTTGTGTGTCCAAGCGTTTAGTAATAGCGATATTAATATTTTCGTGTGTTTTCTACGGAATTTCCACACATTGATCTCATTCGTGCTGAGCCATTCTACAGATTACCTTCATTTAGCGGGCGATTGCATTCGTTGTCTGAGATCCGATCTTCGCTCTTTTCGTCGATTGTTTCGTTCTATGGTTTGTTTTTATAAATTTTTTCACTTGAACGACTTTTCATAAAGAAAAGTAGACAACATTGAACTGAGAAAAAAACGCTAAGCGCATACAAACCAATCGAAACAAAACAACAACAACGAGAAGTAGAAAAAAAACCAAAAGCGAGTTAGGTGCGTTTGAATGACTGCATCGCTTCTCATTTTACCGTTTGCGCATTCACGTTCTTTTTCTCTCTTCAGAGTGTTTTTTTTTTTAAATAGTTTCATTGTATGTGTGTGTGTGTGCTTGTGTTCGAATGTGTGGCGATGGTATTATTGCTCATTAGCCGTCAATCATTTGCCGTGTTTGTGCATCTCAATCGAGTTGGTTCTCGCTCGGTTTTGTTTAAACTTTACGGTGCGCAGCCTTTCAAGAGCCACAAAACCGCAAATAATAAACAACATCGTACAAATACGGACAGACAACGTGTTCTCATGTTTGCTGCTTGTGCTGCTGTTGCTGCTGACGGTTTCATATGTTCTCACATTGCTTGAACAAAGGGCACAACATCACAAAATGAACAAAAAACACACAGCGAACGGTGCAAAGAAAAATAAAAAAAAGAGAAACAAAAAACAACAACAGCAGAAAACATAATTTAACTGACGCTTCGGTGATTCAATGTGTGTCGCATTGGAGAGATGTAGAAGGTTCTGGTTTTTGGGTGCATTACTGCACGTATCATGTTATCAAAATGGTCCGCGTTTCATTTGTTCGTTGGCTCTTTCGTTTGTTTCGAAATCGAAATATTTCTCACAAAAATCCCAACAGACGACTCGGTCATTACGTTGCGGAAGGTGTTATTAAGTTAGCCTCGGCCAACGGACCATATTCCGAGAATATCGGTTTTTAGTGGTGCATTTTCCGAGAGTTCAAAAAGTCGAGAAAAAAGGACGTCACACGGAGAGAGAGAGAGATGGAAAGACAGCGTCCGCTTGGCAGATAATCAAATGAACACTCACTCAATAAATATGGCTGGAGTACACCCAAACCATAGATACCATTTAGCTGGAATTTTCCCTCATTTTACTAACGAAGCCATTCCAATTGGCATTTACCGCACACATTTCTCGCAATTTTACTAATGAAACACTGGTTTTCACATAATTTTTACTTGGCAACGGCAACTAACGTAACCATTTTACATTCGTAACACCAGCAGCAATAACAACAGAAGAGTAAAATAAACTGTTAATTTACGAACGTAATAACCAATATTGGCGATTTTTTTATAGCATTACAATTGGCAATAACAAGAAGATAATCTTTTTGTTTGTACGTTGTTTATTCCAAATGAAGACGTAGGCTAGTTATGCGATTGCATTGATTGATTCTTCAAGTCTGAGCAAGAGTCTAAGCTTCATTTCTTAGATCTGAGTGTGATACCGGATTTTTTTTTCGCAATTTTGAATTCTCTGCGCACGTACTAAATTCGAATAAATCCACTTTTTTTTTAAAGATATTGTTCATTAATTGATCTCAAAGTGCTCGACTGAGAACTCATAAACTACTTAATTTTTGTTTTAAATTTTCCAAGTTATTTTCAAACCTCTTAATTGAAACTTCGAGACGAATATTCTCTGTATGACCTTTGCTTGAGAATATTATTTTCATTGGATTCCCTAATTGCCCAAGTAATAACACTAAGTAGCAAATTCCTGCACATGTAGCAAATAGAAAACAAAATACATCACCGTTACCATTTGAAAAATAAAATCGAAATAAGTCGGCATTGCAACAACATCAATCGAAACAAACGACATTCGGAATCTCGAGCACGTTCGTTTAATTTACACAATTTTATGATGGATTTCAACATCAAACACATCAACGTTGCATCAAATCGTAATTACAATTTCATTAAACGGGGCTTGCGTAATTTCGGTCATTCCTGTCCATTCACTTCGAAGAATATGTTTCGGTTTTTTTTTTCAGTGTTTTTTTGTTGGAGAAACAAAAACGCACTGTTGCTGCTGCTGCTGTTGGTTGTGGTACGGTTGAAATTCCAATGTTCATTCCTTTTGGCACAGCTGCACGATGCGTCCAACTTACTGCACACACCACTTTATATTCAAATTAGGTGTAGTGTAAAAATGACTAAAAGGGGTCGCCTCTCCGTCCCGAAATCGACCGTAGATAGCCGGTATTCAAAATGCTTTTGACTTATTCAACTCACAAGCGCTTGTCGTGTTCGACCATCAATTAACATCATTTCGTTAAACAACCGCACCGAATCGACAACAACAGTAACAGCGACAGCAGCACCACCAGCAACATTTTGCACATAAGAATGTTATACACATATATAAAATACAGCGAGAATGTGGAGAATCGAAAACCGAACACTGAAAAATGTTAACGATCCACAGAGCAAAATTGCATCTGTTTCAGTTTTACAAGTGTTTTCGAGCGCATTGTTGTTGTTGTTGCCGTGTATATTTCGAGTATAGGCTTTGTGCGCTCGTTTCTTGCCGCTTTGGTACACTCAAAAATGAATGTGAGTCATTCCATGGGCTGAACGAAAAGTTCACATTAGCGAAACGTAGCACAGTGTATATGTGTATCAATAAAAGAATGGAATATAAAAAAGACAATGATCGTTCTGCCGTGGTGCCGTACACAAGAAATGCTTGAAAACCATCGGTCTCTTTGTTTTATTTTTTGTTGTTGTGTGTTTTTTCTTACTTTTTTTTGCGACAATCATGAATGATTCGTTATATTCTCTCTTCGTCGTTTCTATTGTTTTTCGTATGTGAGAACTATAGGTCGGTTTTGTAGCAGGCGGCTCATTTTTCTTATTTTATTTTTCTGCTGTTGTTGTTGTTTGTTTCAAATATGCCAAAAATCTTCGGTTAATTTAGATATTAAATTTAATGGATGCTATTCAACGGTCTTGGTAGCGTTTAACCAAGCGGCTTGGTTTTGTAACTTTTTTTTTCCACGTTGGAAATTTTTCGCACTGTGTTCGTGATTTCGAAATGGTCGATTGCTGGCTTTGCAGTACACATAGGTGGAAAAACAGAAAGCGGTAGATCGGTATATTTGAATGTCTTTACTAGTTTTGTTCAATAGAATTTCTCTATTGCGCGTCGTTCATTTTATGGCGATCAGTGACACGAATATCCAAAATAACATAACAACAACCTTATTTTTGAAATGAAGAAGAGAAAAAAGTGGTGCAATGACATGAATTTCATAGAGAGTTGTTCGATTTTACATTTGAAATATCGTCCGATAGCGATAAAAATTAACGTAATAATTATGAACAAAGACAGAGGAAAAAAAACAATAGTCATGATTTCATTGTTGTCTGCGTGCGTCCTTGTTCGGTACACACTCACGCAAATACAGTCCTCAGCACATCGCTACACATTTCAAACAACACACAATCGTAACCAAAATCGTAATTACGTTACGATTATGGAATTTTATTGTTCACAACAACGAATGAACAAAAAAAAACCGAATTTATTGTTATTATCGTAATTGATGGGTTTTTTGTTTGATACCACAGCCAATCGCCAAGCAGCGGCCGAATATCAACTTTGATTGTTCGTTTTGCAGTCATTTCAGTGCGATTAGTAAATTTGCATGAGGTTCAAACTCAATTTGATCGGCATATCGAACATTACAAGTTGGCGCTTGAACACTCCATCCTCAGTGTTCCTCACAAAATCATTTCCTCGTTTTCTGCTTTGCATTCGTATTTTGTGTTGAAAAGTTCCGAAAAAAAAGTTCTGATTTTCGATTTTTATTCAACAACAATCGGCCGAAACATTTTTTAAGAGTGAAAAGAAGGAGATGGAAAAGGTACATACACCGCAACGAACGAGCAGAGAGAGAAGAAAAAAGAAAGAACCTCAAGCCGAAGGCACTTTTGGCATTTATTCGTTTATCTGTGTACGTATGTGCAATTTTCTTTTCTTTGCGCTCTTTACTTTATTTTATGCCGTTTTCCATCCACTGATTCGTTGCCATGAATGTGTGTAGCATTTTATTTTTTTCGCTTCATCTTTTGCTCTCTTCATTTCACCGTTCCGCAATTCTTCGGCTATTATTGCTTCTTTGCTTTGCTCAGGCTCTTTGCTTAAATGCACACACAATGGTCTTGAGAATGATTTTCAGTATCTGTTTCTCTTTTTTTTCATTATTATTATTTAGTAGAGATTTTTTTTCTCCATCTTCTGTCGTTACTTACTATCTTTTTTATGTATCTCACAAGAAACCACACACGTTCAGACCATCGTCACAACAAATAGCTGTTGGTTAAAAAAAATTGTGCATTACATCGATGAATCGACATATTTTCTCTCTCTCAAACCTAAATGTTTTCACAGATCGTACTAAAATCTCTTTCAATTTATGAACTTTTCAACATAAAATCCACTATCGAACTATTTGCTCTCCGTCCTGATTGTTTTCATGTAACGCACGTTGGCAAAAAGAACTATCAATTGAAACAGTTTCACTTTTTATTTCACTTTTGGGATGCCGATGAATTCAATGAGAATTTAAATCACAGCACTTTGCTTGCTCTTTCTGGATGGAAAGAAGAAAAAAAACCATACACACACTCAAATTTATCTCTGAACCACTATGTTTTTCTGTAGATAAAACTGCAATCGTCGTAAGTCGGATGACCTGTTGCTTCGGCAAAATGAAATTATGTGTAAGAGAATTGTGCTCTCTATTTTGCTGAGTTTATTGTTTCATCTTGTTACGTCTCTTAACGTCGGCTGTTCGTTTCGTTACTGTATTGCTGCTTTCAAGTTTTTATTTCTCTTCCCGAAAGAGGAAAAAAAAATATGATTGTATATATTTCGTGTGTGAACACTTTTCCAACATTTTATTTCTTTTCTTCTTCTCGATACACAGCCGATGATGTGAGTGTGTGTGTGTAGTCTTTGTTGTCGCTCAAACCGTTTTGCCTGTATGCACACACTCGTTCACACAGTGACGGTGTGCATTTTACTATCTACCGATCATACATTTGACACAAACACACCTCGATCGACTCATGCCGTGTACTGTGCATGTGTGTATGCGTTGTTTTTTTCTTTCTCTCATCGTTGCTGTACTAATAGCTCCAGACATGCATGTGAAACAAACGAATGTGTTGTTATTTTTTTTTTGTCATTTCTCCTGCCCATTCCATTCGCTTACACATCACATCTGTGCCCTACGTGCGTTTATATAACGATCACCTTTTACGATGACGGTGTCTGTGTGTGTGCCTTTTTCATGTTTGCCTCACATTCATTCAACTTTACATCGCTTTACCTGTCGTTGTTACCTGCGGTTCTTTTTGGGTTTCACTTTTCGGTTTTCGAACGGTTTGAACTTCCATCGGGCAAACTTAGCGATCTGTTGCCATTTTGGCTTTGTAACTATTTTCAAACGACGAAAAGAAAATTCGGTTGAAAATTGTTAGCCAAAAATATGCCCATATTCAATGAATACTATGGTGCATCCAGTGCACTGGATAAATAATTCATGAACATAATTGTCCAAAATTGTCCTGTGTTTAACATTCAAACGCCTGTGTTGAACCAATAACGAAAAAAACCATACGTTTTTATGCAAATTTTAACTCCATTCAAGACCTAAAGTCACTTTAATACTTGTTTCATGAAATATTCATGGAACGAATGATGATTCTTTGGATAGTTTCGCAAACAGATTTAAATAAATACTAGGTGACTCCATCGAATGACATGGAAAGCTTTTAAGTAAACTTTTTGAAGGTCAGATGATGGAGCAGCTACGAAAAAGGGGCAGTATTTGAAGGCTTCAATTTAAACACGGTGCAGTTGCGACATTTTCCACTGAAATAATGAGTGTTCAGGCATAAAGTACACAAAATGTCAATTCTTCTTATTAATTTTGCAAATAATGGAACCAATCCGGGTTTTTCCATTGAAAATAAATATAGAAGGATTGCGCATGTATTCAATGTAAAAACGTGTGTTTTTGATGGTGCTTCCATTGCAAATATTGCGTAGAAAAACAGATGCTATTTGTCATTCACTGAGCATTTGAGATACTGACTCATTTGTAAAGCGAACCTTGTGCGCAGATGATCTTACGTGGAGTTTGTCATGAAATAAAAAAAATTCGAATGTTTAAATGTATAAAAATATGAATACCTTGATACAGGCGACCATTAAGAGACTTTCAATCAAAGAATAAACGTTTTCCTTCTCTTCCCGAGATGAATTTCAAAGTGATTTTATCGATCGCGCTGATTATTAGCCTAACCAAAAGTGAAACAAACTGGGACAATTCTCCGTGTGAAATAAATGATATTGGGAATTGGCAGCAATACGTGGAAATAATACGAAGCTCCATTGATAAAGGTCCAATATCAAGGAAAAATATTAAAAAATTGGAGATATCAAAGAATAAAGCAAAAGTGTGCATTGATTTGTGCTTTGAAAATAACGGAATAAAGGAATATTGCACCTTGAACCACTTTCAACTTGGCAATGTACATAGTCATTCACATTCCTGTAGCTGGTAAACGAAAAACACTCCATGGCAGAGTGCATTTGCATTTTTTTTTCATAAAATGTAGTCTCAAAAAATTTTTGAACATTTTTTTTAGGTCCTACAATAATTAAAGCGGACTCAGAATGATTACATGGGCACAAACACATCCTGAGATGGAGAGTCAACTAAACGAAGGAGAAAATCTTTTTGAAAATATTAAATGTTTTAAATATGTGTATTTTAATAATAGTTGTATTTTCATTTGGATTGTTGAATAAAGTAAGAGTAATTGATGCTTGAATTATAGCAGTTTCTGAGCTTGAGAAAGGTTTTTTCTGTAATCAATTTTTATCCTCTTTTCAATTGAAGTTTTTGAATATACCGAAACCGCAAAACTAGAAAATATTTAACATTAAAATTGTTCGATTCACTCGATTGAATATCGATGATCATTGTGAAATCATTCAGTAAATCAATCAAAGGACGTATGCAATAATCAGCAATAGCAAACTGGACATCTCTTAGAAATTGCATGGTTCAGAAAATTGTCTCTTTTTGTCAATAATAAATAATAATTTGGTAAATCATTGCGTAATTTTCGAATCTAACACAGTTTAGCTTTTATTTGTATCAGAAACAGATACTATTTTTAATTTTATTGCAGGAGATTTTTTTTACTATACATGACTTCTTCACCTGATTTATTTCATTTATATTTTCCAATTTTCAAATGTTTGATTTCATGGTGTGATTTCACTTCAAGTGTTGTATCGAGGAGATTTGGTTTTGCGGTCTTCACTTCGGTGAACTTTTATTCAATATCAATTGCTGATCGCATCAGTAAGTGTGGATATAGTGCACAAAATCGAACTAGTTCTATGGAATATGATTATTATCATTTCAGGTCAATTTATTTTTTGCACTCATTGGCAATTGCTGTTTTCACATATTTTGTTATATTTATTTTTGTTACAGTAAATCAGTTAATTTGGATCGAAACCAACAATTTGTTATTTATTTGATTCATTTGAAATTAAATTTCAGCTACGAAACATTCTCTATTGTTTATCTTCAATCAAATGTCAAATATCTTTGTTTCAAACCGGCTACTAAATTGCTGCAAAATTAATGAAAAAAAAAGAAAAAAAAACAATATTGAATCGATTTAGATTGAAACAACAAAGGTTCAATTGATGGGGCGGCTTCATTCCAAGCCAAAGGATTCTTTTTGATAAACAACGCCACTCTCATTAAAGTAACTGAACTTATAATTTCACCCTTTTTTCACTAATTACTTTTATCCATTTTATTCTTCAGTTTACAGGCATAATTATGCCTTATATGATTATATTAATTCAGTTCCGAACCATCAGACGTCAGACGAAATCTGCGTTTTAATGACATAAATTATTACAGAGTAATTTTGATAGTAAATCGTCCTTGAAATTCGTTCCAATATTGTGGTGATTACATATTTTCCATTTTTAAATGAATTGTACAAGTAGTTATTAATTGAAGCGATCAGTTAATGTTTGCAATATATAATGGCATTGAGTACTTATTTCTTCATAATCTGTGATTTGATCGTTTTTCATCGAGAACATTCCGGATTTTGGGCCAATCTTCAGCAAATCGACCGATCTTACAACAGTCAAACCAATATAACCTTTCGTAGTTTTACAGTAAAGTTCGGTGCATATTTATTAAAAACAATTTTCATCTATACGTTGAGGCTATATATTCCTTATGTTAGTTTTACACAGGCATTTCGTTTGGCTGCATATTGAGCTGAGCTATTTTCAAATAGCTGGCTGTTTGGTACATTTTAATTTTGTGACTATGCAGCCATGCAAATTCATGTGAGATGATGAATTTGTGACACCTTTTTCAATCCCTGCCACGATTTTTTTTGTCATAAATTCATCATCTCACATGAATTTGCATGGCTAGATAATCACAAAATCAAAATGTACCAAATAGCCAGCTATTTGAAAATAGCTCAGCTCAATATACAGCCAAACGGAATGTCTGGTTTTACAATCGATTGCCCATATGTAATACCTGTTTACCATATGCGAGATTAGGATATCTACTATATTTCTCAATTTTTGATATTTTTTGCCTGGAAATTATCAACTATCAATTGAAAGCCATGGACAAAGAATTACACACAATCATTGAAGAATTCTATGCGACAAACACCCCATCGGATGTAAATGGATTCGTGGATATTTCCATCGTGGCTATAGAATGATATACCTCTTGAACAAAATATTCGGCTGGTCACACGCGTCAGCAACTTCATTTTATTTCTACTACCTGCTCACTGAAATACATTGGTATTATATTCATTACAACTTGATGCTAGACATTTACAAAATTGGTAAGTACTCCTAGTGATTACCCATTTTTGCTGTATGAAATAATTAAGCGTGTGTTTCATTGTTTACAGCCACTGCAGTCTCGATCGTACACTGGATTATGATGATATTTTATTTATTTCGCTTGGGCAGCCATTGCTATGTAAAGGTATGATTCAAACATTTATTGCATTCAAATTATACAGTCAGTGATCAGACGGTGAAATGAATATTGATTGCAATTTGCAAACCATTTTTGATGATTGCCATTTGATGTCAACAATGAATTTTGATTCGTTTAAGATGAAGAACATATACTTTCATTTGATCAGGATTGATCATAATCATTAGGACTTCGAATTTGGGATTCAGGTAATGTTGCTCATTTACATAACTCAATGACTATTTTTTATTATTTTCATTCTTCGATCGAGATAACGGAGTTGCATTTAATGCAGCATTCCGTATTTTTTCATGCAAAAGGCATATTTGTGATAGACAACGGAGCTTTGTTGAAAGTGAAAATGACACACTTTAATCGTTGTTCTCTTCAGCTATTAATCTGTATTTTTTTATTGTTTTTTAGCTCACGAATGCAATCATAGCTTTCATGTTTCTATTCATACAATTTCTGGAAGTTTATTAAATTGGCTTATGACGAATATGACGATTATAGTTGCGACTTTAAGGAAACAATTTGGAGATTTCATGTGTCTCTCAATAAATTCACTCTTGAAGTACACGTGCACAGTTTACTTTTAGCTCGATATTACTCCAAACGAATACGAATCGACACATTGAATATCCATACAAAGTAAATGTCGTATTCAAGAATATTTGTCAGTTCGTTGCATTGAATACGATGTTTTCAAAGATATTTGGTTGGATAAAAGAGCATTATGAATTGGTAATAATCTATTAAAACTTGTTCTTGACATTTGGTATCAAATCAATGACTTTTCCATCGAAATATCGACTGTGAAGTGACCATGGATTATTTTAAGGATTTTTTAGAACGGACCAGAATTTTGAAAAAATACAAGGGATGTTTTTTAAATATTGTGCGAACGAAGTTTATTTGAAGTGTCAAAAAATACTAAGATCCAGTGATTATTTAAACAAATGTCGGTTAATCACGATATTGGTCCTTTAACAGTTAAACTAGTAAATTAAAACATATTTAGGGTGGTTAAAAAGTTAAAATTAGGCGAGCGTAGAGAGCCGAATTTTTTTATTCAACTACAATCAGTCCAGAGTTGTCATATGGTTTATGCATTTTCATAAAGATAAAAACTGAATCTACTAAAGCGTAAGCTCTTAGATGCTCGAAGAATGTCGCTTTCGATTGATGTATTAATCAAATAAATAACTTCAAGGCTTTTGGAAATACCAATATGCCAAAGATGATCGATTTTTGAATTGTGAAGCTTGTTTCGATTGTCAAAAACGACGAGACCAAAATTTCACACGTCTTACAAATGATCAAATTATTATTTGTGTAGTGTTTTAAGAGCTTTAAACGATGACATGTTGAATTTAGTACTGGACACAGTGATACACGTTTTTCTGCTTATTTAACGTATAAGAACGTCACAACAAGAATAACTTTTTTTAGAAGAACATTTTAGAATTTATAAACAACTCCGGTGTTCGGCAGATTTATAAAAAGCGAACAATCAACACATAAAAGCGTGCAGTCGATGATAGCTGATTACATATTGCAATAAGAATATTGCAATAATCAGCAAAATATGTTTGCTATTTCGCTGTCTACCAATATGTCGAAATTTAACTCGTTCTCTACCAAGTGTTCGAAAAAATAAATATATGGGAATTATATGGGAAATAAAGTGTTCGGTAAAAAAATGGTTTAAATTCAGTCATTCTGAAAGAAAGATTTTCGAAAAGTTGCTTAAGAAAAGGTCAAAACATGATCAAACTAATGAAGACTTACGGACCATTTTCCGATTGAGAGCGAACCATTTGACTTTTACAACGGATCATTTGGGCAAGAACGGACCATTAAAATAATTCATGGAAGTGACACAGTGTGAACGCTTAAATGGCAGCATTTTAATTTTCAAACTCTTTTTGCATCCAAAAAGTGAAACGGAGTTTATAGTTTTCCCTAGCTCGGACACGAAATGATTAGCAGAAATCAAAAATATTCAAACTGTGTAAAAACCATTTTCCCATGAAACTTTATAAAAAAAAATCCAAAAGACTAAGCTATTCCATTAGTAAACATTTTCATTTCAATCAAAATAAAATAAATAATACTGCGAATTCCAATTAAAATGTTGCCCAATCAAGTTGTGTATATTTTAAATTCATTTTACGCATGTGGTTTTAACTCGGGCACATCGCAATTATCGAAAAACTTGGAGGCTACTTACTTGGTGTATGCAATACATGTTTCAATGGCTGTGGTTCTAATGTTATTCCAGTTTCGTTTGATGACCGAATATTACCCATCGCTCGGGTTGACTGAGGCGATAAGCGAGTCTATACAGGTATGAAAGATACACAATTGCATCACGATTAGTACAAATTGGTTTGTACGACATTCGCCGTCAGTGCAAAAAATGTAAATGTTTATATTTCGCGTAGTATTCAGCATCTTTGTACACGTACTGGCTTATAATTCTGTATTCGCTACTTCATCGTCAAGCGCATCAGCATTTTTGGGAAGTGCTACAGCAAATCGACGAATATTTCTCCTGTCAATCGAAACTTGTCATTTATAGCTAGATGCTAAAGTTTGGTGTATATTTCATGAAAACCATTTTAATCATTGTCATTCGATTGTTTATAAGCAGTTTCGTTAATTTTACCGTTGATTTTGCATACATTTGCTTATTCATTGTGTGTGAAATTCGAATGTTCTACTATCTATTCTGTTTGGAAGTGTTGCATTACCAAATGAAAATGGTCGAAGATGAGGTTCAAATCATGATGAAAATATTGAATTTGGCCAACATCCGAAGAAACCAGTCATTAAGCATGGATGTTATTTCGGCATGCTATTCATTTGAAATGCAGCGCCTCAAATGGATTCGAGGATATTTTCACTGTGTCTACAAAATGATGTATCTTTTGAATGAGATCTTTGGCTGGTCACACGTGGCTGGATTATCATTCTGTTTTTACTATTGGGTGTATGCATTAAGAACGAGCGATTTTCGCCGGATGGCACGTGCCATAATTCAATTATAATTCAAAGGTTTTCTTTTTCGTAACACAAATTCTTCATTTATTATCGTATTTTCAGCTCACAAGTGCCATTGCTGCATACATGATAATGTTCTTACAGTTCAGCGAACTATCCAGCTTCAATGAATCGAAGAAATTGACGCAAAAGTAAGAAAAGAAGGAAAAATGACAAAATCGAAATTAGCAAATCGAAAAAAATGCAATTCAAGTATTAATTAGGACATGAAAATGATTGCACCAAATTTGAAATGCCTTTTGTTTTCACAAATAATTGCTGTTCTTAAAATAAAATAATCAATAGTATTTTGCCATACATTTCATTGAAGTGTCTAGCTCATACTCAAGTACTATTAGTCGCTAATCGATAGTAGCGTTGTTTATTCATTTGGCCTCTCCACATTTACATCTGATAGCATGACAGCACACAGTTTTCTATTTGATTGATAAAATTAATTGATTTTTGAATTTATGACCATTTCTCTAGGATGAGCTTAATGGATATTGTGTCAGTACCGTCCTAGCTTGGAAGCGAGTGACCGTTTTAGTCGCCCAATTTTAGCCAACACTTGAAAATTCTAGTAAATCCATTTTTGAAAAGAGAAAATCAGAAATTTGAACAAGGCAATTCAAGGAAATATCTTTGAATGGAAAGAAGTGGAAAAGAAACAGAATCCAATCCAAAAAGAAATCCGAATATTCACTACATCTCCATATTTGAATAAAGTTTCGTTGATTACACAAATTCGTCGTGTTTAGTAAATAATATCCAACATTAAACATTAAAACGCTACCTGTTCAAATTGTGTACTTCTTAAATATTTTCGATGCCTTCGGTTACAATAGCGGATCATCTAAACTATCTCAACATCGAGATCTGACTCATTTCATTTGCATTGTACATATTTTATTTGCCACACTTTTGACATTTTTCAAACTTCACTTCATGCACGAATACTATTCAACGCTTGGTCTAACGGAAGCAATCAGTGAATTTTTGGAGTATTCATGTCCATGTCTCACATATTGGATAATTATTTTTGATGCAATCTATCACCAGCAATCACATCGACGCTTCTGGAAAACCGTTGAAGAAACTATTGAACAGTTTGGTCAACGAAAGGCACATAATTTTCGAATTTATTTGATAAAGTTCATTGAATTCTTTGGAATTAAAATAGTCACACTTTTTTCGAGATTTGTACTTTATGATGGAGCCACGGTTGGCCTGGCATATGACACTCTATTCAAATTGTGTCAAGTCAGAGTGTTTTACTATTTATTTTGTTTGGAAGTAGTGCATTCTCAGCTGATAATCATTCAGACAGAACTCAAATCAATAAGTATGAAAAGAAATTCGACAATAGATTCGACCTACGTGCTGAAGTTACGGCAATTCCGCAGACACTTTTACTCTATTTATAAAATGCTGGAACTTTTGAATGAAATATTCGGCTGGTCAAATGTGGCTGCAATTTTATTCTGTTTTTATCTCATTCTAACCGAATCGAATTGGACCTTCATACATTTTTTCACGGATTCTTTGGCTCGACGCATCCGTAAATATTCAGTATTCACCACAGTTTTTTTTCCCTCAAATTTACTCTATTATTTGCCAAGCGTTAGACCTCCCATACAAAATGTCCGATTTTTCGCACACTTGGCAAATAAATGGGTTTATGACCATAAATACTTTATTAATACATTATCTTACCAGGGACGATAATTTTGTACGTACACTGGCTGTTGATAACTGTTTACTTATTTCATGCGGCAACCAAGCATTATATTGCGGTATGGATTTGAAAACATAATATGAATTATAAACTCAAAGTATTAAGATATTCCATCAAATATTTTTTTGACTCCTTCCCTCAAAAACGTGGAATTTTGATCATTTCAGATCCAACGCATACGTGTGCTTTTGAATGAGATGAATTGCAAATATGAGGTTGCAATGGAGGTATAGAAAAAATGTTCTTGTGATGTTATAGTCAGTATTCACACAATGAACGCTTGTTTCTGTGATAATATAGATTGAATTAACTCAATTGTACTTGATACATCACTCGACGTTGCTTCATGCTAGAGCAATATTTGTAATAAACAGTAGGACTTTTTTCCAGGTAAAACGAACCAACGAAACTAAATAATGTTGAAATGAATGTTTGATTGTAACTTTTCAGCTCATTGGCGCAGTTTTTACTTATGTTGTAATATTCATTCAGTTTTTTATAATATTTCAATGAGCATTATTTCATAAGTTATGAGTATTACATCAGAGTAAGTATATATGAATGAGTAAGGGTAAAAGTGAGACTTGGATTCGAAATATTTTAAAGTGTTACTTCTCCAAAAGTACTCAGTCCCAAATAAAAGTCGAAATGTTTTTGACATCTACCAAAATAAAGTAAAAGTTGTGGGATGCGTCATCTCCATTCAGTGTTATTTCAATTATTTTGCTACTCTTTTTGTGAATTTTCTGTGAATATGCCAATGCGCATATATTATACCACACATTGTATTGCTTTTTCGTTGAATATAACAAAAATATATCCAACATTTGAAATTATCGGCCATTTTTCATTTTGAATATGTCGAAAAATCGAACATACATTCGATACAGAATATTCAACAAGGAAGAAGTAGCGTAAATTGTTTGCACTTTTATTATTTTATTTTGATTAAATGGCGGATCATGACAGTTATTCGTTTCAATATTATTAAACCACAAGAAATTGATTCGTTCGTCTTTCTTGAGCCTTTCTTCATCGTCAATATGCGTCCGATTTGAATTTTACGAAGTAAAAATAAAAACAAATCTATCAAGCGAACACTGTGAGAGCATCAGCCGGTCATTTTTGTGAAAACTTGGAAAGAAACACCTTGAACTCAGATATAAGACATTTTGGCCATTAAGACGAAAAGAAAACACAAAAACTTCATCACTGTGTGAATTGTAATTTTAATTGAACAAAATGGAAAAAAATAGACATGAAATGTTCTAGTTGAACTAATGTAAAATGTTTGTTGAGTTATGAATTCGATAATTTTTCTTAATCGATAGTGAGATTGATCAATTATTTCATTGTCATTTGCTTAATTAATACTTTTTTGTTCGACTTTACAGTATGATTGGTTGTGTCACAGTTTGTGTGCGTCATTTTGCACCATTTTTTTTACATTTGCTTAACATTTTTAGTGACATAATAACAAATGTTTCCTTTCTTCCTTGAAACTAATAAACACTCAAATAAACGATCAATAAATTTAATAATAATAATCACTGTCGTCACTGTCAGATGAATAATAATCGCGTTGAGGTGGTGGCTGTCCAATTTTTGATGTTAAATCCTCAAACATGCTGTATCTAGCCCGGTTGAGTTCCTTCACTGTGAACCATTCTTCGTTCTTTCCGTTCAACATTTCATTCGGCACAGCCAACTGATTTCCATTTCCATAGATTGTCAACTCAAGCTTGGTTTGAATTGTACGCTTCTGAATTATACCCAATATGGCTTGGTATGTTTCGACATCGAGCAAAAAACCGGGTGAATCTACTTTTAAGCACGTCAATCGATTGGCTGCACGCACAATTTTCTGCAATCCACTTTGAGAAATGGTCGCTTTCGTTTTGACCTGCAGCTCCTTGAGCGATTGCAATTCAGCAATGGTTGCAATGTGTGATTCGTTCAGTCCAGCCATTTCGCTGAACTTGAGTATTTTGATTGTTGACATTTTTGCGATGCTCGCAGCTGTTTCATCATCAAAATTATCCAGGCCCAATTCCAAATGATCGAGTGTAATCCCATTTTTAACGATGTTGTTTACAAGTTCCAATGTGCGAGTTTTGCGTTGTAATTGCTCCAAAGTTATTCCTTTTGGAAGGTAGCGAATTGCACGTTGTGGTAGACTTTTCTCCTGATGGAACAACTTCAGCACCTTCAACTTCTTCAATGACATCAATGGCGCGAAACCGCTGCTGTAGAAAGACTTTTGTGTTTTGAACTCGAATTCTTCCAAATTTTTCTTTCGGCCAACGGCTTCAAATATGAATGGCGAAATTTCCCGGCACTTGACAATTGACAAACGTTTTAAGTTTCTATTTGAATTGATGAGTTTGGCTGCGACTCCATTGTCAATATTGACGTCGTTGAGCTGCAATTCTTCTAGTGCACCGAAGCAATTGGTTGGAATTGGTATGGGTTTTGGTTTCGGACGAAATTCCCAATCATAGTTTTCACGCGATATGTATTCCATTGGATATCGACGAAATATCAATGTATTCAATTTGAGTGTTTTTAGCTGCTTCATGTTGGCCCAACTACGGGTGACAGAACAGTCGTCGAGTGTCAACGATTTAAGATCTGTATAAAATTGGTTAGTCAGCCCACACATTCCAAATCCAACGAATGCCAGCTCTTTCAAATGACAATATTTCTGTATGAAGTCCTGAATTTGACTCATACTTCGAAACTTATCGTATGTGCCATCGAATACATTGTTGTGAAGCGTCAATGTGACGATATCTTCACCAAAAATGTAGAGAAATGCTTGCAAAACCTCCAGATTGATACGAACCGTCCGATCGTGTGCACTGATGTTGAAATTTGGGGCAAACCGAATTTTGTATTTGCATTGAATGTACCGCTTGACCAGTTTATTCAGTCGTACATTGACATGTGCCAAGTGGGCCAGGTGCATTGGCTTCAGAAAAACAAATAATTCCATCAAACAGTCATCGTCAAGAACCATTAAATTCGGTCCATTTGGTCGATTTTGTTCTGCTTCTTCCATTGGCTGCTCTGGTTTCGATGACCATGGTTTCGATGATTCTTCATTTGGCGATTTTATTCCGTATTTGGATTTCACCTCGCTGCTAAGCAAATGACTAACTTTTTGCAAACTGCGAAGTAGCAACGGATTGACAGTTTTGGGAGGATTTACATCGCTTGCCGCGTCATACCGAATTTTCTTAGCTGGCGGATCTTCTGTCGAATTATTCATGTCCATTGCCTATCGATGGAAACCAAATTGCAATACAAAAAATTCATAGAGTTTAATCGAGATTTGTAAATCAAAAAACAATCTTTACTTTCTAATAAAACACCAATCAAACACACTTGTGTTGACGCACACAAATGGAACTGTTGATAAATAATTAGATGATAATTTTCCACCAAACTGTCAGAACAACTTGTCGAAAGCGGTAGAAGTAGACGTGCTAAAAAGTGCGATATTGAAAAAATTGAAATAAACAATTTTGTATTGCACAATACAATAACAATTTGTTGTTACCCTTTAACAGCAGAACTTCAAATCAAAGCAACACTCAAAATGTGCATATTGTTTTTGCGTTCAAATCAACTCAAAGTGTCAAAACAAATCAGAGTCTATTCCGAAAAAAAAACCAATCTAGTACTCTCAAAGTGGTAATAGAACTGATTCAAACAAAAGGCGCCTTTGAATTGAATTTGAATTCATTTTTGGCTACATTTCAACGTGAGTAAAGTGATTTATATTACCAAATAAAACGTTTTCTTCGAGATTTTCAATGATTCTATTGTTATTTCCTTAATTAATACTTTTTCTGTTCGTTTTTACAGTATGATTGATTGTGCCACAATTTTTGCGCGACATTCTCTTCATAATCAATAGAATTAATAATTGTTACTGTCTCAATATTCATATGTGTTATGCAATTGATAAGAATAAATGTCTTCCATAATAAGCATATGGACCATTCTCATTCAACTTCAATATTTCCTTGTTCATCCAATGTAATTGTTTTTCTCAAACATGACATTTATTTGGAATGTATCATCCGCTGGCGTATCTTTGTTGTTTGTCATATTTTGCCTTACCAAACTTTCAAACTTGACCGAATCCAACACTCGCAGATAAATTTAAGAAAAGAAAACATTGACACATAAAATTGATATTCCAATCATATTATTTAATTTATTTAATCGCATAAATTACATTGATCAAATTAATAAGATAATTAATTAGATCATTCAACAACGAAATTGTTGCCTCCTAATCGTCTATTTGATCGAGAAAGTATAACAGTGTGTGTGTGTGTGTGTGTATATATATATAAATAAATTATTCATTGCCAATGCCGGTGGCATTGTTTGCAGTGGCCAAAACGTGAATTTGAAGACTTTTCGTTGCGTTATAAATTTGGCCGGGAGGGAATGGTTGCAGCTTTGGATGGATTTCATTCTTTTCGGCTGAAATGTATTTGGATAATCGAATATTTGGCAGCGGTAAGAATCCGGCCGAAAGTGGCAACACTTCAACCATCACCGATTGTGCATCACGTTCAGCCATTGAAATTACTCCCGCGGTGCGTCCAACAACTGCCCATAGATTTTGATCGGGCATCACTTCATACATCAAATCGACAAACGGACTCGAATGCATTTTAATTATTTTCAAATTCAAATTGTACACTGAACCAACGCGACACAATTCGCCCGGTTCCAGTTTGGCTTCAATTCGGAATAGGGTTGTGTAATCAGTGACGTCAAATTTGCAGTGGTATCGTTTCTTGAGTTGTGATACCACACCGTCGTTTACTTGAGCATAGTCAAGTGAAAAGTTGACTTTGATGAGTTTTAGTTGGCATTCGGCTTGCAATGGTTCCACCTCAATTTCCCATAGCAACGAAACAATCAAATTCTTTTGGCATTGATACGATTTCACCGATTTCGGGTTGTTGTCATGCAATGTCACACCCGTCGAATCGCAAGTCATGGATATATTGGTCAGTTCGAGCTGTGATTCAATTCCCTTTATCATTACTTGCAAAAATTTACGAGTGCCCGACGAATGCAAACGACACGATGCGACCATTGCCGGCATAAATGACAATGGTATTATAACCTCATTGCGAGACCAAGGACATTGCAGAGTGATTTTTTGTTCGATCAATTTCTCGTCGCGTTGGCCAAGCAAGTCACAAATTACTGCCAATGGAATTGTCCGATCTTGGAACGGCTTAACATCGTACAATCTTATTGTTGCTTCTGACTTGAAATCTTTGATCTGTTCGTCTGCCGGCGTATCTTTGTTGTCGGCCTCGCGGATTTTCAAATACTTTGAGCATTTCAGGATGATTGTGGCTTCTTTTGGAAATATGAAACTTCCACTCGATACAACCAAATCGATTAGATTTTGCACTCCAGAAATTAGATTCTTGAAACTCAGTACGGCTGACGCAGCTTTGGTTGTAATTTCGAAGGGCTCACATTTCATTGGTATCGATTCGGAGAGAAAATCCAACTTTTCGATGCAAATCGACACCTGAATAAGACGAAAAGTAGAAAATGAATCAAGTTACATTCAAGTCGATCCAAAGTAAAAAAAAAAATTGAAAAATGTTCATAATAAATATTGGAAAATGTATTTTTTTAAATAATTTCTAACCTGTTTAAAGTTCCATAGTCCAACGCGAGTAGCTTTTGCACTCAATTGTATTGAATTTTCCCCAGGCTGAAGTACAACCTTTTCGGCTTGAACTTGATTCGTAAAATCATTACGAACGGCTACAATTTGCCAAATAAATAGTGATGAGGTCATAGGAAAATTTTTGAAACAAGAAGAGAATTTAACAACAAACGATCTCAGTCGAATATGAAGACAAATTGAAGTTACCTGCCGGTGTTGATTTTCCACGGGTAGAGCTCGATCTTCTCACGGGCTTCTTGCTATTCAGATCACATACAACCGATGCACAGTTAATTGTTGTGTCTTGTTTGTAGTCCAAAAACGATGAAATCACCATCTTTGAACTAAAAATGAAAACGATTTAATTGATTTCACAAAATTTCCAATGGATTCATTCAATTTCGTCAAACCTATTGAAAAAATCATCTGGGATGGTTTCGTTTAGTTTGGAGTTTGACTCGAATGAAACGGAAACCGTGTTGACTGTAATTTCCTTTGGAAAATTGCTAACAAGTTTAAGATGCACTGTTATAATGTCATCCTGTTGGGAGAGAAAAAATAAATCGAAATTGTTCATTAAAATGTGTGTTCTGCTTGCTATTCCATACCCAATAATAATCGAAAAATTCGACAAATTAAAAGTCTTTCCGTTGAATCGTTAAATCAAATAGAAAATTGAAACTGTGTTCACCTGGATAATGGGTCCATTTTGAGTGACACGAATGTCGCGAATTTGGAAATGATCTTCCAATGGTGCGATGCAATCATTGTGATGACCTTCAATATCAATTATGTCCAATTTACTTCGTACCGAATTGATTGACTTGATAAACTCATCGAAATAATGTCGACGTACCAGCGTCTCTAGTTGTTTACTACAAGCGATTGCCGCACATGTTTTCGTATACGCAGTCATGTCATCCATTTTGCGATAGCAATTCGCCAGTTCCAATAGCGTCTGGCTGGCCAAATTGTTCCAATTTTCGGCTTTCAATTCTCGCATCAAGTCGGTGAAGAATGTAACGGCTTTGTTTGGTTCAGAGAGATTGCAATAGAAATTGCCCAAATCCAATCCAACTAAACGTGCTGAACGAAGCCTTGCAACATGTTTATATGTGCTAATGGCCAATTCACTCAGTTCCAAGTACAATTTCTCAAATGATTGATTTGATACGAGTGCTTCTCGAAGACGCTCAGTGGCCGATTTCTTGGTCTTGCGATTTGGTGATGCGGACCGTTGTTGTTCCAGCAGTGCTTCACTGGCTTTGTTATCAATGATGAGCGCCCGATCGGTTTCCTCAAAATTATCGCCCATTCCAGCCGACAGCTGCACTACAATGTGTAATTGCTCGGAGGTGGGCGTGAAACCAGGCAATAACCCGCACAATTTGCCCAATTCATACAATTTATCTTTCGCTAAATTCCATATTGGGGCGGTGTACTTGAAAATATTTGTCGTGTTGTTCGATTCAATGGCCGTTTCACAGGCGTCAAGTACCTCAAGTGCAGATATAAATTCCCAACAGGCCAGTGCACCGTCGATCATTTCAATTTTCAACGCATCCAACTCGCGCAGTGTTGAGAATAGAAACGGGAGCAATCGTTCGGCAATTTCGGATGTTTTTTCGGCCGCTTTGAGAATAACCGCTTGCCGTTCGAACAAATAACTGCGAAACTCCAGCAATGTGATGGATTTTTCTTCAATTTTGCGTCGCACCTCTTTCAATTGCAAATTATTCATTTTAATGCCATGGAATGAGCTGAACGGCCGTTGAAATACTTCCAACCATTTTGGTTTGTCGCCAAACATAGAGTTCAAAATAAACTGTGAGAACATTGCATCCAATTCATCGTATTGAATCAACGCTTCCGAATGTAGTCCCAACATCTGCAGAACAAATGCCAATTCTTCTTGCAGCAAAAAATATTTTATAAAGCACCAACCGTCTTGGTTGCGAGTCTCTCGATTGGCACGAATCAATTCTTCGTACTTATTTATTGTTCGATTATAACCGCACAGCATCAGATGTCGAATGCGTTGCAAAAAGCAGCGATACGATTCGGTAGCCTTCATTTCAAATTTCATGGGGTTTAGAATGGAAATGCATCGGTCACCATTCTTTGATGCAAAATCAGTTCGAATTTTATCGAGCACCGTTGTTCGCGGCAGAATATTCTTCGTTTTCTTCACATCAAACGTTTCGACGACCAGAATCATCCAGTCCGCAATCCCGAAGGAAGTGAGCATTTTCAGCCAATTGTCAATGTCTTCTTTGACATTGCTTTTATATGTGTCAATATCATTGCATTCGGTGACATACAAATGCAAAACTGGATGCTCAAGAATGCTCCAATCGCCCGATTTGTATTTTTCCAACAATTTTATATTGTGCGGATGGAATGATGCCTCCAATTGAACATCTTTCACAGGTCGTCCATACGAACGTTTCCATTCGCATGTATCCAACGGTATTGATGCCACAATATGCGCTTCAAGTGATCGAAACAATGGGCCAGCACCCGAATCTAAAACCAAAACAAACAACAAAAACACACAAATAATTTGTAACCTTTGCCTTGAAAACGGAATACCAACACACAAATCGATTACTTACACGTAACAATAGGCTTAAATTCCATTTTCTCGTCTTTTTCAGCACAACAATTGACAATGTGTACACGGAAAATGAGTATTTCAATGGGATTAATACCAAATTATCAACATTTTGCCAAATGTTTATATACACAGAGAATTCAATTTTATTTGTTGACCTAGCACACGGGAGAAATTTCTCTAATACGGAGAACCTTTTATTTATCATTTATCGATGACGTCGCTACAGAGAGAAATACAACAATCACTTGTCAAAAAGTGACAGCGAACGCCATATTTGTTTTGGATGCCAAGACATTTATTTGACAGTTCGAAGTAAACAGTGTTTAATCAACAAAAATCAGATTGGAAACATAGTTTCAACTAGAGATTTGCTATTTGATTTTTTTTAAATGAACATTCGGCACAAATGTTACAATGGATCCACAGAACTGCTATATTTGCAATACAACGTCCGGATTTTATAGTCGAAATTTGTTTAAAACCAAATCCAAGTACTCGGAAACGCGCATCTGTGAGTTTATTTGCAGATTTTTAGGCAATTATCCATCGGAACGGGATTGTAGCAATGAGAATGTGCATTGTGTGTGCATTGAATGTCTCAATAAAATTGATGAATATGATTTGGCAACGATGACAGCCAAACGAATGGAGCGAGAACTTAGCGATATTCTCTTGCATACGGAGGCTTTATTTTACAGAGAAAGCAAATCAATCAATGCAGACGAACAATTTGGTCCGCCAATTGAGACCGTCGAAACATTAGAGGATTACAAAGTGGATTATGAAGAAAACAGCGATATTGAAACGATTGAACAGAGATCGGATAGCGAAAGCTATAAGGTTGAGTCTGAAAGTGATGACGATTATATTCCATCCGCTTCGGAAAAGCCGCTACAGCATTTGGTGACTAAATCACGAGTGAAAACATCACTTCCCAAAGTGCAGAATCGCAATCATAAATGTCACAAGTGCAATATGGAATTTAAAAGGTTTTCGCACACATTTTTCCCAATTCTCGATTTTTATTTACTCAATTTATACGTTTGATTTCAGTGTGGCCGCACTAGCCAGACACAAACACACAAAATTAGATAGCAACAAATCAGAGCAAAAACCCACACTCTATAATTGTACCAATTGTTCGGAGGTGTTTTGCACAAAGACGCAATATGAGGTATGCAAAAAAAATCATTTTTGACTTCTCAATCGAAAGAGTTCTTGTTGAATAAGATTGTATTTCTCCATAGCATCACTTGAGACAACACAAAGGGGAGGAAGAACAATTCAAATGTACGAGTTGCGGCTATGATTTGAAAGAAAAGACTGCACTTGAGGAACACATGGGACTACACGATGGTCTATCACCATTGCAGTGTGTTTTGTGTAAAAAATCATTCAAACAGAAAGGAGCTCTAGTTCGACACATGCGAATCCATGTATAAACTCAGTTTGCACTTGTTCAACTACTCTTTTTTGATTTGGCATTTTAACCGTGTCTTTTGTTTTTATTTCACAACAGAGTGGATTACATTTTTATCAGTGTCACAAGTGTGGCAAGGGATTCATTCACAAATCTTCATTTGAAATGCATTTAATGGCTCATGATGACATTCGCAAGAAAAAGTGCCCACATTGCAGCCAAATGTTTCGATCAACATCACATCTTAATCGGCACCTGAGAATACATGTAATTTCTTAACTCATATTTTTCATTTGCCGATACGGTTCAGTTTTTTATATCATTGAATACCCAATGAAAACTAATTCTTAAAATTGTTTCTTTTCAGACCGGTTCAAAACCATTCTCGTGTCCCGTCTGTGGCCAAAAGTTTGCTCAACGCTACAACATGAGTGTTCATCAGCGTTTGCATGACACATCATCGAATCGGCTGAAATCGGAGAAAACACACGTTTGCAAATTTTGCAGTTCGGCCTTTGCGAGACAGTCAAAACTTGAGGAGCATCTCAAGAAAAATCATGAAGCCATGATACCGCACACTGCTATTGGTAACAATTTCGATGACACAAACGAAGCTTGCTGATGGAATATCGCCTTTAGATTAAGATTGCAATTTAAATTTTTGATTATATTAAGATGATTCCTCCTATTTTCAAAAGAATCTTTGATTTTCAAGTTGATTTTTTTTTAAAACAAGATTAACTTTATCTTATTGTTTATTAAGATTACGATGTAAAAGGGAATTTCCAATGGAACGATTTCAAGTATTTTTTTTAGCCTTCATTGTGCAAATCCAATTTGAATAAGAATTCTGTTAAATTAAATTTGTGAGACTTTTCATTGCTCCAGATACCATATTTTCAGCGCTGCTCAAAAAATTTGGTCCACTTTAACGAGAGAAAAGCTTTTATAGATCAGAAATAAAAATTTTAAAATGGTTTTCGTACCTGATCAAACCTGAATTCTTCTCGGGCGAGTGCCTACGCTTGCCAGTAAATACGCTTTTGATTCCTTTTGTCACTCCATTCTTATAACGGTTTAATTTTTTGTAACTACAAAAACACAATTTTCATACAAACCATTGAAAATTCGCATCTTTCGATATATGGCCTACGCTCTCTTGGTACTAACAACGCTTCTCACAGAAAACGTTAGAGGTGACAACACAGATAGTTCTAAATCAAGGCCAGCTGATGTTGCGTCCAAAATATGTTCTTCTAAGTCTTTTGGTTCAGGTTCAAAGGTGCATGTTATCTTGTCAAGTAATCCTGTCGATACTTAACTTTGGCCCACAAAGATGTGCAAAACACAATACAAAAGTAGTGCTACCGAAAAATAAAATGTCATCTTTCTACCCGGCAAACGCCCAAAGCACTACTCCAGCTAGTACACGTTACACATGTTATATATGCGAAACCTAATATTGAATTCCTATGGAAAAATTCACAATTGTGTCAATACTAGTTGATGAAATTCAATTCAAAACATCCCAAAAATGCTACATGCCGTTTTGTTTTAACTAAATGAAGTTCGATAATACAAATGAAAATATGTATTGTAAATTTAAATGAAAAAAAAATCTTTTTTTTAAATAAAATATATATCCATATTAGACACATCTAGTGGGCGAGTGTCGTTTTTGACTCACCAAGAACGCGAGCTTCGTTATATTTAACAACATTGTAACGAAATTCATTCTGCCACGTCTGTCAAATAACAATGACGAAAATATAAGCCACAAAAATTTCTTGCGAACTCTTTTCCAAGACATATTTTACGGTTATTAGTTGGTTAGGAAATAATTGACGTTAAAAATTTCAAAATTACATATCAACACTTCATTATTTCAGAGACGATTAGCAACACTACTATGAGTTTATAGTATATAATAACGTATAGATACCGTTAAAAGTCTGGTAACGAAAAAGCGATGATCTGAAAGAGACAGAACATCCACAAAAGTCACAAGAATGCTGAATTGCGTAATTAACATTTATTTTATTTACATAATATGTATGGATTTGTTGTTAAAATTCATCTTATTTACACATAAATGTAATAAGCCAATCAATGCTGACCATCTATCGATTATCATTTGTGTGTGTGTCTGTGTCAATATCTCGACTTTTCTTTTTGTGAAATATGTCCAAATTATTATTATAGATGCGATGTCAGTTTAATCCAAATCCAATTGAAACCCATCTGAAGAAGTGTTTATTGAACTTTTCTGGTTGAATTGATTAGAACACATTTCGTGGCATAATGTTTGGTTGAGAATTGATTCTATTTTACAGCATATTTAGAGCATCCTCTACTAGGTACTTTATGTCTTCCATATTGGGGTCAATCGAATGAAACAAAATGTGATTTTAATATTCAACTCTGTGTTTTTTTTTTTTACCGAAAATTAAATTGAATTTGCCTATTTTCGTTGTTTAATGTTGTCGCTTCCCATTAGTGTGAATAAAGAACCCAATTGTTATTTGGTATAATTGATGATCTCAGCCGAAAGGGTTTGCCGATACAACGAAATAAAAACCAAACAAAGCGTCATATTCACTTCAATTTATTTTTATGCATTTTGTTGTTTTTTTCTCATCAAATTTTTTGTTTGTTTTCTTTTGTTTTGCTCAATCTAAATTTTAATCAATCGCATTTTCCGACTAATGTCAATATTATATATTCATTTTTATCCTTAGTAAATTGGTTTACACATTAACATTCATCGTTTTTTGTTTTTGTTGTAATTTCTCAATGTATTTAGTTTTACTTGCATCCATTCTAATTACATATCATTTTTTCCACTCTTTTTGTTGTGTGTGTGTGTGTTTTGTTTTGTTTTGTTTTTTTTTTCAAACTAATTTTACTTGTTCTACAATTTTAATTCAAGGCATTCTCGTCAGACTTCCTAGTACAGATTATTTTTCTTTTTTTTAACTCCATTTTTAATTTAAAAATTAGTTCAATGGTCTGTTATTTCAATCCATTCTTAATATTGAAATTATCATTAGACGTGAATCAGTTGGTGTGAATGTGAATGTATATGAGAGGGACATCGTTCATCGATGCGAGCGTGTATACGTTGTGTATGTGTGTATGTCGTGAGTGTGGTTTCAAACACTATTTTATTTTGCTTGTGAAATCGTCTGCTGTCTACTCGGTTTAATCAAGTGCACAATGGTCGTTAGTTTGTTTCAACGTTATTATTTTGGTTTGTCATTGATGTGTGGATGTGTGTTCTAAAGTGTGTGACGACTTTCGTTTGCTCCCCATTGCAACAAATATTATTACAATAAATTCTAAGTCTCTTGCGCTTGACGTGTGTATGTGTTAAGTGTGTAACCATTTGGGTGTTTAGTAAACATTCTGAAATTCAAGCAGATTTTACGACATGATCTCTTCCTCTTACACTCTTTTTTCTTCCATAATCGTATCCATGCAGTGGTTTTAAAAAGATTATCATCTTTGAAAACTATCTGTGTCTCTTATGTTTTGCAATTAACGGTTTAGTCGATTGATTGATTGACATCAATTTGCTGGTTTAGGTAACTATGTATTAGTCTATTTTACATTCTGTTCTTACTTGTGTAGTTTCTCCTGTTCATTTTTTTATACTTCCATTTTCATAATAATTAAATGAAACAAAGAGCAGTGAATACAGATATAGAAAATAGGTGACAGATTGATAAGGAAACCATCGCAGTTTCCTGTATACAAAAACAACGTATGTTAGGCAGTTAGTTTGAGAGACGAAAAAAATGGAAAAGTTTAAGTGAAAACCAGAATTAGTGTTTTTCTTCTAAAAACAGGGAGAGCTTGAATCAAGCAAAGTAGATTTCGAGCAAGTCTTTGAGGGTATTTTAAGATTAAACTACTAACAAAAACACAAACAAAATAAAAACCAAATACAAAACAAACAAATGAAAGAAAGAAATGGTGTACACGATGAATATCTTATGAAAAAAATAAGAAATAACGTGAAATCAAAAATCAAACGAAATGATAAGTTTAAAATGCAAATTACAGTCAGAATAATGAAATGACATGAAATTATGTCGTTAGGTTTTTAGTAGTAATGTGAAAAATGCATTTGGACGCAGCAAACTTTGGGATTGGTCCGAAGGAATGGGTTTTTCTATCGTGTGAAAATATCAAAATGAACGGCTTCCCGAGCATTCTGCAAAAATAATTTATTTCATTCCAAATGACTTCAGATTTGTCGTACTTGAAATGCATTGAAATTGCCGAAATTCATCGAGACCTACAAACACAAAGTGGTGGTTATTTGCCTTAATGCATGTGCATTCATCTTGTCTAAATAACAGTGGCAGTATTTCAGTATTTTAAACAATGTGGTGTGGGTGTGGGTGTGTATGGTTGATGATAAAAATTTCATAGAATTTTTTTCTTTCTCTCTTCAGGGATTTTTTCTCACAAATGCGTTTTTAATTACGGTAGTTAGTAGAATTATAGCAATTCTCATGTTTATTTATGTTTATAAGTAATAAGTCCATAGCTCTTATCAACTGTGTGTTTGTTTTTCTTTCTCTTTCAATATTGTGTGTGTGTGTGTGTGAATCTTTGCTTGTTTATTTCATGTATCGATTTCATTTTTTATATATTCGCTTTATTTTACATATATCCATAGCAATTTTTGCTTTCTTTTCAACGTGAAATAGAATTTAATCTGTTCGGTGAACATAGTATGTGTGGGATCAGTGAAAGTGGTTTGTGTGAGTCATAGCGATAGTTAGGATAGATAGATGTAGATAGAGAGAGAAAAGGAATTGTTTTGTTTTAAAAAGAATGAAAATGAACGACAGATATCGCCTTAAAAATAGTTCAATAATAATTACATGTATGTTTAAATTTAAAAAAAAAACGAGAAATTTCAACGCAGTTTATTACAATATTGTTGCTGTCCTTGTTTTTCTTTTTTTTAATCTTCTAAAAATAAAAATGCATCGACGATTCGGTGTGGCTGTGGCACGAGTGCTTTGCCGCTTTGATTCGCCGTTGTGTGTGTATGTGTGTATGTATGTATGTGTGGTCTGCAAACTCTGCACAAATTCAATATTGATTTAGTCAATTATTTATCATATATCTCATCATTTCGTGTGTTAAATCTAACGCTGTCAAATTTCATCTATAGATTAGTGTTAGTCATTCCATTTTACGCGCGACAATATATAACTACAGATTAATATGCAAAGTGTAAATATAGTCATTGTATTCTTTTTATATTTAATATAATAATAATAATATATGTATTTGTATGCTCTGGTAATCCTGTTTCCAATTGTTTAATTTTTTCCCCTCTTTTCAATCTACATGCATTTTGTATGTGTGGTTGTGTGTGTGTGTGTGTTGTGGATTTAATATTAAATTAATACGATTTACGTTTAAAAATGATTCTCTAATATTTTGTTTGTTTTATTCTTTAATTTTATAGGTACATCTCCGATTCGCGGTTTCGGCGATCATCGTTATTATCTTTATATTCGTATAATTTTCTTTTTTTCATTATTATAACAATTCGAATTGTCTTCAATTGTTGAACACAATATCGATAGGATTTCATTTTGTTTCCATTTTTTATTCTGTTTTAAATCTTTTTCATTAAATATTAAATTCTTTACAAGTTAGTTGTTGTTGTTGTTTTGTTTACGTGAGATGAGAACAAATCGATCATTGTACTGCCGGTGTGGTGTGGTGTTTTATGTGTGAATAAAAACAGAAGCATGTTTCGATGCGCGCGCAGCTATTCGGTCTACAATCGATTTTAGATTCATTTGGTTGGTTGGTTTGTTTTTCCTCCCAACAATTGGTGTTTGAACTGGTTTCACTTTCTTCTTTTCGTTGAAATAGCCGCCTTATCTGACGCTCGCCGAATTCAGCACAAACGGTACGTAGAACATTTTACTTTCGAGCAATAAACTTGCAGCTGCTTGAATCTGTGGACAAACGATGGATAAAACAATTCAGCAAATTGGAGGTTTTTTTCGGTATTGCTTGAACTTTTTTCGAAATCGTTCATCATTTTTTAAATATTGAGTGCTTTTTAAGTGCTTAATTGGAAATTGCAATGATTGAATTTAAATCAACGAAGAAACACTCACTTCAGGTATGTGGGCTAGTAACTCTCCAAGTCGGCCTGGATTGTTGGGTGCTGTGTGTTGCAAGTAGCTTCGCAATACTTGAATGTATCGCTCTTGAATTCCTTCCAGTTCAACTTCTGCGAAAATCACAAAAAAGACCATAAATTAGAAAATATCTCCACTCATTTAGTGAGTGAGCCGCATGTGGCTTCAAACACAGCATTTTCAGAAATCTGAACGCGTACTTACCTTTATTCAGTAGGATATACACTTTTAAGCAGACATATTCCTCCATTTTGAGCTTGATGCGTCTGAACATGATTGTGATTTGTGTCATCTTTTCAACCATGTGTCCGACATCCAGTCTTAATTGCTCCATTGAGATAGGATGACCCATTAGTGTAGTCAAGCATGTTTGTAGTGTTAGCAAATGCGTATTCACCTGTCGATCGAAAATGAAAATCGTAAATAAATTTGCATTTCAAATTGGTTTTTCTCGTTTCAATCTATTTTTAATCGATTTTAACAAATCAAATTTAACTTTTGTTGTATTCAACCAGAATTATATAATTTGGCTCACCTCGTGAACATATTCGGGATCGTCTTTCTCCAAAAATGGTGTTTGACTTTGATGCTGTGCACTTTGAATGAATTGGGTCGATGATTTTTTGCCGTGTAGCGCTTGGTAAGCGGCTGTTGTTAGTACTAAAATTTCATGCCATTTATCGGTCAGCAATTTGGTATGAATTTCCACTGGTATTTCCAAATAAAATGGTAACTTTTTCGTCCACGATACCAACTTATGTACTATTGAATCACCGATGTTACATAATTTATCACCAATTTCCGATTTATCTTCCAGGAATTCTGGAAAGTGTGGCAGTGTTGCAATGTCCTCCATTGCATCGAAATCAATTAATGTTTGAATCATGCCCATGGCATGCTCATAGGAAACAGAACGATCCTTTGACGAACTGACCGCATTGTCGAGACGATGTCGCAAATGTACAATTTCACTTGGATTGGTTAGGGCCGTTTTTAGAATGGTACCATTCAGCAAATGCGATGGGATATTGTTGACAATATTTTCCGATTTCATGCTGTTTATTCGTTGCGATGCAAGCATCGCATTCGTATCACCGCAAATTATGCTCAGTTTTTGCTGTTGCTGCTGCTGCTGCTGCTGCTGTTGTTGTTGTTGTTGCTGCTGTTGCTGCTGCTGCTGTTGTTGTTGTTGTTGCTGCTGTTGCTGCTGTTGTTGCTGCTGTTGTTGCTGTTGATGATGCTGTTGTGCCTGATGTTGCACTTGCTGTTGCAGCGAAACTGACGCTTGATTTGATTTCTGTGTCGATTTCTTATGTTTTTTGTATTTCACTTTATACAAATTGTAGACGGCACCGCTGTTTCGGCCACCGGGCATTCGATCCTCACGAACCGCTTTTTTTTTATTTTTGAAGGAAAAAATTCAATAATTTCAATAAAATTGGGAGAACAACCTTTATCTTCGAGTTGAGGAACTCACCTTGTAAGACCATTCCTTGTTCAATGCACTTTTTGAATCGACAATACTGACAACGATTTCGTTGCGCTTTTGTTATTTCGCACGTTCCATCGGCAACGCACGTGTAGACTCGTCTATTTTGTACTGTTCGTTTGAAGAATCCCTTGCAACTGATTTTAAAAAAAGGAACAAATTGTTAGATCGATTTTGGAACAGCAAAGAAAATTTTCTTTGATCGAATGCGATTAAATGCGATTTCTGTTCGAAAATGTCCAAAACACTCACCCTTCGCATGTAATGATGCCATAATGCAGACCAGTTGCTTTATCCTCACAAATCATACAAACTAACGGTTGCTCATCGTCTTCGGGTGGCACTTCTTGTTCATTCTGCAAAATTGTCCAGAAAAAAGGCAACGGAAATTTAGTGGAAATTCCAAACAGTTGATCGTTTCAAAAAATTACCTTCATCGGTTGTGATGGATTGGACCATTGTTGTTGAGAACTTAAATTCAAGGCTTGTATTTGTTGTCCACTTGGTAATTGACTGTAGTCGCCCGCCCACAGGCGCTCCATATTCAATGGGTTCTGTGAACGAATGGTTGGCTGTGGTTGCATCGAGCGCATTTCATTTGTTCGATTTTGTCCAAGGCTCAGCAGAAGTTGAGCCGCTTCCTCGTTATTCGATGGGCCAGCCAATGGTATCTGATTATGATTTTGTAGGTTAATTGAATTGGGCTGTGATGCTTGTTGATGCGGTGACTGTTGCTGTGGACTGGATTCAATGCCCCAGACCATGGTGCGTACGCCACAACTCTCTCCCATTATGACGGTCGGTGTGTTTCGCGGTTGTGATGAATTCTGTATGGTGGTCGACACCGATGTATGGCCCGAATTTGAAACAGGTGATCGCAATGGAATTGGTCCGCCGATAATTTCCGGTTTGACACCATTAATACGCGTGTTCGAATTCCACATGATGCGATTTTGATTGTTTGTTTGAATCAAACACGGCAATTGTGCATCATTTTTGACGCGAAATAAAATGGCGCCATCGCGCCCCGGATGCTGTAACTGAATCGATGGGTGCAACATTTGGCCGGTTGATGTGACCGGCGTCACGGTAGTGATCGATTGATTCTGTGACTGCGTATGCTGAGCTGTTGACATTGGTAACGATTGTGTTTGTGGGTTCATTGAATGAATTGGAGATCGCTCTCGTTTGATACGATTAGGATTCGGATTTGTGATAGCCGCATGCAAATTCACTGGGAATATATAGTTTTTCATCGGTGGCATTTGATGCTTATTTACATCTTGATTGTTTTGGACTTGGGGCGCAAACGAATTTTTCGACATCGACATTTGAACACCACCACCGCCGATGCCACGACCCGATGACGGTTGCTGGTTCGTTGTCGTATGAACAATTTGTACCTTTTGCGGTGACAATGGGTTCGTTTTGCAGCCAATGGAATTCGATTCCGTATCAATTCGTTGCAGCGTTGATTTTGTGTTGTTCATGGTTGTCGTGGTTCCGTTTCCATTGGCGTTGCCGTTGCCGTTGCCGTTGCCGTGGTTGGCGGTGCAATTGCTCAGGCTATTACTCGAATTGTTGTTCGTCTCAATAGTAACTACGGTCGGTAGGTGGTTTGAATTGTGCTGCATCGATGGCATCCCTTTTCGATAGCAGTCAGACATCGAATTAATGGCAGTCGTTACTGATGCTTGATGTTGATTCACATTCATGCAATTGTTTTGGTGTGCATTTGCTTCCGTTTTAATCCGCAACGGGGTAACTAGTACGGTGGCATGCGGTGACATAATTCGTTGGTTCGATATATTCAACGAATTGATCGTAGCTTTTGTGGTTTGCGGTAAAAATGCTTGTTTGGTTGGCGATGGCAATCGCTCCTCACCCACCAATCGAATCACACTTGTGTTGGGCAACGTTTCACTGTTATTATTGTTGTTGCTGTCGTTATTGTTTTCATTGGACGGCGCGATACTGTCTCGGCGCTCATTTCCACTTTGATTATTTATAAATACACTATTGTTATTGGTACTGTTGATCAATTTAATGCTTCTACTCAAATGCGAGTTAGCGTTTGGTGTGGCGCTTGCCGTTGTTACGATCGCACTTTGCTTTTCGCCAATGGACATTTGAATGGCATGTGTTGCTCCAGATGCAGACAATAATTTCTCATCGATTTTGGTTGCGGTAACGGTTAAACTGCTTTGTGGCGACGCTTGCATAAATGAATCCGAACGCACATCGGTCGCTGTATGGGAATGAGATAAAGATTCATTTTTTTTTCGTTTAGCAAATGATTCATTTTTTTCGGATTGAATTTGGTTACGTAGGAATTTGGTTTGAATTATTCAATAGAAAAGAAAGAGAAAAAAGAGAGGAAAGTAATGTATTGGTCACTCACCCGTGCTATCGGTCGATGTGCTATTATAGTCGTTATCCAGTGCAGCTGGTGACACAGAGTTGCGGTTTTTCTCTTGTGTTTGTTGGCTGTGCAGTTGTTGGGATGAAACAGATCCACCATGATCGCACATTTTTGGTGAAAGTGGTACTATTAAATCAGGCGATGAAGCATTCGTATCGGCTAATGATTCACCATCACTGCTGCATCGAGAATCAACTTTTCTTCGTTTCAATTTCAGATCCTGAAATAGGCTCATTTTATCGAGCTCGCTATACGGGCTTCGGCTTAGTGTCATAATTCCTGTGTGTCGATGTTCCATTCCAAGGGGAAAAACGCGCAGCGAGAAAAAAAGAGAGGAAAAAACAGAACAAATTCGATTAGCATCGAGAATATGCAACTCATATTCATGGTGGTAGTACTTAAAATATTGATGTTAACTGTAATTGGATTGATTTTTCAAGATTTTTTTTAGTCAAAGCATAAGAAAATTCCTGATAATATTTCTTCTTTTCTTTTCTCTCGTTTTGAACATAAGTAGTGGCGATATGGTATGTATATGATAATTGGCATCTATTTTACTGGCTATACAAAATCGAACGAACAACGTAACAACCAATTCAAATTGAACGTTCACGTCGACTGTGTGAGTCGTTTCTACTAATGTGATTTTGTGATTTGAGTATGAGTCAAATTTCAAAGAAACCGAGTGAAAACCATTGGTTGAGCTCTTTTTATCGATTCGAGCTCAAATTCGCGGGTTCGCGCAGGTTCGCCGTTCGCTTTTCTTTCTGTATGTTTCGATGAGGAAAGTATGTACCAGAAAATTGCTGCTTATTTTCCATCCACCTTTCTCCGTTACCAAATCGAAGTTGAGCTGCAGTGTTGAAATCATGTTTGTGTTATTATACAGCGAAACCCCGTTTTATTGAGCAAGTGCAGCATGAATTCAGCGCGCTGCAATATTATGTTTTCAATACGATCGGGTTGCATAACGTTTTACGGGAAAAGTGGAAAACACACACAGCCATACACATAGGTATATGGGAGCAACAACTAGTGCGTGCAATACGAAAATTGCATTGCTTCTAGTTTTACATTCATGCCGTACGGTGAAATTACTTTGTAAGAAAATTATCAGCAGTTGAGCGTTGAAATGGGCTTATGACAATGTTTGTAATACTTTCACGCGTTTATTTTGGATTTGGGTTCTCTTTGCTGTTTAGATAAAAGTAAGTTGCTGCAATGTGTAATTTAAATTGAAAAATTTGAATGCATCGTAAGCTCATCGTAGCGATCCGATTTGTCATTTGTCGGTCGCTTACGATTTTCGAACGAAGGCTTACTTGATTGCTCGCATGCATGCGTGTGTGACTGGAGTAAGTATTCTATTCATTCTTTTCCCATTGTTTTCGTCAAGTTATCTATTCGTAGCCATGCGAATGTGTACGCATACAAGCTCGTATAATAATTTACGCTGTGCGAAAGAAGACGAACGAAAAAGTGACGTGTGTGATTCCCGTCAAACGAAATGTATGTCATTCGTTTTATATCTCTCTTTTCGGCCGTTTTCGATCATTCTGTTTGTTTCGACGTCACTTTTGTCGTGATATTTATTACTGTCTGCTAATTCTTCTTTTTTGTTTCGTTTCGTTGTATTTATTTTTATTACTGCGTACATTTTTTCCAATTTCAGTCGTACTATTTCTCATTGCATTCGTAAAAAATATGTGTCATGAGTTGGCGCATGTAAAATCCTCTTTTTGGGTGCATTTCGTTTGCCGTATGCAACACGATACATATATGTGCATAATGTACGAGTGGGTAATCGCGTGAAAAATTGTCGAAGCTTTTGCGTGCGCAGCATGGAATAAGAGGGCAACGGAAACTATGCACCAATGGCGCTCTGAAAATCTAAACGCTAATTTCTTTTGAACTTTAACAATGACTAAACGTTTCCTTTCTTCCTCTTTCTTCATCGTTCGGTGTACAAATGAACGTTCATCCGAATGAAAGTTTGAGCTTTGATCACTGCCTCGAAAATAGGCATGCAAAATTAAAACCGATTACAGGTCGCCAGTAAAAATGAGTGACTCTATTTGGGTGATTAACGATGACTGATTGATTTCGATCGAGTTTTGTGTGTAACTTAAGATTTACTAATAGGTTCGAGAGAAATCAGAATAGAACGGTTTGAAAAGTAGGGGATTATGGTGTTTTTTTGTTTGTTTTTTGGAATTGTTTTCGTTTTGGTGAAGTTTTTTCTTCCTTTTAATAAAATAAAACGAGCTTGTGGTCTTGAGTGCAGATTTTTTCAATAGTCTCCTCTCGCAAGGCATGTCTGATGTGTGGCTTTTGATTCGAATTTATTATTTCCAAAAGAAATGAGACTTTCAACTTTTTCTGTATCATTTTGGAAGCAAATCAGTTGTTGTTCCAAACCACAAATCAGACAAACGATCGAAGTGAGAGTATAGAGCCTTCTGCACTGTCGTCTCCAAACTATTTTTACTAATTAAACAGAGAAAAAAAGAGGGGAAAAAATGAAAAGAAAAAGAAAATTATGTGTTGCAATTAAAACTTACATGATCTATTTTATATATTTTTTACATTGATTTTTTGTGGTTTTTTTTATTTTGATTTATTTGGTCATTAATTTATGGTTCATTGTTTGTGTTTTTTTTATTTTCCAAGAAGAGATGAAACGATGAAATCCAACAAAATGAGAAACGAAAAACAATACACCAACGGAACCAAAAAAAGTAAACAACAACAAAATTTTTAAATAAACTGAAATGTATGACAGCTTCCAGAGTTTATGAATTAATCGCTATAATTGAGTGTGTGTTTGTGTGTGTTTTTTCTGATCGTATTATAGAATGTCTATATTCTGTGTGTTTGTGTTGGGGGAGAGGGGAAATTTTGAGTTGAAATTTTGTTTAAAAAAAGGTTCGTATGATCGAATTTGGAATTTCACTTTCTTGTCGAACATGTTTTTTTTTTGCTCATGTCTATAATTGGTGAATTCAACGAAAGATCGGTATTTTTTCGCTTGTGTGTATGTCCAATGTTAATTAGCCAAAATAATATGCCAATTCATCAAGTAATGAAGAAACGAAAATTTTTAGTGATGGAATTTTTCTGTTGTTAATTCATTGACAGCGGCTCGATTATTAACGAATCGCTGCAATAAATCAACAATTTTTTGTATGTGCTTTAAAAATTATTTTTAAAAATATCTAAATAATGTTTGTGTGATTTGATTTTTTTTATTTTTTGGAAAAAAATGAATTTTTTTTAGTTGCAATTTGATGTTTTTTTTTACAAAAAAATTTTGTTGGTGTTACCTAGCGATGTCATTTTTTACTTTATATTCGAATCGAAATGGTCTCGTTCTATTGAAGCTTTTAAGGGTTTAAATTTCAAAATTTAGTTTTCGCAACGGAAAAGGTCTAGTCCAAATTTTTGTTTGGATGAACTAGGTTCGTGTTTTTTGGATTTCACAATTAAAATTTTTGATTTGTTTTATTCAAGCCTATCTCAATTTTGGTGTTTTTTTTTGTTTTCAAAACGAAAGAGAACAAATAAATATTTCCGGATAAAATTTTTTGCTCGTTTTATTCGAAAATTTTGGATGCCTCAATGTCTTGTTTCTTTCTGTTGATCGTCGTTTTTTAGAGAATTTTTTTTTTGCACAGGTTTTGAGTTTTCAATTTTCACATTATCTCGTTACTGGTTGTAGTTGTCTAAGTAATTCCGTTACAAGATCAATAACAATCACTGGATGTGGGTCAATTTGTTCAAGCTTTCTTTGGGCTTAATCACATAAGTTCGCTTTTTTTCAATAGCTTAGTCTTGTGTTCAACATAAATTCACTGTTTTGTTCATCTTTCCGCTATGAAGTCAATTGTTTTTTTTCGAATTTTATTCATTGTATCATTTCTTGATCACTCAAATGGATAAACTGTCTTTTTTCTTCCGTATCGATTGAAATCACTTTGTTTCTTCAGAATGTCAAAATGAAATTGTCAAAATGTTGGATCAAATCAGTTTCTGGCATATTTTTTTCTGTTGTTCAATTGTTCGTTGATTGCGATCAAATTTTTTCTTCAAAACGTTCAAACGTTTCCGTTGGCATTCACACGGAACTTATAATTTAATCCAATAGTTGAAAGTCGGTAACGATGTGCAGCATTTCTTTCCGCACATTATTTTTCCACGCAGCTGCAAATGCAATCAGCAGAGAATAAAGTTTGTTGTTGTTGTTATTATTTGGCGAATCAAATGAAACATTTATGTTCGTTTTCTATGTTTATACTAGCAAAAATGCATAAATCAACAATATCCTATAGACATTTAATCAAGCGAAACGAAAAGCACGCATACAAAATATATTTTTATATTACACCATTATCAAGAGTCAAGCACATAAAATATATATTTGGACAAAACACAGCCGAACAACAATACTACGTGCGAACTCTAAATCAAGTTGCACTTTAACAAAACCAGAAACAAGAAACACACTCAACAGTCAGTCAGCACACAAGCTCTCGTCGCGGTGCCTGTTCGGTGTCTATGCCTCTCTTTTGCGCTGTGGCAATTGCAATCGCGAATGCGATGTGTCTCTGTGTGCTGGTATGTGTGTGTATGTCGATGTGTGTGTCTCTCTGTATAGATGGATGTGTGTGAGTATATCTACTGTGCGAACGCTGTTACTTTTGTGAAAAACTTTCACTTCTGATCATGAACTGAGCGCAGCACAACACACTATGAAACTTTTTTACTTCACTCTCGTTAGCATACGCGCGACTCGTCCAATTTCTTTGGTCTGTCTTTTTTGTGCTTTTTTCGGTTTCCACTGTCTCTCTTACTTTCATTCGGAGCCGATGCGATGCGATGATCGATTTAAATGTAATTATTTTAACCAATTTCGCTGAATTTTGTTTCTCTCTCTTTCCGCGATTCTATTTCTCAATGAGCTTATTTTCTTTTATAAATGCACTTTGATTGATGACTTTTCCCCCAGGTCGGGAGGCAGTGATTTCCCGTTATATATATGTTTTTCGAATGATGATCTTTTTTGGTAACTTTTTCAACAATGATTTTTCGCGCTTTTTCTCAACTGTGATCGAACTTGTTCGAATTGTCGGTTTTTGAAATGCATCACCTAATGATCACATTTTTTTGATAATTTTTTCAAAGTTACATGTTCACAACAAATTTAAAAAAAATTCCGATCAAAATGTGTCACAGACATTTTCATTGATAAATTCCGATGCTTGAGTCACTTTTGCTCCGGTTTGAAAATGATCAAAACAAATTAACACTCATAAAACCGTTAACAGTGAGATAAAGTTCAGTTGATTGCATAAATCAGAGTTCGCGAAATGCGAATAGTTTAAGTCTTTTTTTTAACGGAATTTTTCCGTTTGGGAAAAATTTCGCCGAAATTGTTGTTTTTGTCTTCACCAAATGCTAAATTTTATTTAATTTAATAGATTTTTCCAGATGAAATAGAAAAAATTTTCTTCTTTCGAATCGGTATCGAGCATAGTTTACATGTATGCGCGCGACTCGCATCAAAGTAGGTTACTAACTGAACTCCAATTTAAGCGGAGTTTAATCGAATGTACGAAACGACCAAACGAAAAAGCAAACATATCCGCAGATAGGTACACACTCACACATACACATACTCGCAAGTCGGAGCCAAAACGATGGATACATAAAATGTGTACTGAAATTAGCTGAGTTCTATACATTGCACGGCGAGGCAAACGCGAGTCACACACAGACAGTGAACGAATGAGTGAAAGAGAGAAGCGAAAAAGCACATGCACACACAACGTTGGGTATGAGAATTGCTTCGAGACGAGCAAATGACTTCGGCTATGATATACATGCGGATGGCCACCAGTAAGCGAAACGCAAACAAACGCATTTGCATGCTTTACGGTGCCGCATATCAGTCTTATTATATACACAACACACAGCGGCCAACATGCACATATGCTACACCACATAACACATATTTTCACAGCTGCATAAGCTTAAAAAACTCATGGATTCGACAGCGAATTCGTTCGAAAAAGCTAAAATGTATGATGGAAGTTCAACATTATGTACATAACAAACTATGATGATCAATCTACATAAGACAAATGTATGGTGTATGTGTGTGCGTGTGTTTTTTTCTCTCTATGATTTCAGTGGAGATGCTGGTGGAGTGTATAGTTTTTTTTCTACATGAAATATGACCGCTATTGTTATTATGGGTTTTTTTCTCTGATATTTCTATCGCACATATTCACTTTGCACTGGCTCACTCAACACTCATATAATTTATGTGTATATATAGGCATAATTCTATATTTGTACAGCGATCCGTTCGAATTGCGCGTAAGCTACGGAAATAGCTGATGCTTTTTGTTTTCTGAAGAAGAAGAAACAAAACAAGTTCAATGTGATGTTCACAACAAATGGAATTTGTAATTGAAAATTGTTTTTTCCTTCTATTTCAGAGACGGCAAAAACAATGGCCGACTTTCATTCATAAAAAAACGAGCATACGCATGCCAATAACAACCACATACACCTGGCATCACTTGATTCAGAAACAAATTTTCGATTTGGACAAAAGCCTAATTGAGGCAAATATGTCAATGAATTTCTTGGGACTCAATTGATTCACATCAGAATGCATCCCGTTGGTGGTTTTCTGAACGGCATTCTACACACAGAAAAGAATCCCCGGAAATTTTAGGTGTTCGCCGTAAAATTTGACATTTATATATAAATTTCTATATACATTTTACCGGCAACACTTGAATTTTCCGGGCGATGACATAATTTCAAATATTCCAACAGAAATTAGCGCCATCTGTCATTTCAAGCGGTAAAATATACATAGTATTTGATAAAATGTTCGAAAATATGTCATCGCCCGGAAAATTGAAGTGTTGCCGGTGAAATGTATATAGAAATTTATGATGTATATAGAAATATAAATGTCAAATTTTACGGCGAACACCCAAAATTTCCGGGGATTCTTTTCTGTGTGTAGTTGCAATAATAATAATTTGTGGTAAAAGCTCCCGATTAAATTGCTTCACAAATGATCGGACGACTTAGAAAATTTAATTAAATTTTCAGCCGTGGAGAAAACACACATCGAAACAAACCTTTGAAAATGTAGAACATTCAAACATTTGGCTTGAATGTGACCGATGTGTCCACTTACAAATTACGATCGGTATAAGATGACAAAGACAAAACACATTAGCTCTCCGCTCCGTTCAGCAACCATTTCTCGTTCATAGAAAATAATTAGATTTCATCTTTTCGCCAGTATTGGCTGCTGCTGCTGCTGTGTATTTGTTTAGCACTCGCATCTTAAATAATGTTTCTGTTCTGTTGTGCCGATGTTTACAGTCATGGGCGTATATACTGCATATATATTTACATGTGCGTACATTTCTATTTCGACTATTCGTACATAGATATATATTGAAGTCATGGCATTTGGGACTGTGCGATATTGTAATAAAAAGAATTGTCGTAAAAATCCTAAGTGCAACGAAAGATCATCGTCGTCGTCGTCGTCGTCGTCGTCGTTTTTGAGAGCTGCGTATTTTTCCGTTTCTCGAGCGCTTACTGACACTCAATTTGTCTGTACGTGTGTGTATGTGTGCGTTCGTGTCTAGTGACCTATTGTTATTCATAGCAGTGCAAAATTTAACGTATTTGTGCGATGATAAAAAAAAACTAAGTTGTTCACTTTCTGTTTTGATTTGCAGTTCGTCTAATGAAAAGTGAAAATGTTTTTATGTCCTACTTTAGTTTAGGAACTAACACACAAACATCACATCCGCGTAGAACATCACACATTTTACTCTAGATCTAAAAATTTGCATTTGAACTGGCAAAGTGTTGCACGAATGGACCGTTTGTATTGTTTGGTGGAGTTGTCAAAAAGTAGACTCACAAAGCTCTGCCAAATATGGCTATGCACAATGGATAAGAGGAGATGGGGAACATGTGTGCATGTGGCGAAAAAAAATAAATGAATGCATGTTACGTGCACATTTAAATGAAATGTTGCCTAATGTGTGTGTGTGTGTGTCGGTTCTGCAACAAAAACCGAACATTCAAGAGATATACGCCTTGCAATAGTCGTTTTTCTTGCTGCACATTTTGTTGTTGTTTGCGTTAGCATTCATGTCTATCTATGAGTTGCATGACACTTAGAATGTGTTGGTGTTCTCTTCAACTTGCCCTCTCTAGGCTCATGCATAACAACTTGAATTCATCATTGACTCTGGCATTTAATTGCAATTTCGAAATGCTTGTGTAGCTGTTCTTATGTATGTTTCATATGTCGCATATTCGACTATGCAATTCTGGTTTCTGTGCGCTGCTGCTTTTTTCTCTTTCTTTGTTTTCTTCATTGCAACCGATTTTATATAATAGATACCATTTGAACGACGACGACGACAACGACAACGATAAAGTTAGACATTCCTCGTCGCGCGTATTAGATTATATTTTGAATGCATACACGTATAGTATGTGAGTGCAACAGTCTTCGATTTCGGTAGTCTAACGACGAACATGTTCGATTTCATAAAATATTACACAAGAGATAAACTATAATATACAGACACATACACACGGCAGCCGCTAAAATTTCGTTTTCATTCGTTTCGACCCAGAAAATTGAAAAATTACGCTTAACGCTCGTGCGCTCGCTCATTCGTTCATTCGTTTGCTCGGTTGGTCGGTCGTTCGCACACATTCACATGATCTCTTCAATCAATCGAGAGAGCTCGCTCGCGCACGCTTTCATCCGCGCGCACGATTCCCATTGTAACTATATGCGACGCGCCATTGCACATGTATTGGTGTCTATCTATTTTGTGTATCTTATCTATATTTGTTCATTTTGAACTGTGTAGACGAAATTAAATTCAATGTTCACTAAAAAAAGAATCCATTTATATACGGTTTATATGTTGTGTGTGCATCGCTCGCTCTCAAAACCGTATCAATTCGGTGTGTTCGTACATAGAGGCACTGCTTCATCGACGCTATATTTTACACACAAATGACAGCATTTTTACAAAAGCGACGATCCCAACTCAGGTCTTGTTCACGACCGAAGAAATAGACCGACAAATGAAACAAAACACAACAAAAATTATATATGACACCGACGACACCGACGACGACGGCGACGACGACGACAATTCGACAACGATGACTGCAAATCATTCTGCGCCATTCGAACGATTTTCGTTTTAGATAGATTTCCCTTTTCATTTTCAATGTTCAGTTTTTTCATTCTATTCCATTTGTTCGTCGTCGTCGTTGTTGTCACTTTTTCACAGCTTCTTAGTTCTAGTTTCTGCTGAAGTGAACAAATACAAGCGAATGACTTTGAAAAGATATGAAAGTGTGTGCTTTGTGACACACATGAATGGCAACCATTCGTGTATGCAATCATTCTATGCTATTGGGGCGTGCGCGCGCTGCTATGATGCAATGCTCCCTTTCTCAGTTGCTTCGAAAACAACAATTAAATATTTTCAACGTCAATGACGTTCAGAGAATCAATCTCACACGCACCGAATAAAAAAAATACGCTGAAAAGTGGGTTTTCGGTTATCAGAAACTTGACTCGGGGCGCTAATTTTTGCATTTGATTTGAATTGAGGTCTGATGTTTGAACAAACGATTGGGGACGGAGGAAAAAAAACTCAGCTCACATGAAAATGGAATTTGAGTCGAGTCGGAAACGAGATGGATGTCAATCAAACGATCGATTGACGGTTTTAATGTGATAATTTTCACCATAAAATGCGCACCACACAGAAAAGTCGACACTTAAACGGTAGTAAACAACATACAACTCTAATGACTCTTGAGATTGTTTTGCTTTGCCGGTTATTTCGCTTTTTTTCCCTCTTCGGCCGTGTTTACATTCCTTTCACACGAAAGTCGACATTTCCGTACGCATAATTTGCGCTCATGATTCCATTCTCAATTGAAATTGCTCGGTGTTTGCTTTTTTTCTCTTTCTGCGTGCACGAAACACAATGGCCAAATGATTAAAAGCATACGGCTGTGGTTGTGCCAAGCATTCCACATGAGAAACATATTGAAACAGAGTAACAAAAAAGAAACAACACGACCTACGTTGATGACAATGATGACGATCACGTTCGCTGGCTTACACCAACCAACAGCAGTAACAGCCATTACATTGTGTTACCACGATTACTGTGGCTGCTGCTGTTGTTGTCGTTGTTGCTTTGTAACTGTTTTTCTCTTCATTTCTTTCATTCTTTCTCTCTCTTCTTTCGTACTGCTTTTCTTCTAGTCTTTTCGAATTCGCGCACCGACTGCTCAAATGAATGAAAGCAAAAGTATTTTTTACTTTTTCATCTATATTTTCTTTCCTCGTCTCATTTTTACTTCTTTTTCTCTTCGTTCTTCTGTACATTTTCCCATTGTAAGCCGTGTTTTCCTGAAAAATATCAATTTACTTGAGCTGCAAGCAGTGTGTCTGCACAGCATTGAATT